TGAGGACGCCGCCGGTCCTCGCGAAACAATACACCACGTCCGATCATCGGAACCGTGAGATTCGCCGCGTGGCAGGCCGGTCGGCGGATCCGAGCCGCAATTTGACAGTACTAGCGACTAAATTTAATGAAGTTTGAGTTCGGCGCGCCGGAGTCCGGACACTGGCTACTCAGTAGCTAGCCTAGCTAGCCTAGCTAGGCTCGAGCCTAGCCTAGTGTCAGTGGCAGTGGCAGTGACTCGGCCGAGTCCGAAAATTCGACTTCGGACCTCCGAAAATCGGCGACGGCCGTAGATAATGCCACGCGACTCAATTCACGGTACCGATGATCCGACGTGGAACTTTGCGAGCGTCAAAACTAGGCCCAGCGCTCACCAAGCTCAGATTCCTTATGCCGTTGCTGATCGCTCGCGTCATGCCGATAGGAAATGACGCAACTGTGACGCAATTGTGTGTCGACCAATCAAATGCCTCTATAACCGCCGAAAGCTCCGTGCAGGGCCTTAGACCGTACCATGCACTAAATGCAGACAGCAGTCGAGGTTACGACCCAAGATTACACAATTGGATTGGAACTTGGAAGAGCAGCCGGCTATGGTTAGCCGGGGTCTCTTTGACCTACCTTTCGCGGGTTCGTGGCCAGCCAGTACAAACACCCGGGTAATCTTTCAGGATGTCCACAATCTGGTGTCTGGAGGGGACGCCAGGCCTGCAGCGCAATTTACGACTCCAGGTTCACGAACTACTTTTCGACAACAACGTGATGCTGGCCTCTCTTCCGGTAACAGAAAGCGTCGCATCGAAACGTGTTGGGAGCCCGAGTTCCTCGGCGACCCATACGGGGGCGCTCACATGCGTTCCCTCTTGCGCTTCAGTTTCAACTTCAAGAATGCAGCTAGGTATAGGCTATAGCTGCCTAGCTAGGTGCTTGAATGCGGCATTGGTCATGTATCTAGGCTGCACCCTTTCAAAGATACAGACGAAAGGGAGGCGCAAACCTGCCGTCCAAACAGTCCGCCCAGGGCCTCAGCCACTGTGCTGCGCTGATTCTCCAGCTAGCAGCTAGGAAGGAAATTGTGGTAGAAACAGAGGCGCAGCTGCCGGCATTCTGAACAAAAGGGCTGATTTTCCGCAACTGTCGCGGCGGTGTCTAAATTGCAGCTTCTACTCCGACGATTCTTGCTGTCGGTTCTCCATGTTGAGCTGATCCAGGAAAGAAAGCGCAAGGAAAAGTGCTCAGCTCCAGCTGAATCCGCAACGAGGCGTCTTCCTTTTCCTTCCTCACAAACAAGAATGCGCAGAAAGGGGCACACAAGAGTTCATTCTAGCGTCTTTGCATAGTGCAAGGGGCCCCTTTCTTTTATCACACCACCTTTTGTGCTACAATCAAGCTGAATGTGGTGAAGCGTGTGATTTCCTACAATCACTAGCTTTCAGTGAATCTAGTACATTAAGTGTGTTTAAGTGATTCTAGCATAAATTCATTAAGGACCTTCCATCTAGTGGCAGACTTTTTGTCAGTCAAAAGCAAACAGTCGCTGCAAAGATACCAGACAGCTGGTTTTGAGGCAATAGCAGCTAGGCAATTGCTTGCGAGGAAGCTGGTCGAAAAGACTCGGAAGCTGGGTTTCATAGTTTCCATAAGCCACAAGCAAAACCACGTCTGCATTCGCTGTGGAGGGGTGTGAAGCGGGGAGAAAGGTGAGAGAAGTGTCTGCCAATCCCGATTTTACACTCACTGATTGTGTCTGCATGAAGCATGGCCGATCTGTAAATCCCTCAATTCCTAGTTTCGGTTGATGGCGACCCATCAACACAGTGGTGCATGCTGTGCGTCAAACGAAATGAAGCGGGACTCGACTGACTCAATGGTCATTTGAGCTTTTGAAAAATTTGATCGTTAATTATGTCAAATACTTGATCAAGTCAATCAGAGCACTGTCTCTCACATGACAACAATCCCTTTTGGAGTGATTCTGACGCCGTTCCAGGAGTTTCGGCTCAGACATAGTTTGTCACATTTTCCTGCAATTAGTAAGGCTGAGCTCTTGTGCCCCTCTCTTGAAGCCCAAAGGTGTCGCCTTTCCAAATGTTTCAGCTGGAACACTCCGCAATTCGTTTCAGGGGCCGGACTGAATCCCTTGTCTTGTTTTGCCAGCTTCCCAACTTGCCGAGTCGTTGAGAAGATGGTCTTTGGGTGCTTCAAACCAAAGCAAGCATCGAAAACAAGGTACAAGCAATCACGAGACACGATGCGAGACGTGCCCGCAAATGCACAGGCAAGTTGCTTTGTGCTTTCCTGACTACTGGATTCATTCATCAATAATCAGCAGCAGATGCTTTACTTCTGTCATGGTCCAGACAACTCCAAATGGGTCAGAAGCTTAGCCACTATAGTAGAATCTGAAGATCGTTGGCGTGTGTAAAGTGTGAAGTCACATTTTTCGCCTCAACTAATTCCAAGACTCAATGTGTTTGCATCGCCTTCCTGACATTCCCCACCAATGCATATGTTGAAGGCCCTCATTAAATTACTCTCCTTACTCTGAGATAACCTGCAAGTCACTTCCAATTGCTGCAAAAAGTGTGTGATTCTAGACATCATCCAAGATCCCAAGCGAACCGCTCCCAACCGCTGCGCAGACTGGTGTTGCTGAGGCCCTGTTTCAAGGCCAGGTCAACACGGAGAAGGGAGCCTGCGTCCTAAACATGGAGAAAAACAAGGCCTCAGACAGCTTCGGGTCCATCAGCCTTACCCACCAGCATGTGAAGAAAGACAAGTTTGGCATGAGGAGGTGAGGATCTTGGATTGCACACGCCGTCCAGTAATCTCAGTCTGCTCTTGACCGAAGCCTCCAGTCCACATTCGTTATTGCTGGCTGAGATGGATTCAGGAGGCTGGCCAAAGGCCTCGAGTCCCTTATTCCATTCTTCATACGCGCAAAACCATTTCACAAATCTGAGCTGAGCATCGAATTATCTTAAGAACGTCGTCTGGCCTCACACCCCCTCTCCCTTCCCCATTCATAGCCTTCTCCATGCGTCATACGGTCAACATCTCAGAATGAGCGCTTTTCAGCTTAATTGCTCTTCAAAATGAGTGCTTGTCCGAATGGTGATTCCAGAATCAGTGCTTTCAGAACCGAGTGCTTTCGGAATTGGTCGTCACCACACGTCCCCATTTTTGCAGGTTGAGCCTCGACTCTTCAAAGCGCCGACCTGACACCCCCCAAAAGCCTTGCCAGTGCGCTCCCGACGCTCCTCACCCTGCTGCTGACCTCAAGAAAAGAGCAGCCAGCCTCGTTCTGAGCACCTGTCCCCCAGCTGGGCGCGCCAATCCCACGTACAACCTTCCGGAGGCCTCCCCTTTGCGGGTTGCGGGATCTCAGAACGCACAAACGGCAGACTGGGAGAAGCGGTCCTGGATGCACGATATCGAGGATGCCATTGAGAAAGGACAGCTGGCGCTCGCGCGCGTTAAGGACCTGATGGACCGGCCCCCGAAACCGCCCCCCCGAAACGGAGAAAGACCCAAGATGCACAGGAGCCGTGCGACAGTCGAGGAGTGTGTTAGCGGATTGGCGGCAGAGAGGGGGGCCAACTTGGTCGAGAGGGGGTGCGTGCAGCAGAAGGATCTGGGGCGGAGCTGCCCCCCCGAATGTAAACCAAAGACGAAGCGCAGCTACGGTCATGCGCCTGGGGGGGTGTCCTGGGAGGAGTGGCTGGAGGGGGGTGGCCGCTCGGCATCGACCGATGACGCAAGCGGGGGAGAGCAACGACAGCAGGGGAGGTCAGTGCGCTGGGCCTCTAAAGAGGAAGCTGGAAAGCTTCTTGGAGCGTGGCCGCCCCCGGGGGGCCGATCCTGGGAGGATTGGCTGGCAGGCCCTAGCGAAACGGCCTGGGAAGCGAGCCCCCCGGAAGGTGAGGAGGGGTGTGAGATGGAGAAAAGTTCGCGGATCGATGACGAGTGGGGTCCACCTATAGTGCCGAGGCTGGACTGGGAGGAAGGGGGGGTTGCGGTGTTTCATATGGACTGGGCAAAGGAGGGGGGGAACGGAGTGCAGGAACCGGAACGGGGCGCAGAAGAAGCGGATGACAGTGGTAAGGATTCCCTGTTTTGGGTGTTGCAAACTCGTGTCTTCCCACTTTGTGTTTCGAATGGAACGGTGGTATAAGTCTTGGAGATGAGAAGATGCAGAGTAGCTGAAGTGAAAGACAAGCCTCCTGATCTGCTGATTTGACTAAATCAAGATTCGAAGCGAGAAAAGCGACCGACATATTCGCAGCGTATTCCTTGCACACGTCTTGTTCTGCATCCTTCGCCGCGACAAGGAATCCTTGTCGGAAGCTCGTGAGTAACTCAGACTCCAGACCACCATTTCGAGCTGACGCTTGATCGTCTCACCCGCTTTTACAGTCTCTGAAGATTCCCAGAGCCCTCCCCGGGTCATCACTCCGGACGAGCTTAAACTGGACGTCCGGCTGCCCCCCATTCGGACGAGCCCCCACCGAGGGACCCCCCGGGCGCCGGGCCCCACCCCCGACACCAACGTTTCCTTTGCTAGCACCAACTCCAGCTGGACGGTACCCACCGAGCACGGCCCGGTACCCACCCCCGAGCAGCGCAGGGGCTCTCTGTGGGCCTTGGCAGAGCCCCCGACGCCGACGGAACCGGCCGCCGGCGCGGGGGTGGCGCAAAAACACGGCCTGAATTTGAACGCGCTCGAGTCTGCGCTGGTCGCGATATCGCGGGCGGGGCCGGGGGAAAGCACAGAGCGGTTGAAGCGGCTCGCGATCGCGTGCGGGACGCCCCCGGCCTTATTGTCCGTCGAGCATAATTTCGAGCACCCCGCCTCGCCTTCGACGCTGGAGGAGGAAGGTCCTGTTGACACGTGGCACTTTCAAGATAGCCGGGTCTCCGCTGGGTCTGCTGACGTCAGACCGGACTCGACGCTCGAGTCGGAGGCCATCCATGTTCGGGAGATCCTGCCCCGATTCGACGAGTTCCGGCGGCGGCAAGGACTAGCGGTGGAGAGAAAAGGTGTGAGGGAAGTCCAGCCGGTGAAAGGGGTGTTGTCCAAGAGCTTGCCCGTGTCTACTGCCGGGGCCGACACTGGGAGGCGGGAGTGCGGAAACGGTGAGCTATTCTCACAAGTTTTGGGGTGGTTCGTTGCGAATCTCAGATCGATGCCGTCTGGTGTCTCTGGGCGCCAGGACAAAAAGCTGGTCGCATTGCACTGCACTCAGCAGATATATCTCTATGGTTTGCCGCTGCTTGGAAGCTTTTGGATTGACGATAACCGGACCTTTAGGAAAGTTGGAGCCTGACCTTCGCTCGATGACTCTTTGTCGTTTCGTTGACCCAAACGAACTAGGCAATCCAGGTTTGTCGGAAGTCTCTGCGTGAATGTGAACGGGCCGTGCTATGCGCTAAGGACGCCCGAACGACCGACACTATGCGGACGGCACTGCCGGCCAAATCCGTTAACTTTTATGTGCACCGCACTAACCCGTCGATTGGTCATCCTGACTGATTTTAGACGCTATTCGCGCAGCTCTCTCAGCCACCATTTGTCAAACCGCAACCGGTGACGTAGATTCTCAACCGTCTCTGGTCAGTTTTATGGAACTATCTTTGCCCAAGCTTCTAAAAGCTTCAGAAAGATTCATTCCTGTTGTCACTGTACAACTTTAGGTCGACAGATGACTCCCACACAGAATGAGCCTGACCTAGGTTTGTTCCCCCTCGGTTATGCAGGCACCGTTTCCCAGCGCTTCCCGTCCTACTTCCCGACCGCCGAAGCGCTCGCGGCCGACTCTCCAGCATCTCCCCGCTCTAGTTCCTCCCCAGTCTCCGATTCCAGCCCGGAATTTTTCGAGATCGCGTATGCGGACCCGCGAGACGAGTCCTACACCGCGCGCATCGAGCGCGCACAGACGCAAAAGCTCCTGGCGCTCGAGCGGTTCCTCCGGGCGTCCGACGCGCGCGCACGGGGCATCTCAGCGGAACGGGCGACGTCACCGGAACCGGAACGGGAGCTGGTGGAAGAGGGGGAACCTTTCAGGGGCAAGAGCCTGGACGCCGCGTATGCGCTCAAGAGGCTGACGTCAGATGACGTACAGTATTCCCCGGACTCGACGCTGCATCGGCGGCCAAGCCCGTCGAGCAGCGAGGGCGACTCAGAGGAGGGGGGGTCACCCGAAGTGTCGCCGACCGACGTGCGGCTGAGCCGGGACTGGAGGCGAGACACGGGCGTGACGTACTGATGACGTGAAAACTAACGGCGTGGTATGATACTGCTAAGAGGGTGGCCATAGGGGTGTTCGGCTCTTCTTGGGTGAAAGATTGTCACAATGATATGTGTACTGTCAGGGACGATCGATTGACTGTTCTAACTGTTGATCTAGGTAGACGGTTGCGAGGTTGTTGTTTTCTGAATCTATGTAGGACCGCCGGAAGTAGATTGTAAGATAGACGGATGGAAGCAAAAAGATGAATGATTGGCTTGGGATGCGCCTTCTAGGGGCTTGCAAGGAACATGAGTCAAATCCTTTTGGAGAGCTACTGTAAGCCTCAGCACGGTTGGTCTAAGACAGGGTCGGTAAGAGTGACACTACTTTATGGAATGCTGTCTCGTCGTGTCGTCGGGGTTGTATACGTTAGTCAAACGGACCACTTCTCTCAGACGGTTTATGCGTCCGGCCGGGTGGTCACAGATATGCGAGGTTTATGGGGACGCATGTAATCATTCCCCGGTAATCATTCTCCGAGGCGCCACGCTCGGGTTGACATGCATGGCCGTATTTGTGGGCTCAATCTAGTCAGGCCAGCTTTGCAAGCAACCTCCATTGATGCTTAGAAGGTGGACAATCACTCACTTGCACTCACGGTAACAAGCATCTGACGTACATGCAGCAGCTATTCTGGCAGCTATCCTTCACTCTATTGCAGTTGTGGACAATTCGATCGAACAAGCACTTGAACCTCTTTGAACGCGTCTGCGGTTGCGAAGTTTGCAATCTTGACACCGTCGAATTTTGATAACCAGGGATCCATTTCGATCAACTTCACGTGAAGTACAAGCATCTGTTGTATGTAATGATCGCTGCCGGCGCCTTCGCTAGCGCGGGGGATATAACCCCGCGAGTCATGCCAACTGGTTTCCAAGCGCAAGATGCGCAGCTGACGGAACCCCTCACAAGGTAAGAGTGGAAGTAACACAGCAAATCGAGTCCCAAGCACACGCTGCCCTGGCCCAGCTCACTCTACTAAACCCAGGATCTGTTTGACACCTATAGCTAGACCACTCCTGTGGTGGTTTCTAAGAAGCCCGTCTTGCTTGTCGGTTGCCACAATGAAGTCACCACTCGCTCCGATGAAGTGCGCTTACACGAAACCCGCGCCGCTGGGCGGGACCGCGGCCGCGTCTGGGCGGCTGTCCGGGTACTGCGGGGCAGGGTTTGGGAACGTGCTGAGCTGGATGCGCGCGCGCTCGGCCGCGTCGGGCGCAGGCTTTAGGAAGGTGTCCAAAGCCAGGTATACGAGGGCGTAAAACGAGACGAAGATAGCGTATACCACGCGGGCGCCCTGTAAGAGTGTGGGAAAAGATCGGAAACAGTCTTTGAGAAAGGTGCTGACGAGAGCGTTGCTGTAGGGCTCATTCTTCACGCGTTTTGGCAGGGAGAAACAATTGGGACAACGGTGGACGACTTCTTGCACCGAGCTCCTGGGGAAGCCGAGAGACAGGAGTGAAAGTTTATTGAGAGAGCACTTTGGAATCTGGAGAGGAAACTGACGCGGATCCAAAACGCTCCTTGAATGCACTATGGCACGGTTGGTAAGGGGCCCATCATTTAGCTCCATTCCAAGGGTCTGAGACGTTTTGATGGATATTTTCCCACGGAGTGTGCGCGCATGGTCTATCGGATCAAGCACGGGTCCTCTGTCTCCCTTATAAGCTTGATCGGTTGAAGCTGGGTAACCGAGCTGCTTCTTTCGGGGTCTCGAAATCCCAGCAACCTTTGCAGCTCGTTCTTCCTCTCAACTCCCCAAAGCGAGAGCTCGAAGACGTTCTAACATGTCGCGAGTGCAGACACTGTCTTTGCCAATCGCCTCCTCGCAATACCAACGAACGCTGAGGAAGCCCATATCGAACCACCTCCGTTTGCTTACCTGTATTCCGTAGTCTGTGTACTTGTGGAAGAGAGCCATTCCCAGGAAAACGTTAACCCCGCCCATGATGATGATTCCGGTTCCGAGGAACCAGTGCCACAAAAACCAGATCCGCCGGATTCTGGTGCCCGGGCTCGGGCGGAACAGGGCGATCAGCAGCTGGACCCAGGCCAGGATGAAGATTGTGAGCCCAATCTGCGGTCGCCGAAAACCGAGATGCGGGGTAAGCGAGGGACTGATTTTCTTGCCGTGCAAAACAAAACTCTGGTTCTGGTGAAACCGTGGAAGGAAACGGTTGACTGGGACGCTTCAGAGCACTTGATCTTGAAAGTATCCATCCTGATCTTTCACGAACATGCCCGTCCAAAGGTCCTTGTGCTCGCGTTCAAAAGCGACAAGCTACATGAGACCTCCGACCTCTGGAGAACGTTATACAGCGACCGTACCATCAGATTCTCGAAAATCTAAGATGCCAGATGTTGTGCTTAGTACATAAGCCCAGATCAATCTAATCGTCACTCAAGTCGACTTTGACTTCGTATAGGAGATGCGACGAGATCGATACGTGCAGCAGGAGATATCAAAGCCGGTACCACGTATCCACGGCAGAAAGTGAGAAGTTTTTTGTTTGGATGAGAATCCAAGCAATGTTCAAGCCGCCTATCTGAACACAACTGCAATTCGTCATTTCCTGAGCCTCGATGAGTGGGCACCGAATGCTGTCTCGCCTGCGCGTGCGACTGCGCGCGCTGGAGCGCGTCAAAGTAGCTGAAGGCAATGATTGCGCCGATCGTCATCAGGATGACACCCGTGATCTGGCAAACGGCGTGCAGGTAGAACCAGTGCGGCAGACGGTTCTTGCCAAACCTGAGCGGAAAGACACTTGTTTACTTGACGGTCTGGGGCAGCCTCGAGAACGGTTCTCACATTGCTGTTCTTAAAGCACGCTATGCGAGCGCAGAATAGAATCAATATCTGGTGAGCTGTCGGCGTCGAAGAGAGTATTTTGCTTTGAGCTCGTCTGCTGGGTGGCCTCAAAATGCGGAGCGCCTGGGACGTATTCAAAATGTAAACGTAGCATGCGACCAAGGTGGACCTTTGTTTGCGAATGAGTCGGATTTTGGTGTTTGACAAGCCGTTTATGGCAAACAGCCCATAATGAAAGGATTACAGGAAAAAGATCGCGACAAATCGAAAATTGTCTGTAGACTTGGAAAACTAAGTCGTATTGATAATAGCTCGCGTATATAGTCGGCACTCTCTTCTTAAGAGCCTCTTTGGACAGACAACTTTTCGTGAAATGGTACCGAGAACAGAGTCTAGGACGGACCTGCTCGCGAGCGCGCCTAGCGGCAGCAGTACGCCCACACCGAAGCCCATGAGCCAGCCGTGCGCGCGCATCTTGGACGCCAGGTGGCGGTAATGGGCTTCGTCATCGATCAGCGCGCGCGCGGAGGCGCCGCTCACAAAGTCGACCGAGAATGGCATCCTGGCGATGGAGGGAGTCCTTTGGGGTCCTTCGCTTTTCGACTTAAGATCAGGCAGGAAACTTCAGCGGAAATAGAGAGAGTCCACTTTTGAGCGACTGCTCTTGAGTTGGCCGAGTCCTTAGATCAGCTTCTCGGGCCGGTCAAAGGGGATCAAGCATAACTCTGCCTGATTCTTTTCGGCTTCTTGTTGACTAAGAGCATGTTGACTAAGGACAGTGCTCGGGAGAACGAACTAAAGTAAAAACCTAAACCAAGAAATGACCACGCTCGGCACCCGTACCCACCCTAACCCCCAAACTAACCCTACCCGTCCCCCGGGCATGCTCCTTAGTCAACATGGCCCTTAGTCAACATGAAATCGAGACCTATCTCTGCCGGGAGTCAAAGGGCCAACTAATCTTACATGCTTCTGATTCCCAATCGATCGGGACGCGGAGCGTTCAGCTAGCACTCTTGTAGTCCTGACGACTATAGCGGTGCGCCTGTGCGCCAAGCGAGGTGCGAGAATGCCCAGACGAACATTTTGCATTTCGTCGAGTGCTCTGTCTCTTTTTGATTTAGGCGCAATGACAACATGACGCTGATAATCGTTTTGTCGAGAACAGTGTCGCAGCCTTTCCAAACGGAAGCTTTTCGAATCGACCAGACAAAACGAGTGAACTGCCTTATTGCGCCGTGTTTCAATCTTTACGAACCTGCTCTTGGAGAACAGCAGCAGTTTTACATTCTTGTCATCCGAGCATAAGTTTAATAGCAAAACCTCTTCCAAAGATGACAATGCAGCCCTGGTGTAAATGCCCACCTGTTGGTCGGCCCGTGGTATTGCAGCCCGGTGGACCCGTCCGGCGACACCGCCCAGAGCATCCGGTTGGGCACCCCCTTCGCCGCCACTACCGGCACGATCCCCGGGCCACTTTCATTCACCAACCGGGCAAACTCCAACCGGGTCACGCCCTCCATAGTGACGGAACTCGCAAACAAAACCGTGATGTTCGGGTTGGGGTGCACCCGGGAGACGCTTCTTCCCCCGAGCCTAAAAGCTTGTATTTCGAACCCCCCGACTGGGTTAGGATCCGGGCCGATGACCGCATTGGAGCCGACCATTTGCCCGGTGGGCGACCAACCGACCGCAACCCAGCCGGTGGTGGTCGCCACCGCCGCGATGTATAAGAGCTCCCCGTCCAGCGCCCAGTGGATTTCGAACTGACCGGGGACCACAGTCAGGACGCAGTCGTAGCCGGCGAACGGGGACTGCTCACATGAGGCGTTTTTGGAAGTGAGAGTTGCGCCTGAGTCTGTGCCATGAATTGATGTGTTATTTTCTGCGCTTGCGGCTTGCGTGGAATCCAAGGCAGCAAGGGAGGCAAGGACGGCGAAGACGAAGAATGGAAGGAGGGGACTCAGAGTTCGTGCTTTTGAGATAGCTCTCCCCATTTCTGCTAGGATTCTCTATCTGCGTTTCGAAGATGGGCTTTGCCACACTCTTCCTTTCGTGTGAACTTCAGTAAGAATCGAAACCCGGCCTGCACTTTCCAGATGTAAACCATGCACCTAGAAGTACAAGCCCCTGCCTAAGATGCAACTGCTCCGGGTCGGGTCTGCCTTCGCTTCCTGCAGACCTCTGCAGAGACTGCGACTGGCCAGAGTCCAAAACTTTCTCGGTCTACATCTCCTGACCTCGGCCCACTTGCTTCTAAATCTTCGGCGTACCGCCCGCCTGCAAGTTATAGTTGGTTTCGATGCTTGCCCTGCAAATAAACGCAAGCTCTACACCATCTCTACCCTCCACATCAAAGGCTCGCTTTGCAGACCTTTCCTTGATGGAAAACCAGAATGAGACGTACGCAAGGGCTGACAGAAGCAGGAAAGGTTACTGACAGCTGGCAAGGCAGTCAGGTCGATGGACATTGCGTCTGCTGCGTTTTCCCGAAACGAAATGCATGCTTTGATTTGGGAGTGCGGCATGTGCCTTGATCAACGGCTCCCTTTCCAGGCCAGACAGTCCGACGTGCCCAAGACATAGAAAATTCCAGAGCAATCTGCTGCTGACCGAAAAGACTGCGTCCGACTTTCCATGCCGTGCATGCAGATAACCGTAACGTCAGAAAGCCGCGTGACGAAGGCAACCAGGTCACGGCGTCACCTATGCTCTCATCTGACCGTCTCGCCACCGGCCGAAACTTTTAGCCGTGTAAAATTGTTTCTTCATGCTCGTTATGTGGCCAGCGATGTCTTATCCCGGCGGGATGGATCAGATTTGATTTTGATGCACGCTGCATCTTGGGGTTCCTCTCGAGTGACTCAAAGAATCATTGGCAGAAACTCCTTAGATTCAGACCATTAGGATCTCGTCCGCCAGACAGATTCTAAGTGCTTCTCGAAGGACAGTTGAGAGAGAAAGTTCTTTTGATGAATCGAAAGTAGTGCTTATTGTAGATTGACGACTAAGAATAAGAAAAACAATCTGGTCGTTTCAAAGTTGCACGAAAGAAGCAGCGAAAACCTTTCTTTGCTCTTCTCTGCAATGGAAACCACTTTGAAGGCCAAAAGCTACCTAGCGGAGAAAATCAAGTTGGCAAAGTTGACACTGACAAAAAGCACGGAGTTAGACTTGTGAGCATTCCTTTTTTCATATCCTTCTTCGATATTGCATTCTTTCGTTCTGGATATTCTTCTCGTTGGAAGAAAACTATGCTCCTCGATCACGAGTTTCTGCATGCCCACATATCACATTTTGATGCTTGCGGAAGGGCCCGGTTTTTGGAAGGGACAAGAAGAGCTTTTAATATGCTGAATCTGACGACCATGACCCTGATTTGCGGCCGTATCATTATCCGGATGGCTGTATTCTGAAGCAGCGAATCAAATCGGACTTTTCACAACGCTGCATCCATTGCACCGCTGATTCCACCTCGTGCAGGGTACATTCATCACCCTTCTGAATCGTTCAATTGACCGAGGAGGGAAACCTAGGGTAGTGCAAAGCGACAAGATCCTTGATCCCGTCTTGCTTCCAGGCTGCTGGCTGAAGCGACGAGCAACGAAGCCTGGGGACCCGACAGCCGGACCATGGCGCGCATCGCGGCCGCGAGCCGCCGCTTCGACGACTTCGAACCAATCATGGCTTTCCTCTGGAAAAAGTGAGGCTTTAGTTCTGAACTTTTTCACTTACGTTAGAATGAGTGACTAAAGCTTGTCCGGACTCTGGGCTTCCAAGCTTGCTGTTACAAATGCACTAATGTGCTTTTAAACCGGTACTCAAGCTTCTCGAGCACCCTTCTGTGCGCAACTTTGAGAAAGGTGGCAGTATTCTCTTAAGCCTTTCCGCAAGGTTGCCGCTCCGGGGGACCTTCTCTTCGGTCGCCGAGTAAAAGCTACAGATGTCCTCCTTCTTGGAACAGGACGATGATTTGCTTTTGTATCTATTTAGATGAACAAGCTTTTTTGCACCATTCAAATCCAAATCGACCAATTATGCCGAATCCGTGGCGCACGCACTTTCCTTCGGTTCTTCGAAGCAAAACGCAAATCCACCACAAGACCCTAAGAGCCTCGAATCCCCACAGACTGGAGGAGACCCTGTCCCTGGCCGCGCGCGGCAAGCTGACCGCGTGGCGCCCCGCGCAAAAGGCGCTGGTCCTGCTGGAGTATCTGCTGATGCACGGCGGCGAAAGGGCGATCAAGGACGTGGAACTGCGGGTCTACGTTTTCGAAGATCTGGCGGGCCTGCAGTGCGCTGACAAGCAGGGGTGAGCGACACGTGGCGCTATCCTTGCCGTTCATTCGCGCAAGATAAAACGAGGAAGAGCGTCCTTTGCGAAACCTCTCTGTGCCGTATGAATGAAGAGCGAGCCCAGTGAAGACGGGTCGATTGCCGGTCGCCATTTGCTTCTGCAACAAAGGCCGCATGAAAGGCGGTAAAACTTCCGGCGTTCTGAGAGTAGGCCGTTAGAGATTTCGATCTTGCCATCTCCTGCATTGGGAACGTCGCTTTAGCATGCCTCGGCTACCGAAAAATTGTCAGATTCAGCTTGACTTGGGTGGTCCTCCTAGTGGAGGAATGTAGCAGTCTTGGGGCCGCTTCGCTCTGATCTCCTTTGCAGGTAGCGGCCCATAGATCAGCCGCAATCCACCTGGCAACAGGATCTTTTGAAAATACTTTGCAACCCCTCCGTTCTTACAAGGTCTCAATGTGCCTTCCTGACCAGGTTCGACTGCGCCCAGGGTATCCGAGCGCGCGCCGCGCACATCTGCAGCCTCGCACGCAGCGACGGCACGTACCAGGCCGAGCGCGCGCGCGCGCAGGAGCTGTCGGGGCGGTTGGGGAACCTCCAAGGGTTTGGGAGTCCTAGGCGCGAATCTCTCCCTGTAAAAAAGACGGAGCGCTTCTCCTTACAAGACCAGTCTGCAGAAGCCGGTTTGTTTGAAGAGGGGAACGAGGCAGCGTCCCTGATCGAGAAAAGTACGCGCGACCAAACCGCTGTCCACCTCAAAAACCGCGTGCATTGGGCAGATAGTGCATCAGCAAAGTCCGCAGCGAACGCGACAGAGCCCTTCCCGACTGAATGGAGATTTGTGGCGGAACCGGGGGAGATTAGAGAATCAGGAGAGTTTACGGGAGGCTTCGCTGGGTCTACTCGCGGTGAAAGGGACTCAGTCGGACAAGATGACGTGTCTACCTGGAAAGAGAGCGTGGCTGGCCCGAAACCGCCACAGTACCGCTCCGGTGAACCGTCCGGAAACAAGGAAGCGGATGAGAAGCCGCGAGTGCGCGCGCGCGCGTTCGACGGCAGCGCGCTGAGCTCCCACTCGCGCGTCGACAGCTGGCTCGCGCAGGGAATGGCGCTTCGGGATCCGCGACTGGACGCCGAAGACGGCCGTCAGCCGAACGGTGGAAAGTTTCCGGGACCGGAACGGCGGACACCGGAAGCTGAACGCTCGCACTCTACCGCTGAAGAGGCGGCGCAGACCGACTCTCCGCTCGCAAAGGAAGCGCTCATTCCAGGAGAGGCGACCACGAAAGGGTTAGAAAGAGCGCCCTCCAGGGATCTCATCACCTGGGACGACGAAAGGCCGGAACGTTCCGGCAAGGACACTTCCGCCGGAAGGGGATACGGAGGCGCGGTTTCGGGGAATCTGAGTTGGGGTAGTGCAGAAACGGCGAACAGTTTCCCAATCAAGGCTGCGCAGAAAGAGTCGCCAAAAGTTCCGGCCATTCCTCCGCCGCCCCGGAGTGCGAGCTCTCGTGCAAATCTTGGTGACGCGGATAGGGATCTGCTTTGGACAACTCCGAGTCAAACCGTAGATGTCGACGCGCTTCTTGGCCTTGCAGGCGGTTCGTTCTAAAGAAGCCCTTGATTTCGTAGATCTGGCCCCTATCATAGTTGTCTGCTCGGATCCAGCTCTAAGCTGGCTCTAGACATACTAACGCATCACTGCCTCGAGTGCAATGGCAGTTATATTCAATGCCCCCGTCATAGTCAGTGTAACGGAACCTCTAATCCAGAGCTCCGGTGTCAATTCTCATCTGGTGCGTCCAACAAGCGGGATACTTACACAAGACCGAGTTGTCGCAAAGGCCCAATCCTATCGAATACCAAGTACTTAGGCCCTAAAAGTTAGAATCCTTAGCTAGAGAAGCGGTCAAAGATGTGCGAACCACTTTAGTTCTATATGTGCTTGCTCGAAATTATATCCGCTTGCTATGAGAAGCTGTTTTAATACTCAAGCGGTTCGATCGAGATGGTTGAGGTGGCACTTGCGCGTGCTTGATTGTATCGATGCACAGATTTCGAGCTTGATACATTCCTCGTGATATTGCATGCAGGTCCCATGCCTACTACAGGAATACCTTCTAGGGAGTGCCCGACGTTCTTCATGTTGTGGGCAGACTGTCTTCGGATATTCGACACCATGGCGACAGGAATTAGGCAATTAACCGTGATGTGCGAAAAGTCGTCATGCCGCGGGCGGCGCCAGCGGCCAGCTGGGCGCGTCAGCTAGGTGCGCATGCTGCGAAAGCTAAGGCGGCCGCGTTATTATGAGTGAATAGTGTATATAAATAGCATGCATGGTCATGATGGTCAGCTCATGCTTGAGACATTCGTTGTCTAACGAAGAATCACATGCATCGATGGCTCATATCCGTATGCAATTGACATGCATTGCAAGCGGCCGGGCCACCCTTGGTGGTGCACCGTCCTGTCTGGCATCGAACGATGTGAAAAGCGTCCGACGATTACCATGCGGCCAATAGAGCTAAACACGTGTGCAGTATTGTCACCAACTCTGCATCTTATGTGACTCGCAGATATGCATATTCGTGTAAACTTATTGCGGGTCCCAGACCTGAAAAACTTCGAGCGCTTCCAGCACGTGTTTGAGTGCACACCGACGCAGCGTTAGACCAGGTGGTGCCAGTTCATGATTGTCATTCACTGAAGAGAGTTATGTTTCGCTTAGGGAGGGTCAGCAATAGTACTCTACACGATCGGACTGTCGGTCAACAGCCCGCCATTGGACTTTCGGGTCAGCAACACGCGCAATCAGATACTACTCTCGGTAGTCAATCGATGTAAGTTTGTACTTAGGGCTTTGCACAACAGACTTTCCTCGGCGGCCAGCGACGGACGCAGCTTCTGAATTACACGGTATATCTATGTACAAATTTGCACCCGTTAGCAGGATCTTCTCAGCACCGTCTCCTTGAAGCCTGCCGTGCCGTTGTTAGGTGCGGGCTCGAGCCCCAGTATATCGCACATGACCTCGTACAGCTCAATGTTTCGGAACGTCGGCACCACATTCCTCACTCCAAACCGGGGCCCCCGCCCGAAGAAGATGGTCCGCATCGAAAACAGCGCGTTGTCGAACCCGTGCACCCCCCCGCACTGGATCCCCTCCTTCTCCGCCCGCGTTTTGCGGACGGTGTAGCCTTCGGCCACGATCCCCACTATCGGCGCGATTCGCGGGCTGTGGGAATAGTGGAAACGCTCGGAGATGTCCTCCTTGAGGTACAAAGACAGGAACTCGCCGTTGGAAATGCCCCCCGGAGCAAGTGCCCGGGAGATGTTGGCGTGGAGGGCACGCACGTCGACGTCAGGGGGGGGTAGCAGGGAAAGGACCGGGCTGCACGAGCAGAACGGAGAATCGTGTTACAGTAAAAACGGTGGCTCTAACAGTCGGCGTGTCCTGAACTATCAGCGAGTAGACAATCAGTCTCTTCACGGGACGCCGATATCACATCGGACCGCACCAAGTAAAGTAGTAGCATAAGATTGCACTTTAAGGGGAGACGGCACGCGCAGCGCGAGGAGAGAGCAGCAGTAAAATGATCGGGCTGCAACGCCGGAGGGGGGGTGGACATCAGTACCCGCGATCCGATCCTCAGGCTTGTGGCCCGTTTGCACCAAGCGAAGGTAGCACAGGATACACAAAGCACAATGTTCTTCGTGCAAGGTAATGAGAGAAAGTTGCTCGGATGGCGGATGTAAGAAGAACAACCGTAAAGGTTGAAAAGGACACGGGCTGCGCAAGGGGAAACAAAGTGAACGCAGCGAAAGTCGAGATTGGACCTGTCTAGATTGAAATTTTCGCCAAAGACACGGAACTTCGATTGGGTTCGAGCAACAACGAAGACAAAGCAGTGTAAGAGATGGTTCAAACAGGTGTTTGCTACTTTCTGCTAACGCATGAATTGCGTTCTGACCGTCATCCGGCTCTGCCGTCTTCAATCTCATCCCCACTGACTCTCGTTGCATGTTCATAAATCGGAAAACAAAGGAAAAGGACAGTGGCAACCTCAATGCGTGCAAACTAGATTGCAGCGCTGCATATGCATCAACTTTGCCGGGCCGTCAACTTATCAAACGGTCAAGGCTGCATATAACAAGCACTTGTAAAGAAGAGCAAAATAGAGTAGGATAACAAAGACACCCAAAAAAGGAAAAGAGATGGGGAATAGCAGCGCTGGCTCACGACTCCGTGTTGACCCAGTCCATGGGCAGATCAACCCAGGGCGCGAGGTCCTCCAGGTAAATGTCCTTGCACTCGCACACTGACGTCATACCGTGGTCGCCCACCATGATCACGTGGGTCGTGTTTAGGATGCCACGTGTCTCCAGGCCGTCCAGCAGCCGGCCAATCATGGCGTCGACACGTGTCACGGCCGCGTCGATCTGGGGGGCGTCGGGGCCCACCTGAACATGGCGCAGTAAAATCAGTAATGTGGAACCTTACAAGTTATCGATTGCGGCGGACTTCGAAACAGCGCAGAGCTCAAAGATCTTGAACAGTTCCCTGCATGCGGACTGGGGACCAGTTATGGGAATTGACGGGTGACTCTCTTAGGATGGTCTGGAACAAATGAGTAAGATCGATCGATCGATCAGATACGAAGTGGACCCTAGGGCGAATTGTGAGACTTCAGACCAGAAGATCGCAAGAGAGTCGTCAGACCAGAAGATTGCAAGAGAGTCGACGATGCCCGTAAAGTAGAAGAAGTGTGAAGGCAAGGGATCCCAAGCAGAGGCTGAAAGGAATAACAGAGTCGAGCCGACGGGGCGGAGTGAACGGTGAGAGCCACAGAAGCGTGCCTGACACCTAACAAAACCACGACTCCTCCGAAACCCAATCTGCGTCTCTCAAAGCGCATTCTCATAAATCAAATTCACAACCACAAACCAAGCGGTAATCTGAAACCTTTTAAGCATCACCTGCTGCCCCTAAAGAACGAATACACTCATGATCTTCTGCTGCCCCCAGGAACAATCAGCCAGGCCGACACCCACGAGAATCCTATACCGGAAACCCGGAATAACCCAAAACTAAAGCTCACCCGGTGCCCCCAATGGTCGGGGTCTTCCATGTACATGGTCATGAACTGCGGCCGCTGTTCGGGGGGCAAGTCCAGCCAACCCAAAACACGATCTACACGGTCTTCGTATGGTAAAGCGCTGTTGTAGCGGGGGCAGTACTCAGGATCGCACGGCCAGTCGGGCTTAATCACCTCCGCGCCAGGCCTGCAGCAGGGAGTTATTGTTTCGGGTTAGAGAAAATGGGTTCAGGATATGTTGACGGAAGATACAAGGGGGCATGTCGGATTAGCGAATTTCAGGTAGAAGCCTGAAGAAGAAACGCATCGTGGCATCTGATTAATGGCAGCCGACCGGCGGCTGAGCGATGGCAGAAAACCCGCTTTCCTCTTGCGGATGTCTGGTACCTTTCTCCTGCAAAATCCTTCCTAGTCCTGGGAAGGTCAACTCTGCAGCTGAACATCAGATTCGACGACAAAATGGAATCGAAAAGTGGTTCGGCTTTGACTACAGTGGCAGCCAAATCTTCGGCCAAACCTAAGACGGGAGTCCCACAGGGCTGCTTAGATCAAATGATCGCTGCAAACATCACGCAAGGATGACAATGAGGAGAGACCATGCAGGCAGCACCCACCAAAAGAACGCCGCGGCGGTGAGGCCCTGTTTGCGCGCAGTCACCCACATGGGCTCCCCCAGCCACCAGCGCGCGTCGTGGTTGGCCATGGAGAACTGTTCACTCGTGTTGTCCGCCGGTCGAAAGTAGTTGGCGATAATGCCGTGGGACTCAGGGTGCAGCCCAGTCACAATGGAGTCTGGCGGTGTCAAAGGGCGGGGTCAAGGACGACTGACGATGTGAAGTGATACAGGGAGAGGGGCTGACACTGATGAGATTGACGTAGAGATGTTTGTGCCCAGAAGACAAGATACTGGAGAACAGCGCGTCGCTTCTTCTGCTCTTGCGGAAGGCCTCATCTCAGATCTCAGGTGTGTATGGGCCATATTTTACGAGACAGCCGAACAGATGACACTCATCATCAACCGTACAGATTCTGAATTCTGGAACAACCAGAGTCAAAGCTAAGAAGCCAGAAGGAGGGCAACGCAAAAAAATCGGAGCAACTAGAAGGCAATCCAATCCGGGCAACTAGAGTGGGGGATACAGTGGTTGGGGAACGTAATGGACGGGTACATGGGCATCATGCCCGTCGCCGTCTCGGTGCCCTGCATCCTCAGCCTGTCGATGTTTGGCGTCGGCACCTTGAACAAGTAGTCCCACCGAAACCCGTCTGATGAGATCAGGATCAGCGTGGGCTTCTCCCCCCCTACCGGCGCTCTCACGCACTGCGAGATCTCGCCCAGCTGACCGTACGTTGTAGACTTTGGTGAGCGAGGTGATCCAAGGCCTGTGCCGAATGCAATCACAACCAGGACAAGCAAGCACACCCCCGCCGCTGCGAGTGCGGTCTGCGTTCTCGAGAGGGGTAGCCAGCACCCCACCGGAGGCCCACCCTCAGTGTCTCTGCCACTGAAACCTGACGTGTCTTTCTCAGCCAGCTTAACACGGACGTAGCCCCCCCCGGCAGTCTGCCGGCCGAAAGCGGCCGCCCCGTTGGCTTGCGAGGAGCCCATCTCGGGCTCAATGCTTTCGTCCCCTGCTTGGGGGGGTTGATCAGCAGCTTCTAGGTGATGCGCCCTCGTCAACTCATTGCCTTCAGCAGCCGCCATCATGCACCCCCGGAACTGGAGCAGGAAATCAAAAACCTGCTGAATTCAAACCGTTTATATATACATTTTTCAAGGCAGAAAGTGGTCTTTCACCACTGAAGGTGGACAACTGATGCTACCTAGCAGTGGTGCTAGGGGCAATTTTTTCTCTGTACAACTTGATGACTAGAATAGGTGACAAAATGCCACCTGACTGTAGTACATGGAGCTGTATAGCAAGATCAAGGTATCAGAGTTTGTCAACTCCAAGGTTGGCTTGACCTTTGAACGTTGAGTTGATCACCAGCTCCCACAAGCTCTGACTTGATTGGCTGAATAAGCGGCTCGATTGATGGAAAGGTAGTCAGCTTGAAGGGTTGCTGATTGCTACTTCCAACACAAATTACTTTTGCTCAATTTAGAGCAGCTGCCCCACAGCTGATACACAGCTCCTAGAGACAGCACTGAAGATAAGAGATTCACCTGATTCACAGATTGCCAGATTGGCCGCCATAGCCTCTCCTCGAGCTCATCGCCCCCACTCTTCGAAGCACATGGTGCATTGCACAGGCCATTAGGATCTAGGACGGGGTGAAAATCTTATAGTAAGCGGTAAACCTCATGCATAACCAATCCACCATTATCGGTCTGGCGCGGCCGCGGCGTACGGCGCGCGGCTAAGTTCATCAATGATACGTCAGACACAAGCAGATTGGCAACCCTCGGATCGATCGTGCATCGACGGTGGCGCATCGACGAATCGTTACCTGGAAATCCCAACGGCCACTCGGTGCTCCCAAATTCGAGCTGGCAAAGTTTTGGCCTGGAAGTCCAAGGAACGCCGGAAGTTCAACGAACACGCCTGACAAATCGCTGCACGTTCTCAGTTGGAGGAAGACGAAGCGTGAAGAGAGAAAGCTTCTGCTGACGCCCAAGGCCGCCAGCCACCCGTGAAGGAGAGCCTGAGGAGGCTTGAGCCTGAGGTAAGTCTGTGCACTCATAGAGTGGCAAAGAAGCTTTCTGCACTCACTGCTTTTGAATCGATCCAGGAGCTGTTCTGACACTTTGGAACAGCCAAGCTTGGAAGAGCTGTCAGGGGCCCTTCAGAAATACAATGCCGTGTCTGCTTTTGGCGTGCTTGCATTCCTAAAAACTGAGCAGTGCTGGGTAGAGGTGTGCACTTGCCTGTCGGAAGCTGGGGGCTTCTGCACTAAGCTGATTCTTAGCTCCTAGCTGCTCAGTGAAGACTGTGTGCCCTCTGACTCGTCTATGGGAAAGCAAAGGATCTTTCAGAGGCTCAGAATATGGGAAGGACGGTTTCCATGTCTGCATGTCCAGCTGAAGCACAAGGGAATGGACACCTGTCACAGCTGTCATTGCTTATCGTAACACAAGTGTTGATCTCCAACTAGTCTTAGCTGATCAGGGCACAATCTCAGCCCTTGCAATGCTGTAGCTTGGGAGCTGAGTCCTTACAGACTGATGTCATACCACCTCAAAAGCTAGGCTCCTGAAGGGTGGAAGAGTCTAGAAGACTCTCCAATGGCTCCGCACAGTGGTCCTACCTCACAAGGGTCCCACGTAACCAGGAGCTTTCATCCAAACCCAGCAGATGGTTCTTCTGCAGGGACTGCCGTTGAACACTCGGTGTGGCTGCCCCTACCAGCGAGTCCTGTGTACGGCACCCCCGCGGCGAAAGGACACCCCCGTAGGTGCTGGGCCGCTTGCTGGGAAACCACACACGAGTTCTGCAGTCCCTTCAAAGTTGCCGGTGGAGGCCGCTTTCAGATAACACCCCTGGAGCTCCCTACCGGGCATTCTGACAACTCCCCAACCGAGCCCGCCACGCCATCCAAAACTGCTCCTCATCCTGTCCCACCGGACCACAGAACAGAAGGCGAAATGAAGGCCTCGGAGCTGTTTTCCACCGAGCGGCGGCTCTTTGTCCTGGTCTCCTTCATCCTGCTCGCGGCGGCCGCCTACTTTCTGGGCCACACTGCGCGCTCCAACACGCGCTTTCTCCTCGGGCCACGGGTACTGCTGGAACCCCGTCTCCTGCTCGAGTTCCAGCATCCCCCTCTAGTTGCCTTGAGGCCTGAATCCGAGCCTGTTCCTGAAACCCCTCCCTTCTCTGGAAATGTCGATCTGCCAGAAGCCCCTCTTGCCACGGACGCCCCTCTTCCGATTGCCCACTGCCCGATCGAAGCGCCCCCCCAAAACATTGGAGCGCGGGCGTGGCAGACCGTTGAGGAGGACGTCATTCCACGGGGGAACGAGGTTTGGGGACGGGCGGGCGTGCTGTTTGACAGATGGAACAACGGTTCGCTGCAACTAGACGAGGAAAAGTTCTATGGTGACCGGCCGGAGCTTCTGGGTCACACCGGGGGGGGCGAGCCGGGGTTTGCGTGGTTCAAGCACTTGACGAACCTGGACGATTCAAAGCCGGTGGAGTTTGCTTCCCGTCCCCCCCCCTCGAGCGTGCAGTTGCCCCGCTGCGATGTCGCCAAGATGCACCCGGAAGAACGGCTCGGGGGGGTGAGCGTGTGCGCCATGGTTAGGAACGAGGAACAAGCTCTGGCGCAGTGGCTGAACTACTATTACTATCTCGGGGTGAGCAAGGTTGTGCTGTACGATGACGGGTCCACGGATGGCACGGCAGAAGTCGCGGCCGCGTACAGCGGGTTTGTGGACTATGTCAAGTGGGAGAAGGAGCCCGGGCGGAACTGGGAGACGGACCAGGTGATCATCTACTACACGTGCATCGAGCGCGAACTAGCGCGAGGGGCGAAGTGGGTCGGGCCGCTCGACGTCGACGAGTATGTCGTTTTCGACGACCCAAACGAGCGGCTGGACAGCTTTTTGGATGGGTTTGCGGGGGGGCGGCCAAACGTGGGCTCCGTGAGTTTCACGTGGCGGATGATGCACTCGGACGCAATCAGCCTGCCGGACCCGGCGTTTGCGCTGTTGGACGTCCGGTATGCGTGCAAGGACGGGGGGGACGACTGGCACCACGTGAAGACGTTTGTGCGGGCGGGCGCGTTTGAGAGGACGCAGCACCCGCACTACGTGATCCTGAAAGATGGCTTTCACCAGTTTGACGTGTCAGGTGAGGGCTCTAAGGAAAGAGGTTTCAGAACGGCTTATGTAAGCAGCGTGTTCCTTGTTGCTGATATGAAGTCGGACACTCCAGTCTTAGTTAGCAGTCTAATAGCAGTATTGAGTAGCACGTTCGTCGCCCATGTACTGGCGTTGAGGCCGGCCTTTGCGAACTGATCGCAAAGCCTGCGATATTCCTCCCACAATGACAATTTCAGTGCTTATCTTGAAAGATAGGGCCAGTCAAGACCCCCGGCTTGAGCTCGTTGGTTGCCCGCTGCAGATTTCCGATTTCCAGCTCATCTGCTTCCACGTGGATGTTACAAGGCAGGACTGAATCACGCTTCCTTAAAGGCTCACCTCCACTACCTGATTGACAATCCTCTTCACAAGATTCCCAGCTATATACTTCTGACCTCGGTTCTTATGTTCTCCTTTCTCAGGTGGCATCATCGATCCCCCGGGCCCTTTTGCCAGCCGCTCCATCCACTCTCCTGCCCGTTTGAACCACTACCGACTGCTCTCGCTGCACGAGTGGCTGCGGAAAGCAAGCAAGCGCCACTCCCGAAAGCTGGAAGGCGGGGAGCCGTCTGCCGGCCACGCCACCAAATCAGGGGACTACTCCCTCGAGCACTTGGAGGCCACGCTAGGCAAATGCTTCCCAGTACAACCGGATGCGTCAGCTTTACTGAACGTGCTGGCCCGCCAAGGCTGTCTGTGACCTACTGATACTGGGCGTCTGGTCTATACTACTGCGTACCGTTTGATTGAACGGTAAAAAGTGATGAGTTTCGCCTTGTACAGTATTGAGAACCTTAAGGGGAACACTTGACCGCGCGTACAGCAAAGGCTCTTCGAGTTGCTAAATTAGATCAACCGCAGATCACCAAGCTTTCGTAACAGCTAGTCCTGAACAGATTGCTGACAACGGTGCGCACAAGCGCATGTATTGGTCACTAATAAAGCTCTCAACTTTTGGCGATTGCTAGCGGGCATAAGGTGTTGCTGCAAGCTCTAGCCGCTAATTCTTTTCTCCTCGTACATCTGCTAAAAGATCGGTTGAACCCGGCCCACAATGGCTTCAAACTTCGAGCTCAAGCAAAGGCGCCGAATCGTCAAGCTCGTCACATGCATACAAGATCGATTTATGATGATCCGGCATGACATGGATCTTTTGCGTGCGGTGGATCACCTGCATCTTTATAAAAGGATTCTGCATGGAAAGCTACCAAGCATAATCAACATTGGCCTTAATTTCGAATTAAGCCTGGTTTATCCAAGCCTGGTGGGGCGCTGGCCCCTCATGTGAGTTGACTTGCATGGATCCACATTACAGATGGCGCGCGCTGGCAATGATATGTACGTATTCGAAGGTAAAGTCTGGCTTGCATGTATGATGCATGACACGTTTACTTGATATACTGAGCTTGTGCATGCATTAGTGAATAATGGTGACATGACTAGAATCTACATAACACAACACAGAAGGACCATCTGGTTGCAAACAGCTCAGTAACATAGGCGTTCTATAGATGATCATCTCTAGTGGTCGTTTCCGTACGTACAGGTTGCCCAGGGACTTACCATATAAATACATGATCAAGCGCGGTAGCAAATGCTCTGTATAGCTACGCATATGGATGATAGCCGCATGATATGTGCATGCTGTGCATGATATCGCTCAGCACAAAAGGTGACCGCGATTGCATTTGACGATCGATGATGGCGGCCCACGTACGCTCTCTCTTGCATGGACCGCCAACTCTCATTGTTAGATCTCTGCGATACTTACTTGGATGAACGCGTGTGCAATTGCAGGGCAAGTTCGCCCCTGCAATGACAAGTCACCGTGACACGCGAGGGTCGCGATTTTGATTCAAACAATGGCCATGTTGTGTAAAGCACAGAGGCGACCGGCCTTACGCCTCAATTTTTCAATTCCCCGCTCTGACAGCGTCATATCGACGGCTTGTCCTCGTCAATCAAGAGCCGAGCTAAAGATTCCATCAGCTCTTTGTCGAAGGACGCCGTTGACGACCTCTTCCGGTCGACTTTGCCGACCAAGAAGGCGTCGAGTTTCTTCCGCAGTTCCTTAAAGAGGACCGCAGTCTGTGCTGGCGCGTTCATGTCCAGCCAGCCGTCGACCACGATGCGCCCTTCCTGCGCAGGCCGAAAGAATGCAACTTCGATAGGACCAGCATTCCAAATTCAAAGACCTCGCTCAATTCCTGTATAAGCCTCGGACCACCTTACTGAAATTTGCCACCGGCAGAAGTGTACAAGATTGATCCGGACAGCTAGAAATGGAAACCCGGAAAGTTGCTCTAAAATGCTGGTACTTGCGACAAGAACATCAGAGGGACTTCCAAGCCATGACGCATTGTCCTATTCTCCCTCGACGGTGGCTGTCAGGAGCTTTATCCTCTACCGCCTGCTCAAAGCCGCGGTTCCTCAGACCAGAGGGACCAAGCACCGACGCACAGATCGCAATAAGTACACCACGTAAGAAGCAAGACGTGTCGAAAACGAGAGCTTGTAACGGGCTTGTAACGAGAGCTTGTAAACCCTAAAACCCGTGCTGTTGAGCTCGTACGAGTCCTTCTCATGGAGTTGATAGTATCGATGCGACATGGTTGCCGTCTCACCTGGTGCAGCACCATTACGGGGCCCCCAAAGAGCAGCAACGCATATGGGGAGACGACCGTACAGTCCCGGAGGAAGACGCGGGTGGTCCGGACCTGAACGTCAGCAAGGAAACATTGAGGACGGTTAAGTGAATCTATTTTACAGAGGCTGGCGACGACGCCCATCAAAGTATGGTTGAAGAAGCCAACCCAGCTTTGCGGGATGCGGAGCGAAAATCAGCCGACTTGCTCAGCCCGATATGTACGGATGGCAACATTTTCTTCGTTCAGACGGCCAAGTGTGGCAGCCTCTCAAGCGTTGAGGTCCGGGTCACGTGCTTCAAGAGTCGGGGAAGGCTCTGACAGAGTCCAAAGCGCAGAAAATTTGCAACGATAGAACGTCCCATCTCCAGAGGCTAGAAACGAATGTACACCAATCATCTCACAAACCTCACGGTATCGACTCATTACGAAGTCAAGACCCCGCAAGGATCAGGGGACGATGAACGAACGTCAAAAAAGGTGCATAACTAGACTGCACATCAGTTTGACTCTCTCTAAATCTGGCCCTGTACTTCTAGTCAAAGTCGCTTCAAAGATTCTTTACCGGGTGCTTATTCAGAACTTGATTTCCCTTTCGACCACGCCTTTTCTTTGGGCCACTTTCACTCACCTTTTCGTGGAACACTAGGAAAGGCCGCTTGAACTCGGTGACCATGTGGTTTACGCTGGAGGGGTGAATCGCCACCTCCACGTGCCCATCCGTCCAGCGGGGCCTTTTCCCACTGCCCGTCAGCCCGTGCCCTGCTGCCAGGCTGTCCTTGTCAATGGCCGCCACGTGCGGGTACAGGCCAGCGCACAACACAGCCTGAAAGGGCGGGAGACATGTGTGGGTCAAGAAACTAGTGTTGCACGGGCGTAAGGCATGCCGCTTGGTTGCTCAAAACAGCGTAAAAAGCGCGAAGATATGCCTTTGAAAGGTCCGACACTCCTGCGGTCCAGGACATAAGCATAAGGAGGGAGGACTTAGGCGCGCAAACTAATGTGGAAGCACGTGGAGAGGGTCGATAAAGCTCTTTGGGTAGCAGGGTACGCCAACCGTGCACGTACGTTTGGAGGCGCGGAAAGCAGCCTAGGAGGTTCACATCCCAAAGAGGTTTGAAGAACCGAGCACAAGGGCAACAAGCTGACTTTGAAAGGTCGACCGCAGAATTCGCGAGCGACACTCGCCAGGTATTGTGCCCGATAAACAGACGGCTGCTATGCGACAGTCAGCGTTGACAGCGCTGGCGAATCTCTTCCGCCCAGAGCTGCTCTTCCTGCTTCAAACAATCTGCATCCGCGAAGCTAGAACACAATTTTGCAAAGACACAAACTTATTTCTTGTTTGGGCTGAGCAACAGAGACACCCCGGCGCCGCACCTTGATCACAGCCGGGTGCGTCGCGTGCGCGTTCCACGGCCTGCTGACGTCATCCGCCAGCTGAGCAGCGTCGCGTCGCCGCCCGCGCCCGGCCCCCGAGTCGGTCGCGTCCGCTACGAAGCCGATGTCGGCCAGGAGCGTCGCAAACTGCGCGCGCATGTCCGCGAGCATCTCCAGGGTCTGCAGAAGGACCGGTTTTTAAGCAATCAGCTGCAGTTCCCGAGGGACGGTCGGAACATTGAAAGGGGTTTTCTGACGGTCAAGGAACAGCTGAATTCCGGAAATAAGAGCTACCGCAAGAAGCTGGGCGCCCAGAACAAGGGCCCGGGGTTCGTTGGCCACGTTAGGGATCCAAACCGGAGCCGATGAACCCGCTGGGCAGCATACTATGAGCAACTTAGACACGCAAGGAGGGCGTGAAAGATGGACACAAGGTGAGACAACGCGGCGTCTCCGCCTCTTTCTCTTTTGAAGAAACTACCGAAGAAGCCAAAGAGGCAAGCTTTATCGCGTCTCGTCACTCATGCCTTTCCGTCCAGATTCGCGTACGAGCTGAGCCAAACTTCACATTCCCCACTCCCCGGATCCCATGGACAATGATATTCATACTGCCCACCTGTTGATTCAAAAAGTGCTTCCTGCAGTGCTCTCGCCCCGCCCGCTTGCCCGGCGCCCCGCCCGTCCCGACCGCCCGCCTCCACCCCTCATACGCGGCCACCATGGCCAAGTGGTCCGACTGCTGCCCGGAGGCAATCCCTGGGCGCTCTCCCCGGACGGCCGGGGCTGCCAGGCTCGTCCGTGCCTGCTCCGCTGCATCCTTCTGCAACGGGAAGTAGGTTGTTTTGAGAGAGCGGCGCTTGGTTATTGAGAAATGCAAGAAAGATGGGAAGCAGTCGCAGGTCAGACAGTCGAAGTAGAGTGACGGCTCCTGCGGGCCTTTGACCACCTTACCCGGAAGACGTTGACATGGACTTAAACCTTTCCGCAGTTGATACCCACCGATCTCTCCTTCTTACTAGAGACCAGTCCTCAAAGACCTGCGTATCTATTCCCCAACTTCCCTGGGGACCGGACGTTCGCTCACACGAGAACGTCTGCTTAGAATGCTTTTTCTCACCTGATCGCTAGGCGTGACAAAAGGCGACTTGTAGCTGAGGCACGCGGCAACGGTCAGGGCCGGCGAGAGGCAGCCGAAGATGGCTCCGTAGATCATGATCTGCAGCGGAACGGAACGTCCGTTAGCAAATTGCAGAGAAGGCCGCCCGAAGCTCTGTCGGCAGAAGTCGAGACTTGCTACTGAAGCGGCAGATCGTTGAAAAGCCGAGCATTCACAGGTTTGCAGAGTGCTCAAAGGAGCGTCGCATCTCCCTTAACACATTACCAGCTCAACCCAGCATCTTCTAATTCCTTTCTTGAGACGACAAGCAACACATCGGTCGATCTTGGCGTGCGTTTTGCCAACCTATTTCATTGCCGATAACGACGACTCTGCAGACTGAAAAAGCGAGCAGCGTCTGCAGGCTTATAGACAAACGTCCGCAAAAAAGATGCACGTCCATAGCCCACCTTTCCTATGCGCGCGTCGACTGGGAGTGCTGCCAGGTGGTGCCCCAGCGGCGTCAGCTCTTCCTTCTCGTCCAGAGCGCCCACCTCCCGCAGGGACCCCACCGCCGCCTCGACCGACTCTGCCTTCGGCGGCTCTATGGCCTGCACTGGGAAAACCCGCTCTTGAACGAAGCTTTCTTGACGTCGTCATTCTTCCAACGAATCTGCAACTTTAAGGGCATGCGCTAATGGCCGGCGACTTTTGTGCATCGCAAGACCTCTTGTCAGGCTGACCCGAAGCTCCAAGAGCTGCAAAACCCCACGTCGGCACGGCTTTTGCTGTTTTCTCTTGGAGAACCCGCTGGCTTGTCCGACTTCACGCACTCAAAGAAGCACCCCAGAATGTTTATTGACAAACTTTCTCAGTCTGAATGATAGAAAAAGGCCATTGCAGAACCGACTTCACCTTGGCCAGCACTTCGCCCGCGGTCCCCAGCTTGAGCAGCTTGACCTGCAGGCACAGCTCCGCGAGCGGCACGCGCGCCATTTCGGGTGCCTGGAAGGGCCGCATCTGCGACTCCAGCCGTCGCCGCGTGTACAGCGTGAAGCACGTCCCGGGCCGGACGCGGCCCGCCCGGCCGGCGCGCTGTCGCGCGTTCGCCTGAGGACAGCGAAGCGGCGGGTGAGCGTGAAATAAATAACTGGGCATTGAATTGGATGCATTGGAGAGAGTTCGAAGTTTATCAGTAATAATTTAAACGTTAATAGAATCCTTGAGGGCCTCAAAGAAGTTTGAAAAGACCACTACGGTGGCTTCTGCACAAAATACATTCGGAGCGGAGGAAACTTGACTTCAAGAGGGGTCTTTCTCTCCATCCCCTCCTCTGAGATCTCTGCTAAATGGGCTTCAGATACATAATACACGTACCACGCGCAAAGAGAATCGGGTGGCTGACTCAAACGTTGTTCCGTGTCAGCTCATCCTGCTCTACAACCCAGCCTGTTGGCAGACTCATCTCAAGGAAAAGCCACACATGATCGCCATGTACATGGAATTCCAGTTCTTTAAAGACATGCGGTCGGACGGACTTCCGGACCTTGGAGACCCAGGCCTCGACGAGGGACGCCATGCCGCGCTTGGCGTCGTAGCGCTGCTCCTTCTGGCGGCCGCTGTCAATCACCACGACGACGTCCGGGATCGTGATGCTCGTCTCCGCGATGTTGGTCGCCACCACCACCTGCGTCAACGTGACGTCAGCTGCGTGATCTGACCGTGAGATGTACAAGCGTGATGGTCGACGGAATGCTTTGGCATCTAAGCTTGGCAGAGGGTCGACCTTGTCTCCACGATGTTGGTAGACATCACCACGCGCGTCATCGTGACGTCAGTCATCACAACGTGAGATTCCTTTTTAGTAAGCAGAATTGGGAGAAGATCATCGTAGAAGCAGTCCGCCAATGCCGCAAAATTGGTGAAAAAGGACCCCCTGAAGCTTGAATCTTGTTCAGGATCACGCTTAGGTGGAAGGAGGTCTGCGCTCAGCTCAAACTCGTTGCTCAGGTCCACGAAGAGGCTCGTTGACTATCTCGGACTCAATAAGCAGCGGCTGGTTCAAGGACTACGTTTTGGAAGCCCTTTTCAAGTGACCTCCGTTTCTCTCTGAGAAGCTTTTCATCAAACAAATATTCTGCATGCCCTAGGGATGTGGACGCGAAAGAACAGCAGCAGAGAAAACGAATCTTAGCACATCTCTCGCGGCGCAGCTCACCTTTCGGATGCCTGGAGGAGGTGTTTGGAACGCGCGTCTCTGCTCGCTCGGCGAGACGGATGAATGGAGGGGAAGGAGCCACTGCAAAAGAAGGGCCAACCAATCAGTATACGCAAGAAACAAGCACAAACGCAAGACTAGCACTTGAATCTCCATTTACTGTTTTGGGCTCTTCTTCAGATTGACCCTGACTTCCAAGGATGAAGTCCGAAAATTGATCGCCATCCTGGCAGAAAGAGCAAAGCTCCGAGGGTCCAAAAATTTCAGTCCAGTTTTCCATGGTGTTAGGCCTCGACAGCTACAATTCCTACGAAAAGCGGGCAGTTACTTGCTGTAAGTAACACTTGACGATTCTGAAAAACAGATCTACGTACGCGTTCTGCAATCACTTCGGTACATTCTTGACAGACTTTTGGATATCAAAAGGTTTCGAAACGGAGCAGCAGGCAATGTACAGTTCCCGACCACGCGAAGCTCGTTTCGCCTGCGAGGATTGCCCACCTGCGACTTCTCCGGCGTGCCAAAGCGGCGGGATGCGGAGAGGCGGTCCAGCAGGCTCTGAATTTCCGCGATGCCCGGGAGGAACACCAGCACGGCGCCCTCGCCAAAGTCGTCCCCCGACTCGTCGATGTGCGTAATGAGGTCCTCCAGCAGATCATAGTCAATCTGCTCCTCGTCAAGCCTCGCCTGCAGAGAAAGTGCTGGGTGGGTGCGAGCCACAGGCTTTCGATCATCTAACATAAAACCTGGACCATGTTTGCGTTGGCAAATGCTCCACGTCCGCGCTGACCAAGAGTTGATTTGGAGCGCTTCCTCAGGGATGACAAGCTGTGTTGAGAGAGAAGGGCAGACTAAAGACGAGACAGACTCGTTGCGAAAGCATCCAGTCCTGTCCGAAAAGTATTGCCCGGTGAAAGCAAGAGACTTCCCGCATGCTTTCATTAGTTCTTTTCTTAAGTTTGCATGTGCTACGCAGGTAAGTCAAAAATCCTTTGGAGGCTACTCAGGCTTGTATCAGTTACAGCTCATAGCTTCGATTTCTCTTCTAAAAGCAGCGTTTTAGCAAACAAAGCCCTAAGATTCCCGGCCCTGAGACCTCACCAGGTTCTTCCTGGTAGCGCTGCTGAAGTCCTGGTACAATTCCTCGTCGTAGTTCGGGTTGAGAACCTGGTCCCCGCCCCCGGCCTTGAGCTCGTCCCCCCAGCCGGCCTTGATCAGCTTGTTCTTGTCTTGGTTCCCGCCCACCATCTTGCTGCGAGACGCCTGGATCAAAATATCGTGGTATGATTACATCGGCACAGCTCCAAAGATTACAGAAAGATTCATCGGCACAGCTCACGAGTTTCAACGAGAGGGGAAGCGGCGGCAGCCTCAATGGATTGGTTGAAAATTGATGCCCAACTCGCGCTGATAGCTGTAGTAGAAATGCGTCCTTTGGACAGCAAAAAGACGGAACAACGATATGCTGATGTATGTTCCAAGCCGACCCTCGATTGTTGGTTGTTGGATCTGAGGAGCATCTGCGGGAAGGCAGACGGATCGCCGAGGGGATCAAGGAAGGTTGTCAAGGCAGGCGATCAAAAAACATGGGCTCAAAGGGTCCCCTGCTCACATGTGCAAATCTCATACCCGCGCCCTCACGCTGTGCTGCGGGCGAGTCGGCGGCCAGCTTGTAGGCGAGCCGCTCGTAGATGTCCTCCAGGCAGTGCATCTGCACGGGGAAGGTGCGCCCCTCGGCGCTGACCACCGGGCAGCCGCCGAAGTAGCTGGAGAATAGGCCCGCGTCCAAAGTGGCGGACCTGCACCCGGGGCATAGCCTATGAGCCCACTTCGAGTTCGCAACGAGTCAAAGGATTATCGAACAAATTCCTGAAGCGAAGGACGAAGAGGCAGAAGTGGGCAGCAGGGACGGTCAGCGGAGTGAAAAGAAGAGACTTCGACTGGTTCAGCTTTTTGAATCTAGAGCGCAGGTGATCGTTCCGCACCTTCTCCTTGCACTCTCCAAAGCAACTTGGTCAGACCGTGATTGCTGAAGCTGAGAAAGTCCAAAGTCATCAAAAAGCCATAAAGCAAGGAGCGCAGTAGCGAAAGGGACTGACATGAGCACGACTTTGAGCGGGGGCAGCCTGCTGCGACCCCCGTTCCGGCGCGCGAGCAGCTCGCGCAGGATGGTCATCAGGAAGTCGCCCTGCAGCGTCCGCTCGTGCACCTCGTCCACCACCACGTGGCTGACGTCAGCGAGAGCGCGGTCGCCCGCCAGCCGCCGCAGCAGGATGCCCGTCGTGCAGAAGAGCAGCCGGGTCTCGGAGGACCTGCGCGAAAACGACAGCAATCGAGTTAGCTTGCCAGTTGTAATCTTTGAACCAAATAGTCGCGCAAAAGCGCTTTGCAGTGTCAGCAACTTAGAAAGAGGACGTTACAACCGAGCCCGGATGCAAATCAACTCGGTACGTCGTGACGGATCGCAGAATCAACTGCTTGCAAGTTCAACTTGAAGCCTGTAGGGCAAGAAGCGAACCAAGGCAGGATGGTGGCAACGTGCATAAAACAAGTGGGCACAAGTTCTTATCCTAAATTTCCTACATAGAGGTCAGGCCCCCCCTACTGTAGAACGCCCATTTTGGTCTAATGACAGCTTGTGCAGACGCCGCGTGTCCTCACCTGGCTGCATCAAGTCGGACGTGGTAGCCCACCAGGGCGCCGTTCTCCCCCGGAGCCGCTTCACACCTTTCGCTGGCGACCCTCTCCGCCACTGACACAGCGGCGATTCGCCGGGGCTGCGTGCACACAATGCTGCAGGCGCCGCCCCGGCCCGCCTCAATCTCCGCGTCCAAAATGTACTGAGGGACCTGCACAACGGGAAAAGTTGAAGTTGGCAGGATCGAAGACAACGTGGAAAGAGGAAAGGTCCCTCCTAAGGATGAGGATGGAATCCTTAATGACAGGCAGTGACTGAAAGTCTGATAGTCTTTTGTGACCGGGATCCACACGCTCGTCTTGCCGGTTGAGTTAATGCGCTTTCAATACGACTGGGAGCCTACTCTGCCCGTTCTTTGTTGCGCACTCTGGGCTTCTGTTGAGCAGTCGCTGAAGAGCGCGGCGTCCTCTTTCCATTTAAGTATCGGAGTCAGGAATGCAGGGCTTACTGTAGCAATTTGAAGAACCTTTTGCGGTCCAAAGGTCCAAACGGGGACGACCGACAATATTGTAACGGAGTCTGGGGCGCGTAAGCTGGCAAATCCCACCTGTGTAGTCTTTCCCGAGCCCGTCTCTCCGGACACAACGACCACGTCATGCTGACGCAAGGCGCCCAGTATCTCGTCCCGCACCCTCGCGATCGGCAGGCCCAACCGACCTTTCAGCATCTTTTGATACCCCGGCGTTCTCCCCCTCGCCTCTAGTTCCCTCTTCAAGCGATCCCCATTGCGTTGCTGAACCTCGCTCGTCTCGCCAGTCTCCAGCTGAGACCAGTCCATGTCTTCGTCGCCACTGGTGCTCTCTTCCTCGGGCCTTTGGCCACCGTTTTCTGCCCTTCGAGTCGGGGCAGTCGCCGCTTTCTCGCTGACGAGCGCGTTGATGAAGTCGGCGCGCTGCTGTTCCGCGGCTTGGGTAGCTTCCGTCCGGGCCTCAGAACCTGGATGGAAGAGCGGACGGGGAGGCTGACGGGAACGCACTTCGCAAGAAAGAAAAAGCTCTCAGAATTGCTCTTTGAACGGAAGTTTTTCGGCCAGGTTGGATTCGAAAGCTTCGCTATGTACTCTGCTAAACAAGTGCAGCAGAAGAGATGACACATATCGTCAAACATATCCGCAACGACTTCAAAATCTTTCTGGATGCCAGTATGTTACTACGGACTTCTTGATCATGAGATAGGGAGATCAATTCCTTCAACCGATTAAGTTCGATTTAGCCCGGGGAATACTGTTTCCAACGTCTGATCATCTCTACTGCTGTAATCCCAAACGCCTTCATGTTGCTAAACGCGAAAAACCACAGCTAGCATTCATCTTCTGAAGGAGTTCACCTTGCAGCTGCCATCCTTTCCACATATCGCTGTATGGCGGCGGCAGTATCCGATACAGCGGCTGATCTCGCACCAATTCGTACAAGGCCAATGTCGCAGCGGCATTTTGAGCGTCGCCTATGCTCGGCCACCTTTTAAAGACAAGGAGAGGCAACGTGAGTACTCAAAGGAAATAGCACTGTCGTGGTCCGATACCGGGTCTAGAAGCGCGGAGGACGGAAAGATCAATGTCCACGGTTTTTCGCGTTACAGTATGTGACAAGTATAATTCTCAACCCCCAATGAAGATTTCCAACGACAGCGTGGATTATTGACTCCAAATTTCCTGCCTCGATGGCGGCGACTTTTTCTCGGCGGGATCTGAAAGTGTCGCAGCAGACAAGAGCTACCGCAGCTTTCGCCGCTAAATGCTGGGAGAGGTGCATTCTGGAAGGAAGAACGGATCCCGCTAAGCGCAGAACACCAGGATGCGCTTGATCGTGCACCGACACCTCAAGAAAAAGGATACAAGTCAACGTGCATCGTACCCGTCCTCGTCTGCAGGGAGTTGCACGTCGAGCGGGCCCGCATTCGCCCTCTTCCCCTTCCCCCTTCCCGGCCGTTCGACCCTCACCGAGTATCTATACCCCCCTCCTTCGATTCTCGTGCCCCCAACCGGCAGCTTCTCGAAACGGGGGGCAGGCCACCCCTCCTTCTGACAGTGCTGCTGCAACAGCGCCTTCGGCAGCCGTTGCACGTCCACCCCCCCGCCGCCCCCCTTTGCAGGCCCCTTCCCCTTACCCCCCGGAGGCCGACCCTTGCTGCCCCCAGACTCCGTGCCCCACGCCACGAGCGGCTCCTCGAACTGCGCCTGCTTCTGCATCAGAGTGACCGAGTCCGGAAGCCCCACGTCCGAAGTGTCCTCGTCGAACATTGACGACATCCCACCCTCTTCCTCCTCCGCCCTGGTCGCCTCAGTGCTCGTACTTGTCGTGGAGACAATTTTTGGAACTTCGGAAGTGCTGCTTCCGCTTGGCCCCGCAATCTCCTCTACCCTGGAGATATGATCTGCTTCTGGAACATCTGGACGTTCCGTGTCTGGCGAAACAGCCAGCGACTCCCAGTCTCCTTCCTCAGCGCTTGTGGTTGTTTCAGCAATTGCGCCGGCCGGCGCTCCTGGCATCGACTCTCCTGCCTCCTCCTGGAAACCCGTTGTCGGCTTCGAATGAAGATCATCTTCTTTCACCCCTGTAAAAATACTGAACCAGACCTTGTCATTCACTGACGTGCCTGCCAGTACAGCACCTGAAACTGCTGTTGAGAATGTCAGAACGAATCTTCTCAGAATAAATCAAGCACGCAGATGTGATCCTCGATCTAATCGAGCTTGAAGTCCCAGTCGATTTCCCATCGCTCCGCACATCATTCACTCATAGCAAGTTGCGGGCGTCCTTGGTCTTTCGGCTTCAAAAACAGTGTCCTTGTATGTGAAGTCAGGAAATCTGTTCCAAGGTGTTTCCTTTTGAGCAACAAGCTCATAAGGGGAACACTTGCCTAGCCTTGCCATCTCCTCTTTGAGCTCCCGTATGATCTTCCCTGCAGCTTGTTGTCTGGCCTTGTCTCCTGCTGCCTTGGCCTTTCCAGCCTCCATTTTGGCCGCAGCATACTCATCCGCGATCTGACTCGTTCTGACCGCAGGATCAAGGGCGGCGGCTGCCCGGCTCGCTTTTCGCCGCTCTCGCTCTCGAGGGTCGGCCCAGACCTGTTCAAGCAACATCAGACTGAGCGTCGTTCATTGATAGCTAGAAATCCACATCAAGGTGAACTGTGCATAAGCTTCCTTATACTCAGATGGAGCTTTTAGTGCTTGCGAGCTGAATCCGCAGAAGAGCCAGTAGAAATACAGGGCCGCTGGAGCAAGGCTCTCCTGAGCTTCTGCCCTTGCCTTTGCTCTCAGCTGGTCGACTCACCAAGGAAGCTGACCAGTTGATTGGTGGATGAGTGACACTAATCAGCCACCCCTCTGGCCCTTACCTCCCAGTCATCTTCATCCCCCCCTGCTGACTCCTCCTCCTCTGACGTCTCTTCCTGTTTATCCAAGTACTGTCGAATCCATGCTGCTTGTTCCTTCCTCCCATCCTCCTCAATTTTCCTGGCAGGAATGGCATCTAGCAGAGGCTTCTGGAGGGATTGAAGCGCCTCTTTTTCCTCGAGAGCCGAGGCTCCAACCTCCTTGCGAGATGGAGCGCCAGGACGAGCGGTTGCAAGCACCTGAACGCCTCCACCTGGTATAAAAGACTGGAGTATTTCAGTGGATGGCCCCTATGTTCCTTTGAGAGTTGGAGGGAACGCGGCAGCACAATCAGAGAAGCTCATACAGCCAAAAGGTCTTCCTTGATACTGTGCATATTGTGCCTCAGAGCACAACAACGCAGTGCTTCTCATCCACAGAGGACAGGATCAGGAGAGAGTTTGTCAGCTCACTTTCTTCAACGCTTGTTCGTATGCCCCGTGAGAACTTTAGGGGCAGCTCGTGTGCTGGCAGCTTGAGACATAGCCAGTCCAGTGCGGACTCTAAGGACACCGCAGCCTGCATAGCAGCAACATATGCGCCGTCTACCACCAGAAGATCAGATTGGAGAAAGATCGCACAAAATAGTGGTTTCAAAACACATCCACCTTTTGTGGAATTTGAAGTAGAACATGTGCCAAGAAGACGGTCCAAGCATCTTGCTGCAGGAATGCAGCTACACCACCCTCCATCAGCACAATGCTGGCGCAATCTCATGAAGTAGATGCTGCCGCGATGCAATTCCCACTTCTATTTGTTCACATCCAGTCTCTCATTTGCTGGCCGCACCACCACCAAACCTCGGCATTAGATCCGTTGATCACTTGGGCTGAACTCTTCCTACCTGTGGCAGGGACCTCAGCACGGTCTCTACTTGCTCTCTGGTGAAACCTTCCTGGGTTAGTGCATCGTAAGTATCTTTCAAGGTCTTACTAGCCTTCTTATCAGAGGCATATGCTTCAACAGAGTCTGTATCTTTCAGGACTCCTTCAGAGCTGCTGACATTCAGGAGCAGCCGTCGCAATCTTGCTTCATTGCCAGAGCTAATATCAACTTTGGTGGCAGCCTTTGCAGCACTTCCTGTGCTCTTTGCAACCTGGCTTTTGTTCCCCGCACTCGAAGTCGACAGCTTGTTGCTCTTCTTCTTGGGCCCCATGTTTGAATAGTGTACGTGCACATTGCCCAATCCACAGAAAGATGGAGACGCCTCCTCAGATCTCCTCACACTTTAGGTTTCCTCACATGGGTAAGCTTCTCGGTTATGTAGGTAACCCAAAAAGCAGGGCTATTGGCGCATGCCCTTTCAGGGCATACTAGCTAACTTAGGTAACCCGAGTTTCATCATATTATATAACGCTTGCATGCATCCATTCTCCTGCCTACGAACGATCATGTCGGATCTGCTTGCCATTGCAGCCTGGCGAACTCGGCAGCAACTTGCAAACCCCAGGTGCATTGGTTGGTTCACGGCCTCGGGTGGGAGGCAACATACATGCATATATATTCGCCAATGTGAAGGTTGAGCCTGATGATGAGTCATGATCAAAAGCTGAGTACCTATTCTTGTCATAGTTCGCCCCTAGATGTCCCAAGATCACATGTGCCGATAATATTTTTGGCAATTGGCTCGATCTGCATATGGTAGAACCTTATGATGCGTTGAATAGCTCAAAAGAAACAGTTGTGATGAACCATAAGCGATCTTATCAATGGACCTCTCAACTTCAATCACACACATAAGGAGGCAGAGGAACCAGGGGCGCTCTATCTAGATTGCCTGAAAAGGCCTATCCTCAGGATACGAATAAAGTGTACACACATGAAGAGTGACGACTAGGACATACGACAGTCACGAATGAACCTGTCAAGTGAAAGCGTGAGCAGTTTGCCTTATACAGAGTCACCTGAATGCCCGCGAGTCACAAACAAAGTACTGATGTCATTCCTTACTAGCTGCAGCAGCCGCAGGCTCCTTCTCTGAAGAAGTGGTAGCCTCCTTTTGTGTCTCTTCCTTTACAGCCGCCACCTTTGGTGCAGGTGGTTCTTTCTTTTCCACAATCTTCGACTTCGGATTCGTTCCTGGAGGGCCACTGGTTGTCCTTTCCAAATCCCGCAACTCAAAAGTTACCTGCAAGGTGGAGTGTTCGGAGATGTCAAAAGAGAAAACGATGAGCACCGATGGCACACGCAACTCGTACAAAGCTGCTCATGAGGGGCCCTACGAGTTCAACAGTTGCACTGAATGGTCGTACAGCCAACACTGCGTTCAACGAGTTTCGCCACTCGGGTTTAGAGTGGCTGAACCTTTAGACCACCGGCAGTCTATGCTGCCAGATCTTCAACGCAGCGTCGTATGTCCACAGCAAGGACGATCGGTAGCTCTGCGGTTGTCCACTGAGGCATCTGACGAGAAAAAGATCAGCAGCAGTCTTTCAAGGACCCCAAGGTTTCCACGCTGGTCTTTGCAAACGTAAGGACTCACCAGCTTGTCCCAGTTGCCCCCTTCAAAGATGACCCCGACACGCCCATCCGTAACCCGTTGCACTATGCCGGAGTACTGCAAGAAGGTCGTTTTTGGTCACTTTCATGGACGCTCCGACGCCACACTTTCGAACGCAACAGATCAACACACATCTGCCTGCAGCGTCAGGCGTGACAACCGGCTTCGCTGGTTAAAGATGCTCAGACACAATTGAAGATGCCACGATGAGGAATTGATTTCGATGGAGACAGAAACGATCAAGTCTGAAGGCTACCAGCTGTCCTTTCCGTAAAAGTCGCTGAGAGAAAGGACTGACCATGTGGTACACGCTATCCGGGTTCTTGCAGATGACGGTCATCCCTGGCATCAGAAGTGGTGGTCGTGACGACCGGGCTGCATGGGGGACGTGTCCATACATCAATAGCGGATGCAAGAACCTTGTGCAAGAAAACTTTAACCGTGCATCAGAGCTTCTTTCAGTCGAGCAGCGTCAGTTAGCAGCATGAAGGGTCTGAATCGGGAGGAGCGACGATGCTTAACCTCGGCATGACCAAGCAGAGCGTTAGGCAACGTACCTTTTGCTAGGCCAGGCTTGCCAATGAAAGCCTCCCCATAATCCTGAGCGAAGACAGATGGAGCTAAGTCAGGTGGTGCCACCTCATACGAGCTGACGAGGTCGACTGTCCAGAGGCTACTGCGCATTCAGGCAAGACTCATTTTAAACCCAGGTGTCCGAAACAAGAGTGGAAGCAACGAACTGCTAATCAACCGTCGGTGCCAAACACCCTGCTTGGCGCAAATGCTTTTCCTGCCAGCATAACTTCCTCACCCGTACTTTCTTCGGAGGGGGGTATTTTTGAATGAAGGTGCGCAATCCCTGCTCGCCGCCAGGGAAGCCTCCTACCAAGCCACCGAGCTCTTTGTTGAAACCATCGACCTCGTCTTCAAGATCGTCCATTTTCTCCTGCAAGCATGGCCGGCAGTACCCACACTTGATTCGAGTACAGCGTGGAATAATCGACCATACTACCGCAGGTTGATAAGGTGGACTTGTGTGTCAGGGCCCACCGAAATGTTACTTAATGTAGCACATAGCACTCAGCGGACACAGCACAAGATTTTAATAGAGAAAATGTCAAGCACACAATCATTTGACTTCTGTTCCTACTACTGATATGTGGCCTGATGCCTGGGACTTCAACAGCAAGGAGCACAATTGCCACCTCGGAAACCTGTCAGTGACAGAGAGCTGTTAGCCATATATGATGACTGCCTACCTTGGGAGCCGCCTTTGGCTTCTCTTTCACTCCGTCCTTGAAAAGCTGGGCCTGGCCCTTCTCTGTTTTCAGGCCAACCTGGAAATAATCCAAAGCGGGGAAGTTTTCCTAAGTGCACTCAGGCTTGCGGAGAATTCAGCTAAATCCAAATCAGACAATCGATGCATTCAAGAGCAGAGTTCAGGTAAATAAGTGCAAATGTGCATCTCTACAAAGAAAACAAGATGGACGTACCGCCAGGCCATAAAAATGTAATCAACAAGGGGCGAGAGTTCAGACCTTTTGGCTCCCTACCACAAGCATACCAACGCGTCCTCCGGTAAAAAGAAAACAGCAACAGGAGAGCCGAGACAGAGGCCTGTCTGCGTGCCATTCAGTGACTGTACTAAAATCAAATAATAATCTTCTCCAAGTCTGCATTTTTATCCAATGATCACGAGCTCCCGAGGCGTGTTTCCATACCTCGCCTGTCTGCAGGCCCCGGCCCCCCAGCACTTGCCAAAGGTCAAACCCTCCTGCTCTTGCAACTTGCCGCCTGCGTCCTGTCCCCTGATGAACAGGTGCGCTCGTCCTAGATCCAGCTTTCCGGATGAGGCACGGGGTGCCATTAAAGGACGACGAAGCGCTGTACCAAAGGACAATGTCCAACATCAGTCTGCTAGTCATAAATGTAAAAGAATTGAGGTGGTGCATTGACGTGAGAGATGTTATTCCCGTTCTGTGCTCGTTGTGACCCAAGAATGCGACTTTTCCGATGGTAAAATCGTCCATCACTAACAAAGTGTCAGATTCTCCTCGAAGACCCACGCAATGTGGTTCCGGAGCAAAGTACTCGAAACCAGCCCACTAAGCATAGGGCCCATAAGAGCACTTTCCTCGACTAAGTTCTTGCTTGAAAGCTTCTGCACAAATCATCTGAAGTAGTGTTCAAGTCTCTGCCTGGGAGACACTCCGAAAGTTGAAGCGCCGGTGGCTTTGCTGACCAATTTTTGAGGAGAGTATGCAGGTGTCAAACAGTTGGGTAAGTTTAACATTGCCGTAGAGAGCAAGAACAGGTAGGTTATTCTCCAAATTAAACTAATTGCTCAAATGCATCCACTTTGCCACCAATGCACTGGATACGCTCTCCTAGATCCACGAGCTATAGGTTTAGTCCAATGCCTGGTCTCAGACGCGCAAAGTTGCGGAAAACAGGGACTGATCTGGTGCATTTAGGCAATGCGCTCTGCCGCAGCAGCAGAAAATCGTCACGTGCTTGGAATAACAACAGCAAGACGTTCTGCTCAGGTCCGCAGCCACTCCATACCTGCTGGATGGAGGAGAAGACTGTCCACTGAAGGCCCCCACCGCACATTGCGACGAGTGCTTCAATAATGCTGCAGACATGGCTTGCGCCATGTGATTCAACCAGCGCTGAGCAGCTAATGTCAACAGTGCCTGCGCAAAAAAAATTGCCGCTACTAACAGGTCAGCTCGCACTTGCTTTCTCCCGTCAACACAGGTTTGAACGCTCTTCAACTTCTATTAATATTTTTGACACTGACAGTGAAGTCTGATCAACAGTGATGGGAGGGAAAGGCACGGCAACTTTCTCTCCCATTCAAAAAGGAAGACGAGAAGACCAACGAGCAAAGCACTTTTGCAACTTCACGACCGGGCCGTCATGGCGGCTGGACTTTCGCGGCCCTTTCTCTAGGTTGAAGTTCCTTTGCCAGGTCGCCGGAAACCGGGCACTTTAAAGCCTCACCGGCGGTGACGTTACCAGGCTAGCCTGGCGCTTTGCTGGACGGCAATCAGAGAGACTCGATCAGCTAGGGCCTCTCAATGCCTCAATCATCAATGTCAATGTCATTGGCAGGGGCCTCCTGATTCCGCACGCGAAGTCAGCTCAATGGCTTCCAAACCCTAATTCCTGAGGATGCAGGTGCAGAACGGCCTCTCGCAAACCAAAGAGGCCCGATTGTAAGGAAACCCATGAACATTAGCTGCTTCTCGTATCAGCTAACCTACGCTTCTTTGGGTTTGTTTTTGCTCCTTTTGACATGCATTGATGCAGCTCAGGTACGGCCGTCTGAGGCGGCGGAATGGCTGGGGGTCAGCAACCACACCAACAATTGGGCAGTGCTCGTGGACACGTCACGGTACTGGTGAGCCTGGGAGCGTGTGCTAGCGTGGCTGCTCCTATGATGGTGGTGCATTGTCTGAAAAGAAATGATTTTTGTGATGACAAGTATTCTGCACAGTTCAGTCTGGATACTTTTGTGGACAAAGGAGAACGACTGCTTGGCAGTATGATCCGGAGGACGACAGCTCGGCTGGTTCAAGTCTACCACAATCATTTTGTTGCTGAAAACCTCAATGTGGCCAATGCTGAAATTTCTCCTGACGAGAAGCTCAAAGATTTGACTGGTGCCTGAAGCCTGAGCAGCTTGCAAAGGTTCTCTGCCCAACACTTGGGGCTATCTTCTGGCATGATGCTTCAGAATTGAACGATCAGAAAGTCTTGGCCCCTTTCTCGCAAGGGCCTTTTGCTCTTATGTTGGGTGTTGGTTGCAGCTTGCTTGCTGGGGTTTCTGGTGTCTGCCGCCGAAAGTGTCACTCCCCCCCGGCAATTGCTGCATTCATGTGTATTCCCCCAATATTCGCTGATGTCAGAGTCATCATGTCCAGCACACTTGCGCACTAGTAATGCTTCAGGGTGGGTCTGGCGGCACTCTGATGGGAATGTCACTTTCCATCAAAAGTGAGATTACTAGTGAGAAGTCTGTATACGAGCTGGGTTGGCGAGCAGGTCGAAGAACTATCAAATTGTGGGACCTCGCTTTGAAATACCACTACACAAAAGTACCACCGAGGCAAAGTAACAGATCGAGCGATCATCAGAAACTTAGCCCTCAACCTGAACACAGTTGAGGCAACAGATTACTTCCACCAGCTTTCAACACACCAGGCTACTCTACTTGATTGCTAGGCTGCAAGATCACGCCATTTTACCGGTGCATTTCTATCTCAGACACCAACGAGAGCCACTCTCTTCATCCAGGTTCAACTACCGGCACATTGCCAACACGCTGTCGTTGTATCGCACGGTGAAGCGGCTGGGCATCCCCGACGACCACATCATCCTTATGCTCGCGGACGATATGGCGTGCAACCCGCGCAATACGTATGCGGCCGAGGTGTTCAACAATGAGGACCACCGCCTGAACCTGTACGGGGAACACATTGAGGTCGGGCTCGCTCGCACTTGCTTCAAAGGTGGCAGAATCTGCTTAATCCGTTTTCCCTTTCATGTATCTTATTCAGGCAGCCAGGTCTCAAGCCGCTCCAGAAACGACCCCAATGTTTAGAAGTTTCTAACTGCTCTTATGGCCTCCCTTCTGGCGGCCTTCTACTCTCACCCATCTTGAATCCTCGGACTTTTTAAGTCGATGATTGTGGCTTGGGCAACTCATAGGACATGCCACATCACACAGAGAACAACATCCTAGGTGCTTTACTGAAGAGAGCATCTGCCTTTGCCCCCCTCCGCTTCTTGGAGCCTGCTGTGATGTTCGTCAAGCTGTTTCTTCAATCTCGTGTCTTATCTCCTCTTTGACCTTCTTTCAAGTGCTTGGCTGTCCGCTGTGCTTCTCTCAGGGTCTACTATACACCATGCTGAGCGTCGGACCCTTTCCTTACATCTTTGAGCCTCTTCTCTCCAATCAACTTGTTCTTCTAGCATCAGGACCTTCCGTAAGGCCCCTCTATACATCTACGCCCCGGGTTCCGCTAACCCATCGACCAAACCAGACGGAATCCTCATGGCCGTCTCTGCTGCTCTGCCGCAAACAACGTCCACCCTTGTTCCCCGCAGGTCGACTACCGTGGGTACGAGGTGACCGTCGAGAACTTCCTGCGCGTGCTGACGGGGCGGCACGACCCCGCCGTCCCGCGCTCGAAGCGGCTCCTCACGGACGGCGGCAGCAACGTGCTGGTGTATCTCACGGGGCACGGCGGCGACGAGTTCCTCAAGTTCCAGGATAAGGAACAAGTGCAGGCGAGTAGCGTCGACTTCGGGTTGATGGGGTAACAGCCAACATTGCAACCAAATCTTCAACAGGCGAGCATGCGTGAAGCACACGTTGAAGGTAGAAAAGCCAGTTCTGCATACACTTCTGGTCTTACTCACATGTGGGAGAAATAGTGCGAGCATCGCTTGCACGTCTGCCAAAATACTGCCAGATTGAGATCACACGCAGCGCAGGGCCCGGTGGACGGCTGCGTTTAGTATGGGGGTTTACGGTGGGTTTGGGTGCGGAGCGAGTTTAAATTGGATCCATGGTTCAAGTTTAGTGCGTCCTCCCCGTTCTCCTATTGTATCTTAACCTGGGTCAATTGAACCTGAAGTTGGGGCTGATGTGCAGGCGCACGACCTCGCAGATGCGCTGCAGCAAATGCACCAGAAGCAAAGGCAAGCATCCTTCACGCCGCATCCGCCCCGAGCCCGCCCTCGAAAAGCTTGCCTTCGTTGACTTCTTCAATTGATCTGCTGGGTGCTTTTCTCTTTTTGAATGTTCTTAAGGCTGCCTGAGATGCCATCTACGGAGAGTAACCATCAAGAGACTGACACATGAACAACGGTGCAGGTACAATGAGATGCTGATCATCGCGGACACATGTCAGGCGTTCACGCTCTTCAACCAGGTGGGTGGGAGCCGTCTTCGCGCGACTCAGCAGCCCTGTTGGGCAGAAAGCTCCCACTTCGTCGAGAGTTGTCAGAGCTACATTTGCGGCCAGGATTTGTTACGGCACATCGAGCAATAGATACATTGCATCAGTCGCCTCTTGGAATGGCACCCAACAGGTCAAAACACGCTTATCTGGGCCAGCGCTGCTTAAGCCTAGTACAGCCTGAAAGCACGGATTGGGCTCATGTCGACTTGAGAATGTCCGTAAAAAGATTGGGCTCGAGATTTAAGTTTCTGGCGGGTGACCCCTTCCCTTTCGTTTGAAGCCCGTAATCGAAGGGGTCAGCGCCTGCGAGTCCCCAATTCGTGACATCCCCGTTCGCCTCTCACGTCAGCAACGCATGACATTACGAGTATTCTTGCAGAATCCCTGATTGACGTGCTTCTCCATTTCTTGCACAGCTGTACAGCCCCAACGTCGTGGCGATCGGCAGCAGTCTGAAGGACGAGAGCTCGTATTCACACCACATCGACACACGCGTCGGCGTGGCCGTCATCGACCGCTTCACGTACGAGCTGCTCGCCTTCATGGAGGGCCTCGCCACCGCCAGCACCGCAACCCTGCGCGCGCTTTTCGACGTGTTCCGGTGCGCGCGCGTCGAATCGTTTTTCTCGTGCTCGCTTCCTTTCCAATGTTTCAAGGCCACAGAATTCTTTTGCAGTCCAAAGGCCTTCAGCCCTTTTTGCGGACTGCACTAGGTCGACCCTTGAAGAGGACGCACACGCTGGTCATCATCAGCAGCAATCGGCTTGTCTATCATGGACGTGCCAACGGTCGGCCATGTCGGGTATTCTCCATGGGTTAGCTCTATTGGGCAACCAGCCCTTTCTTATGGTGGACCTCCGGTGTTGTTGTCTCCTCTTGCTCACGATTCCACACTTCCCACCTTGCAGGTTTGAGAGTCTGGGATCGCATGTGGACAAGCGAACCGACCTTCTCCGGCGACCGTTTAATTCTGTGCTAGTGACGGATTTCTTCGGTTCGGTTACAAGCGTTTACCAAACAGAAGAAGTGTATGTCCTATAACTCATTTCTGCATAACACTCTGGGCATATTCTCTGGTCTTCTGCAATTGCAAGACGTGATGTATCTGTTGGTCCACTATTCCGCATCCTGCAGTTTTCATCCCATGCAACCCTTTCTAGATTCTGATCCTCGCATGGTAAGTGCGGCTAATCAGGCCTAGCCAGACTCATTCGCCAAGGTGGCCTTTAGTAGCTCTGCTGATCAAAGGCCGAATGGCTGGTCATCACATGAGTACGTGCATCGTAGCAGTCGCTGGTCCAGTATAGCACCACCAAACTTATTCAAAGCACAGCTCACTCACATGAAAAGGCTAGTTGTGGGTTCCCGGCCTGTGCATGCATTATGTGCAGCTCGGTGATGTGAATCCAACGCAATTTGACAATGCATACACATGCATGCGAACAAGGTTAATTCTGTCAACAACTGATACATGGCTTTAAACAATCCGACACACATGCCATACATTATGCATCGACGAGCTAGGCTGTGAACACTGTATACGGGCCCCGCCGCCTCCATATTTAAGTTTCTGTCGATCCTGCGCTGCTGCTTCGATCTTGCAAAGCTGCATGCTTCCATATGGACTTTTTGCAACCTTATTGGTGTGAAAGGCTTGATTTCAAAGAATCCGGTTTCTCAGTGGCCCCCAGTTGCAACTAAGTTCGCTTGCACCAGGGTATTGTGTATGTGACCACAAAGCGCACGGGAGTACGTCAAAGTACAAAGATGAGAACAATCGAGTCTGCAGTAAGCAGCACACTCCCACAAACTCGATCCAAATGCAAGTTGGTTCATAGGAAAGCAGTTTAACTAGACGTAAGCGGATCCAGTGTCAGTCATAATCGATACAGGACCTCACCTATGCGCGCTTTAGTATGTCCTAATAACTCGGTGCATATGGTCACCTGAATCCCTAAGGACTCGCCTACGAGAAACCAGCCCCTTGCAACACACCGAGTCTCTCCAGCCCGCTGTCTACCCTAATCTAGTCCGCTTAGCTAGCATGTTTCCTGGACCATATTCTCCTCTGAAGGTTAAGCCATTACCTGACGAGTGCCCACTGCCCTCCATTTCCTTAGGTGGGTCTACCAATCCCCGTTTGAGCATTCCCGGGGTAGGCTCCGATTCTCTTGACGGCCCCACACCGTCGCTGCTAACCTTTTGCTCCATAGAGTACCTCAGCTCGACGAACCGGGGGAAGTCGGAGGGGGGCTGCGAAGGCTTCTCCGCCTCATGACCATGCCGGACGAGCACCGCTTCTGTCGCCCAGGCGTGGCTGCGCAACCCATGTTCCTCCATCGTCAAGTCCAGTCCAGGGGTGGACCGCGAGGGCGCTATTCCCAACGGCACCCCTTGAGGGTGGGGTTCCCTGGCCAGCCCCCCTGCCGACCGCGGCTTCGGATTGGGCTGCGGCACCGGCAGGCCCCCTTGCTCCTTGTCCTCTCCTACCTCCACTTGCATCCCCCCTGCCTGGCTGGCAGAGAACAGCGCCTGCTGCTCGACCCGCGCAGCGTCCCGCAGGAAGTCCTGCTCCTCCTCCTCGCTCAACGGGGGGGGCAGATTCAGGTCCAGCACCGGCCGCGATGCCCTCCCCCGCTTCTGCGTCGGAACTCTGTCTACTTGCAGATTCATCTGCAGCTTCGTCGCGCCCCAGGTCCTAGCGAGGTCTGCAACCGGCGCATACGATACGGGCGCCTTTGCTGGCTCCTCCCTCTCCCCCGACATGGGGATCACCAGCCCGCCATGGCTCGGGCCAAACGCCGCCGCCGCCGAAACGTCCTTTGACTCGAGCAGGGACAGGGCCTGTTTCGTTTCAGGGACGGAGATCTCGGGCTCCCTTCGACCAAAGCCTGAAGTGCTTCCCCCCAAGGCTAAAGTGGCCTGCTCGTAAGCGGCGCCTGCTGCGGCAGGCGCCTCAAGCGCGGGGTGGTGGTGCTCGGGGGATCCCTGCCAGGTGCTGATGAGCAGCATCTCGACTTGCTCCACAGGGATGACGCCAAGGACACCTGCGTGATACACTGGGACCAAATGCTGGCATCAGGGTTTAACCAGGCAGACCTGCAACGGGTGCCTATAAATGCAGAGATGTACAGGGGCCGAGTCTTCAATCTCTACAATGATATGTCAGAAATTAGAAAGGGACCCCTTGATCTCTGTTTGCCTTAGGAATCAACCCAGGTGCTGCAGCTAGCGCACACATGTCAAAAGGCCTGGTCTGTGCAGTCGAATCAACTGGAAACGCAGACAGCATTTTTTCTTCTGTTTTATACAAGCGGAGTTCGTTGGTTAACACTCTGCCAGTAAGCAACACGTATTTGAAATGTTCTAAGAGGGGCACTTGCTCTCAGAACTCGTTGCAGCAGAAAGAAGGAACAACAAACTGGCAGATAATCAATCAATCCTGGATGTACAGGACATATTCAGTCCCCGTTGAGCGCTTTGAACACGAGCTAAATCCTACTAAAAGTCAAAACTGTAGCAATGCTAGGGATGGAGCAAAACATCTTCATCCAATGAATAACACTAGGCCTCTAGGCCTCTACACATTATGTTTTCACCAGTGCAACCAACAGATGTTACAGATGATGAGTTCAGCTCAAGCCAGCTTTTCCTAAGAGAGCAGCAGATAAGGCGATCAGCAAACTCCTGCATACCATGTTTGAGGCCCACGAAGCAAGCAGAGCACATGGCATATAGTTTCACAGTAAGCAGTGCAAAACATGTGCAATCAGATTGTCAAGTAACATGTTACCTTGCCGGACTGTACCTTTAATACATCCGCCAAAGACCAAGAGACTCTCCACAGTGTGCCCTGCGGTCTTTGACACGGCCCGGGTCGCCCGGTCATACACCTCAGGATTGCTCCTGCACACACACATCTCCCTTAGATGCTGGAAGGTGGTGACGAGGGGCTTCTGTGGCAAACCCCACCTTCTGGATTGGAGAAAACGTAAGCTAAAGGGAAATCGGTACAAACCTCTCTGCATACGTCCTGTATACAAGCTAGATGAGGGCAGCCAACAGGGAGGCTTTGGTGCTGAACACTTTTCGACCCTACCAGACGGATTGCAAGCAAAGCAAGGGCCCTTACTTGAGCTTTTCTTCCGGCACACCCTCTCTAGCAATAGGCCCAGCAATCGAACAGTTCCTAGAGGTGCATGGCAAAAACTAAATTAGGTACCGACCACTGGACACAAGCCACGCGCTCCAAATGAGGCAACAGACTACAGGCAGTATCCTAACATTGAGGGAGCCAGACAACTAAAGGAATGCAGAACAATCAAGAAGGCATCAGAATGCCCTGAAAAGAGTCTCTGCTGAAGGCAAGCCAGAGCAATCCAGCAAGCAGGTTTGGTACAGGCCTCAACTTCCTTCAGCCCTAAGAAGCCACTACCATCCAACGGGTGTAAGATCGAGCAAACCTCACCAACTAAGCGACAGGAGGTCCAGAGCCTGACAGTCGTCCAGCAACCGGGGCGTGCCATCGATGATAGTGCCGCCCCCCACTATCATCACCTTGTCATTCCCTACCTGGATTGTGCACAAATAGAGGTAAGAGCTGCGCACAGGCTACAGGCTTGCAGCAGAAAATGGCTCAAAGTTTCTCACCCCTGCCTGTTGCAAAACTCTTGCCGGATGCTCGGGCAGATTGGGGCACACTTGTCAGGTCCCTCAACCCCTGCTTGCTGCCAAACCTCTGACCCCTGCTTGCTGCCAAACCTCTGACCCCTGCTTGCTGCCATACCTCTGATTAGGCTCCAGCTGGGCACGGCACACTCATCACAAGCTGCGAACACTAAGAATGCTCTCAACTGAGTCCAATTGCAAAGAAAATATTTGCATCCCAACTGCTGAACTGAATCTGGCTTAGTAACAACAGAATGTGTAGAGTTACCTTGGAAATTGCACTCCGATGGCGAGGAGGTGGCAGATCTTCTGGACTCAGCTTGGGATGCTCCCATTCAAAAGTCCTCAGGTCCAGAGCATAGGGCTGCACAGAGCACACACTCGACCTCAGCAAAACATTCCTTAACTCAAAGGGGTCCGGAAGACAAAAGCAGGAGCTACTTAATACTGTCACCAATTACCCAGGTATCCAAACGCTACGGCCCGCAACTTGCAGATGCTCACAAAATCCTAAGAGTATCTCAGAACAAGATCCGTAACTTGACAAAATTGCATACACCTGCCGGACACACTGGCAGCCAGACAAAGGAGTTGCCAAATGAACGCACTGCTCTCTTCTCATGCTACTCACCGTCATATCTGCCAGCCTCTGCTCAGCATTCTTGAATCCTCCCACCAGAATAAGTCTTTCTCTCCCTGTTATCAAGTCCTCATGCACTGTCGTCAAGTGAAGTGACCGGACACCAGGAATCTCCCCTCGCGTTGTCTTCTTTTCCCACACCATTGTTTGCAAATCTAGAACGTACGCTGCTACTGTTATCTGGTCGTCCTCCACCCCTTCCAAACTGACTGCTTCGTTCCCTGTCCAGTGCAATCGATCATCAACGGCTGAACCCTCGCCACCGAAAACTATCAACTTCCGCCCCCTGTCATAAACGTTTGCTGTGTGATGAAACCTGGGGGAGGGAACCTGTCCCGAGGTTTTCACCACGTTCCACAAGACCTCCGAACCATCTCGAGAAATCGTGGCTGTGTGGCACTCATCCATCCCAAATTCTCGCCCCTGAATAGCATGGGCAGAAATTTGTCAGACAGTTCTACTGGTAAACACGTTAACCAGAAATTGCAAAACAGATTCATCACAACAGAGTAGTGTACAGAGGCTAGGCCTACAAGAAGCAGTCACTGTCAAAGGGTGACTGCCAGCCACAAATGCCTCAGCAAACGTCTAGATCCTGAAAAAACAGAGAAACTTTTGACAATTACCTCCATGTCGTAGCCCCCAAACAAGAGGAGCCGGGGGTTGTCCTGGACTGGTGGGAGAGGCACGGCTGAATGCCTAAAACGGCCTAGTGGAAGATCAGCAACTCCCTTCCGAACAACCGGCCGGGTTATGGTGAAGTTGACCAGGTCCAAAATGATGACATCCATAAGAGGACCCCCTTCTCGCGACAAGCCACCCACTATCACTTGCCAGGTCCCCACTGAAGTTGCGGTGTGCCCCGTTCGGGCCAGAGAGTCTGACAAGCTGAGCATGACAGGTTCCAAGCCCGGCTCTTGAGCAGCATCCTTGACCTCTTGCTTGTGCAGACTCCCCAATAGAGCCATACCACCACCTGGCCACCACCTAACAGTCTTCAGTTCAAGCATGTCTTTCCAGAGACACCTCCAAAAGGACGTGACCCTTGAAGCATCGTAACCAGCAGGCTTGCTTATGATCCGGCCCCATGCTAGATGCGTTGCAATGATAGATGGATCCAGCAAGCTCCTACAGTGCCTGCAAAAATGCCAAACGACTCGTCAATGCAGGGGAATGATCAGAGCAGCAAGCCAATGGTTATCAGGTACATCAATGAATCTTGTGTTCCTTGCATGCGACAACTTGTCCAACCAGCTCAACCAGCTCAAATGTAAGAGGAAATGAGGGCCACTCCTTTGCTTCAAGTTTTAATGCTCGTCAAAGGCATAACGCTCCCGCTTCCGAGGCCAATAATATAGGAAGCTGGGAGAAAATGCTTATGCATAGGTCATGCATACCTTTCCCAGAGCTGTGCTACCGCGAGATGCTTTTCCAGTGAAGTCAGCGCTCGCAGCTGCTGACATGAGCACGAAAGCCTTCCCAACGAGTACGGGTCAACCTTTTCCACAATCAGCAGCTGCAAAGCTTCCGGCAAAGACAAGAACGGACTTGTGTCATCCTCAATGCAACCGTGTCCGCCCATCTTTTCTCTCTGGCTGATTGAAGAGGCCTACAAATCGACCTCCTTCGTTAAACCTGCATTGAAGCAAGTACACATAGGTCTCCTCGACCACCTTAGCAAGGTCCTTCAGGGTGAGCGGGAAGAAGGTACTTGTCGACGTCTACCCAGCGCTACCTAAATCAGCACGTTCAACTTGAAGTTTTGGCCTACGACTCAGGATCGAAGGGGCCCCCTTCGATCAGACCACACAACTGTTCAGCACCATGGCAGGAAGTTGCCGACGAATAATTGAAGGTGTACGGTAGCTTGCGGAAATTCGGAATTCCTGACACTGATGTAGATTCTGGCAACTCTGCGGGACTTAGCAGGCGTTTGACTTGAGATAGGTTCCCGGGAGACGGGTAGGGTAGGTAAGATGGTTAGGGTGGGTTGGGGTGCGGAGCGGGTGATTATCTCGGTTAAAGTGTTTAGTTTGACTGCCCGGGTAGCTTGAATGTTAGGTCACACGCCTGTTAAGTTGTACCCGATAGTTGACAAATAGGTAGGTATCCTAGGTATGTACCTATCTGTACGGCGTGTACTATTACCGCCCGTCGCGCCGCTGTACGTTGCGGTGTTGTGTCAAACTTTCGCCGCCCGGGGGCATTGGCCGCCACTGTTGAAGCAGCCGGGGCGTTGCTTGGGAGGTACGGTACCGTACCACACTTACGAAATCGGAAAAATTGGCTCTCCCAAATTTCCAAATTTCATAAACTCAATTGAAGAATTTTGTTACATAGGTAGGTACCTAGGACCGGGCCAACCTGGGCCCGGTCTTAACCGGTTCGGGATTAAAACGCCAGCAATGATGTCAATCCAATTTCTAAAACGCTTCGGACAAGCCCACCCTCCGTCCGATGGGTATGGACGGCCTCGATGCAGTTTGAGAGCTGTCCGATTCAATCCCTTGACTGGTCATACTGTTAAACTAGGTACCTATAACCACACCTGTACCGATGATGTCGTTTGCCGATTTCGTTGCCAGCAGCCGGCCCCAGTGTTGCCACGTTCGCACTTCCTCGACCTCTACGGTTTGACTGGCTAGGCTTAAAATGGCCTAGGTAGGTAGCTAGAGTCTGAGATGCGGGTGACCACTGACCACTGACGGTTGATGTGAACTGCCCGGCTTTTAGTTACCGTACCCACCTAGGTACCCTATCGTCCTACACATACTACCTACCTACACCGGGTTTTAACCGGTATGGTTAGGCGTCTATGGAATTCACATGCAAGGTTAAGGCAGGTTAAGGAAGGGGGATATTAGTAGCCTGTAGGTACTGCGGTACCGTTTTTTGCTCAAAAGAATGGCGCAAGGACCGAGGAGCCTGCTGCAGCCTGCCGCTGATCGAGGGCTTTAATACGCATGATGACACTAGATTTCTGCACCGCGTGTTGTCAACATGCGTTACTGAGGTACGTTACCTAGGTCCTAGATGGGTAGGTACCTAGTGCTGACTTCCCAAGTGCACACTGCGCTCGAGTTCAATACCGGTACCTACCTACCGCGTTTTCGCCGTACCTACCGTACGGTATGTTGAATCAGGAAAACCGTAAGCTTTATGGGTAACAAGGATCTAAAAGCGATAACGAAGAGGAATCTTCTGGTTTAACCAACTCTAACCATTCGAATACTTATATTTACTCGCTCCGCACCCGAACCCACCCTAACTACCATACTAACTCCACTCGTCCTCGTCGGTTCATCCTAATACTATCAAACCTTATTACTTTTCAAGATTTCTTCCATCTGACGGTAGTGACATAAACGGACTAGGGTACGCTAGCTAACGTCAGGGACTAGCGCCGCGAAACTTGAAAACAACCAGGGTAGATACTGGTACATCTCATGCATGTGACCTTTTGAGTTGCCCGGGTAAATTAAACTGAAAACGCCAACCCTTGCAAGAACCACGTGCTCGCATCCGAACCTACCCTAACCAACAGACTAACCCCATCGCCTCCCGGGAGCCGGCCCCTCGAACTGACAACCGAGTTCAGGGATCCCACGAGATCAGCGGCGACCCCCACAGGGATTTCGTAGGGACCTACGGTACCTTGGTACGGTACCCGCAGTACATGACCAACAGGCCCATGCAAGGGTACTCCGAGTCGGTACCTACCGTTTGCAACTACGGTACCGGCAATAGGGATCCTTCGAAGTTCGGAATATAGAGCTCTGCTTAGAGCGGCTGCTTTGGCCGGCAGTAACAATTCACGCCGACGGTTGGCCGAAGGGTCGTGGGTTCAATTTGCGGGTGTAGCAAGACCTAGAGGCCATTAGTCGGCCCCTGATAATGAACGCCGGTATGCCCATTGCCATGCCATGATTGATATGTTTACCTGAAAGACTTTTCGCACGTGTAGTCGTACAAATGCGCGCTTCCTATTGAAATGACATAAATCTTCCGGCTTTCGGCTTGGCTTTGCATTCATGCCGCAAAGCTGGCTCATCTTGGAGGATCCACTATAACTCCTTCCATGTAGGTTCAACAATTATCGCACGTGCAACCAACAGCTTTCATTGTACGTCACATGATTCGTCAGGAATCTCAAAATTTCAATTGAACATGTTGAATAAAGCAAACTTCCTTTTTGTACAAGACATAAGTTCCATTTTCGTAAAATGCCCAAGGCATAGGTCCACTCCCAGTTTTTACTACTGTTTTAAGTGGACGATAAACAAAGATTACAAAGTCTGTAATCAAATAAGAATGGTAGTTGTTCCTATGCCGACTGGGCAACCAATGGCCCTCCCGCTGCTTTGAGTGCTGCATTAGCCTCGGGCGAGTTAGCTTCACTGGGCGGAACTAATTGCCAGAACTTCGGTAAGTAAGCATCCCAGCTATCAAGAATCTGCTTGCCTTTTGCACTGTTCGTTTTGTCTACATGCGCCTCGATCAGCCTCCGCAGTTGTGTTTCCCCAGCCGCAGTGCCAACTCTTTGCATAGCAACGATCTCCTTGTTTACCTGCAAGGCGTTGATTCAAAAGTCACAACCCGACAGATTGTGTCATGTACATTATAGGAATACGTTTTCAATACGACCAGGACGCTAATCGTGCGCCGAACTGACACATCTACATGGAACAAGCCACGACGAAATATGTGACACAGACAAAGTAACCCGAGAAGCCTCCGCCCTGACTCCACTGTCAAATAACGTGGCTCAGCTCCAAACCAACGTCGTAGTATCATTGCCCTATCAAGCCAAGCACCGCGCAGTCCTTCGCAACAAAACGACAGTCACGAGAGACAAAGCCGCACTCACCTTGGACTCGAACGTGCCGTCCTCGTCCAGGAAGTAGCCGAGTCCGCCCGTCATGCCCGCCGCTACGTTGCGGCCCACCTTGCCCAAGCTGACCACACACCCGCCGGTCATGTACTCGCAGCAGTGGTCCCCCGTGCCCTCGACCACCGTTTCTGCCATGCTGTTCCGCACCGCAAACCGCTCCCCGGCCATCCCGTTCACAAACAACTGCCCCCCGGTCGCGCCATACAAACACGTGTTCCCGACAATGATCGCATCCTTGGCCGCAAAGGTCGACCGCGGGTGCAGAACGATCGCAATCTCGCCCCCGGCCATGCCCTTGCCAACGTAGTCGTTGGCCTCCCCGATGAGTTTAATGTTTAAGCCAGACACTAGGAAGCAGCCGAACGACTGCCCGGCGCTGCCTTCAAAGGTCAAGTTGAGTTCGCCCGCAAACCCAGAGTCGCCGTACTTTTTGGCGATCGCGCCCGCAACCCGCCCTCCCGTGGAGCGGTCGACATTGACGACCTTGACGGTCTTGGACGCGACCTTCTCCTGCAAAGTGAGCGACGGCTGCAATCAGAACAGTCCTCAGCGCTTCAACGGCGCAGCAGCAAGTACTCAAGGTACCTGGCAAACCCTTTTCAAGTGGACGCAACGACACGAACAACGGGGGAACTGAACAAGAATCGAACACTTTGCGAGCACCTTGCGAGCACCTCGGACTGCCAGAATCTAAATTGCAGAACAACAAACTGACTTGCAGCTCCGAAGACAAAGTCGACCCAACCAATGAATCTCCCAGGACCCGTTGAGCATACACTGGCAGCGCACAATCACCTCGTCAATAGCGGCCCGGATCTCCGGGTCGGCCAGGAGCTCGTCGTCGAGGACGGGCCCATTGGTGTGCACGGGCTGCCGCCGCCGCTCGGTGCTGCTGCCGGACTCTGTGAGGGGGGGCATCAGGAAGCTCATGTCGATGCTGTCCGTCTTCTCCAAGACGGCGTCCGCGCGCGGCTGCAGCAGGTCCGTGCGACCGATGATGTCGTCCATCTTCTCGTAGCCCAAGCTAGCCATGGTGCTGCGCACCTGGACGGGCGGGAACCATGCGTTATTGGAAATCGTGCTTTACAGAACGTGGTTAAGATCCTCGGAATTGTCATATCGAGGACAAGTTGTTCAGTGGTTTCTTCCAAGTTCGGAGAGCAATGGGGAAAACACGCAAAGATGCAGACGCAGATAAACTTCCACCCCGATTCGCCAGGCCACGTATGCAGACATATGCGGTGACAAACCAGGTGGGCAGGCTCTCCCCCTCACCACAACGTTCTACGCGGGCCTACCGACCTAAAAAGCCCAAGGCGCCTCTTCGTCTTGAGAGGCTCAACATCAACCCAGTCGCTTCAAAGCTCAACAAAGAACCCATCGTTGCATGGTAACCTCTTGAACATCCGGTAACGACCAGAAAGACCTTCTGAGCAAAACTCACCTCCTCCGCCACGTACAAGAAGAAGTTGACCAGGTCCCCAGGCACTCCTGGGAAGCGCGCGCGCAGCTCCTCCCGCTGGCTGGCCACTCCAACGGGGCAGTTGTTGGTGTGGCAGATACGGGCCATGATGCAGCCCGTGGCAATCATGGCAACGCTCCCAAACCTGGGGGAGTAAGGCAAAACCGGGGGTGAGCGCTCTGGCAAAGCATAGAAGTGTGATCCATGCCCTTTCTCCACAGAGAGAAGCACTCTTGAGTGCGGAGCAGAAGCGAGAAAACATTTAACGGGTCCTGATAAGTAGAACCAAAACCCCCAGTAATGAAGCAACCTCGCCAGTAATGAAGCAACCTCCTCCGCAGAAGTAAAACTCCACCAGCCATCACGCTCGCAAATCGGAATTTGGAGTACGAACCCTTGCTCCGCCTACAGAAGCCTCAGCCAACGGATGGCACACAGTAAAGGAGCGTAAAACCCGAAGCTCGTCCACTTACCCATACTCGTCAGCCCCCATGAGCGCGCCCATCATGACGTCAGCCCCGCTCTTGAAGCCCCCGTCCACGCGCAGAACCACGCGCTCGCGCAGCCCGTTGGCCAGTAGCTGCTGGTGCGTCTCGGTCAGGCCCATCTCCCAGGGCCCGCCTGCGTGCTTAATAGAGCTGATGGGGGATGCGCCGGTGCCGCCGTCGTGCCCCGAAATCTGGATGATGTCAGCATTGGCCTTGGCCACGCCGCTCGCGACTGTGCCGATGCCGGCCTCTGCGACGAGCTTCACTGACACCTTGGCGCGGGGATTCACCTGAAGAATGCAAATGGGCGTGAGATAGAGGTCAAAGGGTGCTTGGCAGGCGGGCTTGCGGCACCCCATCCACTGCGGATTGAGTCGCTGGAATGCCTTCTTCCAGAAATCCTGACCAGCAGATCTGCGGGCTAGTGTCAAATGGCCGACGAGTGCTTGATCTTACGGATGCCAGTGCTTAGCAATAAGGGCTTCGGTCCATAATGCCGGAAATGGATGTTATGCCGAAAGAGCTCCGCTCTCTTCCAAAGAAGAGGCCTACGGAGAAATCACGTCAAGATGGAAGTCGGTGTTTTTGCTCTATGACAGGATCAACGACCGCATCCTTTTGAGCAAAGAGCTTGTGACAAGAATCACTCTCTTCAACCTGCCTGATCCATCCAAAGCAAACCGAAGACAACCCCAAAACGGGGCAGCCGTTCTCACCTGGTGAAGATCGTAGATGAGCTGTGCAAGATCCTCAATGGAGTAAATGTCATGATGCGGGGGCGGGCTAATTAGGGTGACCCCAGCCTTGGAGTTCCTGAGCCACGCAATGTACGGGCTGACTTTCTTGCCGGGCAGCTGACCGCCCTCCCCGGGCTTCGCCCCCTGGGCGATTTTGATTTCGACCTGGTCCGCATTCGCTAAGAAATTCGGGGTCACACCGAACCGGCCGGAAGCGACCTGCAAAAACGGGAAAGAAACGCTCGAAGCACGCCAACAACAAGTGCTTAAGGGTGCCTTGTTGCCTCTTCAGCTTCGGGTGACAATTCGAGGCAAAGGAAAACCAATCCTGACACAGCGCCCTTCCAACTGGCACTAAAGACACTGCCAGGACGCAAGCCCAATCTGATAAAACCCAATCGAAGCAATCTCACGCAGCAAAAAGCCTTCCCCGCTCACCTGCTTGATGGCGCTGCCCGCTGTGTCCCCGTTCTGTAGCCCCCGCAGGTGTGGCAACGTCGCAGACTGCCCCTCAGCGTCCACGTTGCTCAGCTTCTCCCACCGAACCGGGTCCTCCCCACCCTCCCCGGAGTTGGACTTGCCCCCGATACGGTTCATGGCAATCGCAATCGCTTCGTGCGTCTCCCGAGAAATGGCGCCCAGGGACATCCCGCCCGTGCAGAAGCGCTCCACAATCGAGGTCGCAGACTCCACCTTCTCTAGAGGAATCGGCTCCCGGTCGCTCTTGATCTCCAGCATGTCGCGCAACACCTGGGGGATCACATGGTTGCTAAGTGGGAATGGGAAAGCGAAGCAGAGAGGTAAGCAGTGCAAAACTTCAAAAGCGAACGGACAGCGACCAGAATCAGTCAAGGCAAACGGCTGGGGTCCGATAGCCAGCGAATGCTGCTGTGCAAGCGCGGATATGAGCTTCCGAAACAGACGAAGTTTGAGGTGCGAGAACTGCGGAGCGGAGAAGTCGGATCCGGGTTTTCTAGGCCCATGGCATTTCGTCAACTTTCCTCCTGAGAGGAAGTCGGTGCCCAGTGCGTTTCGTCATCCTTCTCAGCAAGCTTCTTCATTGTGACCAATTGCGACATACAAGGGTCAAAAGTCTTATTCCCTTTTAGCAATCCAGAGATCAGTCCAACTCAACCGATAGCGAGGAACTTACAAGGACACTGAGGTGGATAAGAGTGACCTAGCAAGGGCATCTTTCAACGGACGGGTTCTCATCGCCGATTGTTTTAGAATCAACGTCATGCTGCCCCAAGTCTTACAGCTCATTCTGCGTCAGACCAATCGATTCCACGTCGTCGCTGCTACAGTCTCATCCATGCAACCAGCAGCCTCGCAAAGAAACACACAGAAGAGCAAAAAGAGCCAACAGAAACAGTAGTACAAGGCCAAAGAGCTATAAAAAGGGCTCACGTTGACGGGCCGCTTGCTGAGGTGCTCCTGATAGACGGCGTACGCGTCGGAGTTCTTCTCGCGGACCGCCTTGTGCAGCAGCTTGCTCATCTCGGGGTTGTTTCCGTGGTACTCGCCACCCGGCCGGAATTGGATAAACCCGAAGTTGTCCAGCTTCTTGATCGCCTCTGCCGAGAAGCCCTTCACCCAGAACGCCACCGCCTCCTTGGCCAATTCGTCCAGCGTCAGCCCCCCGATGCGGCTGACAGACCCGCGGAACGCGTAGTCAATCACGTCCTTGCCGAGGCCGTAGACTTCGAAGATCTGTGCGCCGTTGTAACTAGAGAGAAGCGAGATGCCCATCTTGGAAAGAATCTTCTTGAGCCCGCCGTTGATGGCCTTCTTGTAGTTGCCCTGCGCCTGCTCGTTGGTCGTCATTGGAATCTTGCCCCGCTTCATCAACCCTTCCGTCTTGGAGTTCGCGCGCCACTGCCGGCAAGTCTCGAGGGCCAGGTACGGGCACACCGCGCTGCAAGGAGAAATGGTGATAAGCGGTTAGCCAAGGTATACACCAGTGATCATAGGATATGGTTAAAGATGGAAAACAATAAAGCATGCTGTGTCAGAGCAGGATTGAGCTCGCAAGTCTTGGGATGAATCAGTGGCAGACAATAACCGAAGTTAAGGAGTCAGATCTGAAAGTGGCCGAATTTCAGTGAGAGCAGACTACGCACAGTTGGGATGCATTAGCTTCCCGGAGAACGCACAACTTGACATTGCACTGCCTCAAGCCCCTTGGTGCAACAAGGACGGATGCCAGCAAGACTGTTGAAAAAAAAGCACGCTCCTAGACGACATGAGCAATCACCAGACGACGGCCCTTGGTCTTAGGACAGAAGTGAAAGCAAGGTTTGGCCAAAAAGGGCCTCACCTGGCACCATAACCGATGAGGCACGCAAAGTGGTGGGTGCTGAAGCACTGGGCGGTGTCAGCCACGATGGAGGCTTGCATGCGCAGCCCGTTGGAGATCAGGTGGTGGTGCACAGCGCCCACCGCCAGCATCATTGGGATGGCCGGTCGCGAGACGTCCTGTGACAGCAGCAGCTTGAGCGTAAGTCGGAAATCGATATAGAGGCCGGAAACGTCTGTGATTCAGCCAAACCCTTGCTCAATATCTAGAGGGAAGAAGACAGCGATTCCTGACGTCAGTCAGTCTGTGACAGCGGGTCTAAATATCCATGTGGAAAGCGTTCTGGCAGACGAGCGTCGGGTTCATGCACTTCATACAAGAGGCACACATCGCAGAGAACCAGGCGCGCATAAGGGATGCTCGAGGAGTGAAAGAAGTCCTAAGTAATAGGAACGGCAGGGGCTCCTCACCAGGTTGTCGTCCCTGTCGGAAAGGATGAGCAGCTCTGCACCATCCTTGACTGCCTTGTCCGCTGCCTCGCAGAGAGCGTCAAGGCCCTTCTTCAGAGAGCCTGCGGCGTCTCCGGACGCGTCGAAGAAGGCGGGCAAGCGAACGCCCTTCAGAACGGGGTCCGCAGCCAGGTCGTCCAGCTCGGTCTCGGTCAGGAAGGGAGAGGACAGACGGACCTGAACCAAGATGTAGCCGAAGTGAGAGAATGTCAACATGGATGTCTGAAAGAGCGCCCACTGGGGCCCAGACTGCTCATTCAAGCGACTGGGCACACGGCGTGGAACAAGCAGCAAACGACAATCACTGCTTTAAACCGGAAAGAAGAGCAAACTTAGGTTCAGGGAGATAAGGGAACTGCTTTCGATCCTGGGAACCACCACGTCGAGTCTCGAGATAGGAAGTGTCAAAAAGGTAAGCTCGAATCGTTGCTCGTCCATGAGGAGACAGACGTGTACGCCCGAAAATCCTTTGCTCGAAAGCAACCTCACCTGGCTGGCCACGTTGTCAGGACCTACGTCCAGCAGGTTGCCACGCTTGCCAATGTTTACATCCAGGCCCATGACGAGACCCTCACGGAGGGGGTCGATAGCAGGGTTGGTCACCTGCAATCACGGAGAATCACATATGAGCAGGGAGCAATACGAACTCCTGGTTTGCACAAGCTCCGGCCAATTCTGCCACAAAGGGATCTGTTTTGATGCAGCTTTTGCCAAACTGCATCCCCGTGTTGCTGATGATCAAAAGCAGAGATGGGACCCTTGGAGCCTTGTCTTAAACACTGTTGTAGCTCCTATTCAGCAGAAATATAAATCAATTTGGCTTGGTATCATCTCTGCGTCCACCTGATACATCATTCTAGCCCTATAACTCTGCCGGCGCTCACCTGCGCAAAGCGCTGCTTGAAGTAATCGTACAGCATGTGCGGCCGGGCCGAGAGGACCGCCAACGGGATGTCGTCGCCCATGCAGAACGTGGGCTCCTTGCCCTGGCTGGCCATGGCCTCAATCACCATCTGCGTGTCCTCCACTGAGTACCCAAACGTGTTCTGCATCCGCAGCACCTCATCCGCGTCCTTAGTGGGGCCACCCAGGAAGCCGCCCCCGTTCAAGGAGCGGGCCGCAGCCATCCAGTCGTGGTACGGGTACTTGGAGGCCACGCGCCGCTTCACAGCCGTGTTCTCCAGAACCTGAGAAGGCCATCCAGGGTAAGTGAGACGAACAGGAGTGAAGTAGCTGGCAAGCAGGATGGCCCCGCGCGTCAACAGACACAAACAAAAAGTACGGACAGGCTAACAGTCCGTTGCAAGATTGCCGGTGCTCTAGAATAGTCCATCTATTTTGGAGTGTGGAACATGCCCTCTCGAACTCATCTATTTATCACCCTGCTTTGTAAGCATTCCTCCGTTAGGAGATGCAATATATATCAACACGAACCGCGAAAAGGGGGCTTTGCATACCTCTCCGGTCTCCAGATCAGCCAGGATCATCATGCCAGGCCCCAAACGCCCCTTCATCGTCACATTGGCAGGGTCAATGTCCAACACACCGACCTGGAGAGATGCACAAAAACGAAATACATGTCAGCAAGCAAGACAGTGTGCCATGTGCCCTGACATTTGACCAATATGCCAACTTCAGAATCAAAGATACTGCCAAAGAGAAGAAGACGTTCCTCTTATCGGCGAACTCGACTTTTCCTCGTCCTCAGCAATGTAAGCCTCAGTTTCTGACCAATATTCAAGACGCGGGGCTGGGGCACTCACCTCACTGGCCACGTAAACCGTGTCATCGTTGGTCTTCCAGTACCGTGCAGGCCTAAGGCCGTTGCGGTCGAGGCAGCATCCAACCTGGCTGCCATTGCTAAACACCAGCAGGGCAGGACCGTCCCACGCCTCCATCTGGCCCTTGTAGTACTCATAGAAGTCAACAATCTGCACAAGAAAACTTTCCATGTCGGTCTCCCGTTCTATCCATTTCAGCATCAAGTGCAGAAAAGGACAAACCCTTGGGCAACACGGAGGCGGGAGGAGCTGAAACAAAGATGAAGGCCAAGTGATGGAACCTTTACATGAGCACAGCCCTAGGCAGAACAACTCCTTCTGCCTTACCCCCATGCCTTGTCTGTTTCTGCCACACTCTTCTGTGGAGAACAGCTGACCCTGCCACACAACACCCTTTCCTTTCGGCACCTCCACACCCTCTACAGCAACACCAGCAGGCTGAAGCCCCCCAGATGATCTATTCCCCCAGATCTATTCCGCGTATGCTTACCTCTGGGTACTTGATCTGCAGCGTAGGGTGGTTCTTGTACGCCTCAGGCACGAGCATCATCATGGTCTCCTCGGGGGTCCTGCCGCTGTGCACCAGCACCTCGGCCACCATGTCCAGGTTGGCGCTGTCACTCGCCTTGCCGCTGCCAATCGGCTTAAATTCCTTCTCGCGCCCCCGCCAGATGGGGTGGCTCAGCGTCGCCTCCCGAGACCTCATCCAGTTCAAGTTGCCCTGCAGACATCCCCACCCAAACAAGTAACTCCATGGGTGCAAGATAAGCATGAAGCATTACAGGTATCGTGATGAAGGTTCGATTTGGCGTCACTTGCGTGCATTCGGTAACTGCAGAAGTAGGCGCACGAGGCGGCATGAGGAGAAAGACCTGATGATGATAAGCAAGGAGGAAGAAAGGGTACCCCTTTCTGCAATGCTGATGTAGCACATACAAGGAAGCTCCGACAATAAGTGGTCACGCTCTACGCCTTCAACCCCACTTACAGCGCCATCTCGGGCACAGCGATTCTGGTGTTTAGGGTTTTTAAGATCTTGTGCAAACTGCAGCTCAGCAACAAGGGGCGTGATAAGTGTGAATGCCTGCCTAGAGGCGCCCCCACCTGCAGCGTGTTGATCTCGCCGTTGTGCCCCAGGAAGCGCATGGGCTGTGCGAGCGGCCACTTGGGGGTGGTGTTGGTGCTGAAGCGGCGGTGATAGATGGCAAAGCTGCTCGCATAGCGCTCGTCCTGCAGGTCCAGGTAGAAGTTGCGCAGGACCACGGAGCGCAGCATGCCCTTGTATACAATCACCTGATTGCTGAACGTGCAGAAGTACAGGTCATCGCCCCAGGCTTCCTTTTCGGCCAGGCGCTCCACCTGGAGAACAGGAGAGGGGAGGTAAGAATCATGTCATAAAAGAGAAAGCTATTAAGCTATAAAAGAAGGACGAGTTACCTCAAAAGAAGGGCGTGTGTGTGCAAGCAACAACAAAGTCGTCAGCCTTATACTAAGACCTTAAACCTCTACTTGCCTCGCACCAGATCCCAAAATCACATATTGAACTAGTTCAAGTTACCATTTTCAATACAGTAAGACCAGCTTGAAAAGCAACATCAATCGACACTATCTTCACGGAGACCCAAACGAGCCCGGCAGAGCTGGCTTGGCAAATACCGGCTTCATTGACCTTCGGATGCTGTATTCACGACATTCACAAAGCTCACCTGCTTGTGCGTGATAAAGAGCTCTCTGTCCACGTCCTTCTGAGTGTCGCCCTCCTTGAGCGATACCTTCACAAACAACTGCTCGATGTGCGGCATCTCCTTGTGCGCAATCGGGCCCACGACGGACTCATCAATCGGCACCTCCCGCCAGCCCAACACCTCCAGATGCTCCTCTGACAGCACCTTCTCAATCACTGCGCCATGACATAACATGCTCACATCAGGCCAGATCCTCACAATTTATCACAACATGGCATGGACTCTTGAAAAAAACCTTCACTCGGATACATTGAGATCCCTTAAGGTTGTTTAGCTGCACAAGTTTCCGCAGAAAGTGGAGCTTTTGAGAGGATTTCCTAGCTGAGAAACTGAGTGCTTGACAGGAGTACCATGAACAATGCTGTGGCGCAAAGCAACAAAACCTTGCTTCCACTGATGACAAGGTGCTGAAACTCCACTGATGACACTGCTCTGAGCTGCTTCCGTAGTCGGCATACCCACGTACAAGGCCGGCGAAAAATACAAACACGATCGACCACTGACTCACAAGCTTTCGCCGCCTTTGTGTCCTCAGGATCCTTAGGAAGGAACAGCATTCCAACCCCGGTCTGCTTCTCATCAAGAGGAGGCAGACCCTTTTCCTTGAAGTATTCCTGGAACAGGGCCCAGGGAATCTTGGTCATGATCCCCGCGCCATCCCCTGAATCATTGTCTGCACTGCAACCCCCCCGATGCTCCATACAACCAAGGGCAGTCAAAGCCTGCTGCACAATCTTGTGGCTGGCCTTGTTCTTGATGTTGGCAATGTACCCAACCCCACATTCTCCCTTCTCCTTCAAGATATCCTCCAGATCAGCCACCTGCAAAAAGGAGCAGCCAATTGTTTGCAGCCTGCAGACGTTACTGGCGGTATCAACCAATCCCGATCAGTGCACATATTTTGAGACACTCAGTTGCCGAAGAAAACTTGCAAATCTAGACACAGCTGAAGAAACAGACCTCACAGAACTTTCAAGAGAGTATTCTCAAAACCAAGTGTTTCGCGCTAAGCAGGATAGGTTTACGAACTTCAAGAGATCACCACAAGAAGAGGCTCCTGTGAGAAAACTAAAAAGAGCCGAAGGATTCCCCACAGGTGCCACCATTCTGCCTGTAGGCCTGCTTACCCTCTCCAAACCATCATCCTTGCAGAAGCCAGAAAGTTAACTAGGCTTTGTAAACTCCGTGGACCTTTTCAACGGACATCTATAGATTACCACAAACCATCAGTAACAAGCCCAGGTACAAGCCTGGACCTTGAGGCAACGTACGTAGTTCCTTCTCACGACCATCAGGGATCATAAACCAATCACACCTCCTCCTTAGAAAGTAACGAACACTCAAAGCCAGCATTGCAAAGATGAAAGTGCACGGCTTCCAAGCACTTCAGCTCAGGCGTAAACAGAAACCTGTGATTTCGCAGTACGGACATGAAGATATGCAGATATTGATGGATCGTCCATCAAGTGCTCCAAGCAAGACCTTCATGACAGATTAGCAGCATCGAATGCCCAGACGATACCCAGTTCCCCCAGGGCCCAGCCTGAGTGCACCCTAAATCGCATTTGTGCACATGCTGAGGAGGACCTCCTATTGGACAATCTCGATTGCAACAATAATCTTCTGCCAACCGATAGACGATTTTGCCAACCGATAGACGATTTGGAAATGGTACAAGCGACAGAGATGGACTTGCGCGTGAATGGCTGCAAAGAGGAATCCTGCTCATAGGCATTTTCCTAGACCCCTAATCCCTCTTCGTCAAAAATACGGCTTTCCGTCGAACAGACATCTCTTTGGTAACAGCTTCCACTAAACAGCAACAATTGGTTCCTGCAGCCCTGCATACGCCAGTGGCAACCAGGCTTGAAAGATGCAACTGCGCCTTACCTGGATGGGCTCCACTGTGTCTGGCCTTGCCGCTGAGACAGCGGCTGCTCTGACTTCTTTGCTGCCATACCTCGTTTTCTCCAATCCTGAAGAAGAGACCTGACTGGGGCACTTTGATCTGGTAAGGAGTGTAGCGGTCCTTAGCCCTTGGTACCTTGGAAGAGCAGCCCTCTTTGCAATGGCCTGAAGGCTTCCCAGAGAGGACACGTGCTTCTTGCGGAATACTGTCGACAGACACTCCGACTCCTGTTGCCTGCACTGAATCTGTGAGCTGAAAGAAAGGTGGGAGATCGAAAGAGTAGCGCCTCGGGTCAGGGTTGCAGCCATATCTTCTACAGAATCAACTCAGAAGCCGTTGCTCCCCTCGTCCCCAGCCTCCACTCTTCCTCGCAGCTTTTGGCCGCCTCCTTTATCAAAAGCGCCTTCTTGCACGCAAAAGATTTCCTATGTGCAAAAAGGGGCCCGCCCGGTAACCTTCTAGACCGAGGAACAACAGCCTGGCAATCTGCAGCAAACAGCAAGCAATGCACGCCTTCTTCTTGCGGGTTACGTCTCCTTCCTGTGCCGTTTACGTATGTCTAAGCGAAGCTTTGCCTTTCAAGGGGGGTGAGAGCCAGCCAGACGGGCTGCCAAGCTGGACCCCCAGAATCACGAAATCCTGAGATGCAGCTTCTGTGGCTGGAAAGCCTCGCGTCGCCAATACTGGAACGTCAGCTTTACCACGTGGTCACTGGGGTAAGCCAATCGGGCAAGCATTGGTAGATTGTGTGACGTCAGTTACCTATCCATTACCGCGATAACAGTCAAATTCAAGCCGGTAGTGTGTCCAGCACTGCGTGCTGGATGCAGGCGGGTCATGACTCATGGTGACGGTCACAAGGACGGTCACGTCGCAATTGCCGATCAGTCGATCCGTCATGCTCTGGTGTGACGGTGTCTGAAGTTTGAACATTTCAAAGTTGGAATTCAAAAGCACGTGTGCCAATAGATTCTATGGCGGCACTACTGCATGAGTCATGACACCTGCAATGCATCTGCGGAAAACTCAGAATGGCTACAGCATTGTGCTGGAACTTGAACTTGAAGATTCAGCCAGGCCATCTCAATGAGCGCAACTGCAGCGTTGGACGTTTGAATCTGTAACAAGCTGCAACACCCTTATTGGCTTCAAGCAGAAACATGGAGAGTGTTTTATGAATGCTGCCATGCACCGAATTGCTCGTAGATGACATCTTGCCAGCTAGCTCGGTGCTGATGTGAAGCTGGTGACAGCTGTACAGATGGATCAAGGCGCCGCAGCGCGAGAGATTTTACCAGTGAGTTTACAACGTGCTGCTCTTCTGGATTTTCCAATCACGGCAAGCAATGCACCTGATGACGGTTCCTGCGGAGGCTGGGGTTAGCTCCAAAAGGGGAGGCTCAAGTCAAACCAATTCAACCAGTGGTTTGCAGACTTCTATTGGTCAGCCAGCCCAGTCTCACCGTTGGACGAAGCGGTCCGTGCTCTGATGCTATTCTTAGTGGTGTGAAATGACCTTGATCCGGGGCCTGAGCACTCTTTGCTTAGTGGCAACTCCTGTGTACAGCTATAGAATAAGGTGTGATGTATGAGTCTGATGTATTGAATTTGCAATTTCATCTCCATTGGTGCTGCCCAGAGCTCTTGGCCTGCTTTTCTCCAGATGAGCTGCAGAAGGTTGCAAGTCACAGGGAAGGTGTCATCCCCTCTCCAAAAAAAGTACTTCCTTAGGATTTTTGCTCCAAACAACTTTTGAGAGACGATGGCTTTGTCAATGACCTAACGGAATTGAGTCCTAGAAGTTGCCAACAGTGATTGTCCAGGGAGGAGAGTTTCTCTTACGTTTTGGGCAGGTAGACATCACAAGCTTGACCATGCTGGTGAAGTTCTGCAACCAGAGGGAATGATCCATAATGTTGTGTGTGTGCACTTCAACATCCAAAAAACCGACTTGGCCTTCCAAGAGAAAGGAATCAGGCATGCGAATCCAGGTGTGAGACGAGTCAGGCCGCATAAGAACAGTATGAAACTTGACGCCCTGGAAAACGAGCTGTGCTTTGCTTCTTTTTCATGCAAACCCCCCTTCAGGAGCCTTGAAGAAGGTTCAGATTGGGTCCAGAGGTCTGCTTGCCCCGCTCATTTGCATCGACCATGCAGGAGGCCACTTCTCCGCAAACGGCTGCCCCACCAGCTGGAGACCCTTTGCTGCCGGTGACTCTCGGCGAGTTACAAGAGCTGCAGGCCAGTTTCGCCAAAGACCGCGACTGGGACCAGTTCCATAGCCCACGGAATCTCCTGCTGGCATTGGTGAGACTATTTCAATCGATTTTTTTGAGCCTGCTTGGTCTGTGACGCTTTTTTGGTCTAATCTGTTGGGTCCCTGGCAGAATGAAAAACAAATTAGGAAGGCTTTCGACAAGAGGTGTTTGAGATCCAGAGGTTTTTTTTTCCAATTTGTACATGGCGTCGGGTGCCTGCCTTGAGCCGTTGTATTCCCCTGCATCAGATGCCCCTCCTTACCTTCTTGCTAGTGTCCTCTACTGAGTCATCTTTTTGCGCGTTCTGCGTTTGCGTTGCACGATCTGGTTCGTTGCCTAAACAGTTTTACCCTCGACAAAGAGGCAAGCATCTTTTCGTATGACCATTTTGTGAAGCAGCCCGACCACGAAGCCCCTCAGAGACTGTGCTGCCACTGGCTTCACGCCTTCATTGCTTGCTTGTATTCGACCACCTTCGAAACTCACAACCATCGACTTCTTAGCTTGGACTTCCACAGTATTCCTCTCCTTCCTAGGCGCTTGTTCCCTCCTCTTCTGACTGCCTTTCGCAACACAGAAAGAGTTCCAGACCATTCGTGGGAGCCCTCTTTGGTGCTCTCAGCTCTATCATTGCAGCCGCTGGTTTCGATCTGACTTTGCAAATCCAAACGAAATTCCAGACCGTTCGTGGGGACTTTCGCTAGCTTTCTTTTAAGCAATGTCATCTTCGAGCAGAATATGGACACGGATTCATTCCCCCCGAGTGGGCAAGTTATCGAATATGTTCCATGCGGGCCGAGGTTTCTCGAAAGCACTATCATCTTGGCGGGGCAAGATGTTTATGACGCTCTATATGTCCATTTCTTTCAGGTTAAACCCTGTAAGAAATAACGCATTCTTCCTCCCCTCAGGTTGGCGAGGTGGGCGAGTTGTCGGAGTTGTTCCAGTGGCGGGGCGAGGTTCCCCGGGGCCTGCCCGGGTGGACCCCCCCCGAGCGCGAGCACCTGGGGGAGGAGCTGGCGGACGTGCTGCTGTATCTGGTCCGCCTTGCTGACGTGTGCGGGGTCGACCTCGGCCGTGCTGCGCTGCGCAAGCTCGAGAAGAACGCGCAAAAGTACCCCGTGGATGCGTGCAGGTGGGTGTGCGCATGGTGTTTGTCTTCGTTGAGGAGTTGGTGGGTGTGGACATGCGTTTGCGAGATGCGGCCGGATGTGGGTTGAGCAGAATCATGCTCGAAATCAAGCGTTGCAGGATCGTGTCGTAACCGCAGGTGAAAGGATCGAAGTGCTTCGTGCGATTCTTAAACTCCTTATTCGGCAGAACCGCATACTTTTTACAACGCCTTGGTTTCGGCTTTGTCTGACGAGGTGCTTCTGCCGCCCAGCGGATCGGGCTTCTAATGACAGATGTGCCCTCTCAATATGTTTTGATGAGGAGGCCTCGATGTGTGCTTTGACGTCGTCGACCTTTGGATGTTTAGCGACTTTCGTTCCGAGAGTGAGAGTGAAAATTCAGAAATGATTCTTGTGGGTTGGGTCTCTCCACCTTGGGGAATTCAGCGCACTCGGCGTTTACAGGACGTACGTTTTGACCGACACTTTCGTTGTGTACGCTCATTCGTCCGATTGTCCCTTCAGTTGCCCGCAAGACGCCGGGCCAGCGTGAACCTGAGTGTTTGCCGGGACATTCAAGGCTGTGCATTTTTTCCGCAGGTACTCTTATGGCATCTCGAAGCCCTCTCTGATTCAATCAGAGCTTTTGAGGCACGGCTCGTATACAATCACTAAGCCTGATTTCAGGCGCTTCTACTAATTGTCCACCCTCTTTGCAGGTTTGGAGTTCGCTGGCGTCGAGTTGACAAAGTCTTTGCTCTTCGTACACAGCCATGAACACAGCTTGAAAACTGAGTATAGCTGAGAGGCCGAAACATCTCTATTTTCGTCATTGACGGGAAGGAAAAGGCTGCAAATAATTCCAGTCTGCTGAAAGAGATTTCGATGCTGATTGAAGGTTACTATTGTGCAGGGGCTCGTCACAGAAATATACCGCATACCAAGAGGCTGAGGCAGAAGGTTCAAAATCATGACGTGGGATGCGGCGCTTCGATCCATCCAATTCCGACTCCAAGAAAGCTGCCCGGCAGCCAAAATCTGGGTCTCGCAGACAGTGTTGGAGCTAAAGGTACTTTGCTCGTAAAAGACCGGACCAACGCAAGGCCCGTACACAAGTGCATGAAAGAGCGAAAAAATAGACAAAAGCTGGTTTGAGCTTCGAGCACGGTTGCTTGGCGGCTGACAGCGCCCCAAAATTCGTCGTCGGGGCTGCACGCGATGAGACGCGACTACAATAGCCACTCGACTGGCGACTGAGTCAGAAAACAAGCTAGCCGCACGGGGCCTGCTTCTTTCCAAGAAGGCTAAGGACGTAAAAGTTTGCAGTGAACAGAACCAGCGTCCTGAATGACTGCACCCAAATAAGGAGCAGTTCTAGTACGGCTTAGCCCGTATCCTTTGATGATCATACGGGGGAGCCGATGGCGGCCCCTACTGTTGTAGCTTAAAGGAGCCCCGCTCCGCCCGCATGTAGCTTTCGCTACCCTAGTTTCATAAGTGCTCGTGAAAGTCAGATAATGATGATTGGATCTACCTGGTGCACAGCTTAGACGTGAACGGACCGTCGCGTCTCAGTTTGCATGCCTGAGCACGGCCCCAGGCGATCGCGCAGAGTACCCCGTGTTCGTCTCAAGGCCTGTGCAATACCGTACAGCTTGATCAGGTGCCCGCAGGTCGAAGTCCAACCCGACTCTGCATGCACCTCGATCGTCGTCTTTGTGCATGCAAGTCCGCGTCAGTCGCATGCAGGCGCACTAATGTGATGTGCATGGTGACATATGCCCGAGCTGACTCTTGCTATATCCTGTCAGAGCCGCCGCCCCTGGCATGAGTTTATCTTAACAGAATCAGGGAGGGGCTTCAAAATTCATGCTGTCACTGCCAGAAGATGCATGACTAGCGTCATGGCGGGCCAGCAAGCCAGCGCGGGCCGTATAGAAAGATTATAGGACTGCAAGGTACATCATTTCTGGAGGCAATATTCCTCATCAGTCATAAGACGTACAGAATGATCCGAACGCTGAGTCATGCCGCCATGGAAAACATTAGGCAAGCTGCGCGCGCGAGAACGTACGCCTAGACCAATTCCATTCGAGTCATCACTTGAGTTCAATATGGAATCCTTGCGGCAACAAGCTAGGCATTCCGACATCGGATCATGCACTCGAAATTCATGACGTGTTTAAGACACACGCGGATCTCATGTGCAAATCCAGGCGGGACCCCCTGATGACAATCTGACAAATTGAATTTTGCACTTCAAGCTCCGGTATAGGCAGTGATCATGTATGCGGCAGATCGTGACGCCAAATCACTGCAGTAAGGACGCAAGGAGGGCCGCCTAGCGACCATCCATTTTCAGGTGCATCAATGATCCTGCAGGCCGGGATCCAAGCTGAAGTGCCAGCAAATGTTGTGAGTTACCAACAGCTTCCGCAAACGTGCGGCAGTGAATACAAAGGTTGTTCTGACATAGAATGTAGTCCGTCAGGGGGCCATTCGTACTTCAGCTTCAAACCTGCCTGGTGATCTCGTGGCCCCGACTTTAGTACTGGGGACCTGCCCACGATGTCCGACTCCGTATTGTCTTAAGAATTGGTATCAACCATTTGGACTATCAGCGGTCTCAATCATAAAGGGAAAAACGACTTTTGTAAGAATTCGTATGATCTCTGTAGAGTTTTGTTATCCACCAGCATAGATTTTCCGAGATTGCAGAGGTTCGGCGAACCTTCTAGCCAAGTCCCGGAATCAAGGGGAGCATTGCAGGTATGCTTGGAAGGTCGACCCCCTGTTGATTTTGAAGAAGGTAGACTCCGATGCCAGCCATGTAGCCGGCTAAGGCGAAGGGACTAATCTGCAAGGCAACCCGACAACACTGGTATGATGCATAAAAGTGGAGCCGATTATCGTAGCGAAACAAAAGCCTACAAGGAGCGACGGAGAAGTCAAGCGAGGCAGAACGCTTCTGGGCGTCAAGAAAAGGCCATATTCTTAGAGAACATACAGAAAGCGTCGTGCTTGATTGAGGCGCCAATGCACCTCTCCCTGAGGCAATCTCGGCTCGTAACCGGCTTGAAGAGCCGAAAGGTCCATCTTCCCTTTCCAGGGAGTCTTCATTCTGAGAATTTTCGGGCAAATTCGGCTTGAAAGACAGTCCTTGCAAAGCACCACCCTCCCCACCAGCTTTTCGAATACATTAAAACATCAAGAGTGTGCCACGTGTCTTGCTCGCCCACCTTTTTCAGGTACCAAAAGAAGTCGACCTTCTCCATGCCCATGTACGCCACCCCCGCCGCGCTCCCAATCACCAAGATCGAGCCCCCGGTGCCCGCGCAATACGCTATGAGCTGCCATAGGCGATCGTCGACGGGGTACTGCTGCATGGAGTACATCCCCTGTGTCGCTGCCACGAGCGGGACGTTATCAATAACTGAGGACGCTAACCCGATCACGGTCGCCACCACGTCGACGTTGGGCAGGTGCTCGTCCAGGAAGGTCGCCAGCTCCTTCAGCAGGCCCGCTGCGTCCAGGCTGCACGGAACAGCGGAATGGGCGGAACCATTCAAGATTACGTTTTGGGCGGGACCCGTTACGAGAGAAGGTGGCCGACTCCTTGAGCAGATCCGCTGCGTCAAAGCTGCAGACTCTGAGGACGCGTCGGGAATCATTTCTAAGAAGAGTTGCGTTTCCAGTAGGTCGAAGCGCACCGTCATAAGCGTTCCGTGGAGCACGAGATGTTCAAACGGAGGAGCTGACCATGTCAGGCAGAAGGGCCGTAGGTTAAACAGACGGCGGCAACGCTCGCTAGAGATCATTCTGGTGGACGCATGCGGCTCACCTGGAGATGGACAGCAAGATGCCAAGGAAGAAGAGTACCCCCTGCGTGTCGATGCGGCTGAGCGCTTGCGGCACTTTCAGCTTTTGCCGGTCGTCCTCTCCCAAATGGATAGCGTCTGAGACACACAGCGCGAAGTGTTCAGCACCAAACCAGTTTCCCAGATTGCGAGCAGCGCTGAGGCGCTGCGATTAAATCACATGGGAGCTCGAGGACTCAGCACAGTTCACTGCGCTAACTTGCATCCATGCTGTCGCACCAGTCAAACAGAGATTAAGGGTCGAACGAAGACTGGCTTTTCAAGCGGCATCCAATTCGTATCCTGTTTTGAAGTTCCCATCCATCTAGGAGCACCTCTGCACCTATGCTGTCCACAACCAGACAGACATCGTAAGACCCTGCCGTTATACCACTCTCCTCAGACAGGCCCGGCTCTCCCTCGAAAAGGCCCGACTCTCTTTCCAACAGGCCCTACTCTCTTTCAAACAGGCCCGACTCTCCTCCAGGAAAGAGAATGAACCAAGTCCTCGTAGGTCACTTCTAGATCGACACCTTTACGCCTCACGGCAGAAAAGAACGGAAGAAAACGTCTCAGCAGTCCGTACCGGTGAGCACCCAGAGCACGCCGAGGCCGAGCAGCATGCCGAGGTAGGGCGGGAGGCCGGTGAGCGACTTGAAGATGGGCACGAAGAGGAGCGCGCCCAGGCCCACGAAGAACACCAGCTTGCCGCGCGGGGCCATCGCCTCCTCGCTCATGATGAACGACTTGCGCGACTCCTTCTCTTGCAGCGCGTCGCTGCGAGCGGAAAAGCGGAAAGAGCGGTTAGCGGACGGAGCGACCTAGACGAGGGTGGCAAGATTCTTGATGCTCTTCGGCTGTTCTGCGGTGTGTCTGCCGTCTAGTCAGCCGTCAACGTCTGATTTGGACGAGTGCTCAGTGCTTCTGCCCTCCGTTTGCGGTATTCATAGTGGGCTGGAAGACGGTCAGCAAAGAACAGGCTTGACAATGGCTTTGTGAAAACTGAAGCACAGTCCTGAATCAAGTGCTTGGAAGCGCAGCATGTTGCGATGCTCAGTCCTCTCTTCGTGTCTCCTTCTGGTGCGCGAAGCTGAAGTGAACACCAGGAGGTGCGCCGGTGTGGCTCACCTGCTGAAGGTCATCAACACCAAAGGAAGGGCCAGGGAGACGAAGGACGGGAGGAAGAGATCCTGCAAACGATGGAAAGAGGGGCATGAGAGCACTGGATATCGCCACCCTACGACTGGATGTCAGGCAGCAGCGTCGCTACTGGGAGTCAGAGATTGCCTGACAACTGATGCCGTCTGCATGCCCGTTCTGGCCAACTCGAACCTAAGAATCCAGTCACCATAGAGCTGAGAATTACGTGCGAATGATTCTGCATGGGGGACGGCGTGCAGACTCCCTTCGCGAAGGCTCGCAAGACTTGGGAGCAGACCAACATTCGCAATCAGAGGCTCCAATCTGAGAATTCAAAGCACGCACACCTTTGAGGCGACCTACATCCTCAGTCTGACGGTTGCATGCCGTTCAGGGATTTTCAGTGCTGCCAGCGATAAGTGTGCAGAGATGCTTGCTTCATGTTCCACCAACAGCTCTGAAAATACTGATCAAGCTCTTCGGAGCGGCTCACCTTCATAGTTGCAAAGGTGGTAATCTGTCCGTTGATCCACAGCATGGTTGTAGTGACGTCACCAATGGGAGTCCATGCACCGCCAGCATTGGCAGCAATCACGACAACGGCTCCGTAAAACCTGCGAGAGCAAATGTCAAATAATGAGGCGTGCTCTCGCGTCTCTGGAATGACGCCACATCCAGTCTGCCACCCCAGAACTGATGTCGCGAATCGAGGGGAGTGACAATAGCCGCTCTTAGTCGCGTCGTCGGGTTTTGAGATGCAACAAAGTGAGACGGTCTTTGAAACTTTTCCGCCCCCGATGGCATCTACAACAAAACGCACAGCACACCCGCTCGACTATTCTTCCAACCAGGATGTTTACGGTCGTCTCAGCTCTCGAAGGTCAGTTCCGACACTTTGATTTTTAAGCATGCCCTCGATTTCACAAGAAGTACATGTCCACGTGGTATATCCTTAATTCGAAAATCAAACCTCGCTGCCATAGCGCTACACACTCCTCGTGGTCCTCACCCCTTTTGGGGAACCCCATGCACTCACGACGTTCCGTCAACTCAGGACGGGTACCAAAGAAAGACGTAACCAATCGCAGCTATCGACACTTCCGAACATCAAGACCAAGTTAAGCAAGAACCCAGGGCGGGACACCCCGGCGTGCTGACCTGCGCTGCTCGGGGTCGGGCACGAGCTTGCGCAGGAGCGAGACCATGACGATGGTGGTGGTGAGGTTGTCCAGGATGGAGCTGAGGAAGAACGTGATGGTGGCCAGCACCCACAGCAGCACCTTGCTGTCCGACGTGTTGATGCTGTCCGTCACCAGCTTGAACCCCTGATGCGCGTCCACAATCTCCACGATCGTCATCGCGCCCAGCAGGAAGAACACGATCTCGCTCACCTGCTCGCCCTGCGCGGAGAGGTGTCGAGGCTTTCATCCAAGAATGGTGGAAGTAACCCGGATTTGCAGTTCACCTTCACCCGCAGGTGGGGAGGAGGTGGAGGGCCCCAGTGAAGACTTCCTTACTGAGGTTCGGCGGCACAGTTTCGGACCGCCAGCACTGAGCAGAAAGAGATTCCCCAAGAAGGCTTGGCGGTCGAACCAGGGGCGTATGATCCAGTCCGGACTCCGTGGAACTGGGCCGGACACTCGAGCATCGCATGAAATTAAAAAGGCCAATGGTGGAGGCCAAAGGACTAAGCAGATCTAGTGGACAATCCAAGCGTTCCAAACGGGAAGAGGTGCCAAGCTTTAGCGGGCCAGGCCACAAGATCAAAAGTGCCGTTCTGGATTATTTTGTCGAGTAGGAGGTCAACACACCATCAACGGGCCCGACCTCTGAAAGAGCGGGTCAAGAATAAAAAACGCAGAGTCCCGATTCTGTTGAGCAGGGAGCGCATTGTGCACAGTTGCTCACCTGTGCTCTGAGCTCTATCCCGGCATTATCCGAGGAGGCCAGGCTCCGGATCGTCCAAAGACTGACGGCCATGACGAGGCCAACGCCGCTCTTGTTGAACGAGAAAAACTCCTCAAAGATGATGCCCGCGTAGCCAGCAATGAACACCAGGGCCATGGCCAGGTCCTGTAAACAAAGATCGGTGTGAATGATCTTCCTGTACGAGCTTGTGGCCTGTCTCTTGGTCCGGGCTGAATAATCTTAGATGACAGATGGTTTGGTGGGAACAATTTGCATTGTAGGAGCGCGTCAATATGTGCAAACATGGGGAAAGGAGGTAGTTGCAATGACGGTCCCTCAAGATGACACCATCAGCTTGGAATAGAGATGCTTGGGATCAAACAACAACTAACATGACTGGGCAAAGTCCCGCTCAAATGTTGTCGAGCTACACACTGCTACACATCAGTCTTTGTTGCAATTTGATGAGCAGGCCACAAAATGCTCCAGCGGGCCGCATGGTTTCGTACGGTTTGCCTCGTTCAACTGAATCCAGACGCCAACCATGCACCTTAAGATGGACATTCCAGATGTTCAATGAAACTCAAAAGAAGTGCCCCCCAGCTCTTAATACAATTGAATTGATTCTCCATCGGATGGAATCAGACAGGTACTCACTTCAGGACAAAGGCATCAAACGGGATTGCAAAAAATCTGGACAGTCAAGCAAACTTGTCACAATATGGATCAGAGGGAACGGTCACCGCCAGAGATGGGTCACGAAGGTCAGTCTCTGTCATACTGACCTGATGTTCTGCCACCCATGAATGCTGGATTGCGCCAGCGCCAACACACACAGCTGCGCCGATAGCAACAGCCTTGACAATGTCGGACTTTGCGTTCTTCGCCCCAAGCTGGTAGTCTTCAGAGCTGGTCTCATCTACGGAACAAAGAGGATCGCAGGAGCCCCCGAGCGTGCCACTGTTGTAGTATTCCTCATCCTGCAGGAAATGTCGGGCTGCTCAATCTTCCCAATACCTGCAGCTGCTTCAAGTTTTGCTGGTTTCACTGGGACCCTTCCTTGCACTCCTTTACAACTGACTTGATTATGAATGGGCACCTGGTAGTAAAGCTTGCAATCAGCTTTGAGTGCAAGTGCGTCGTCAAACGAAGGCTAGCGAGACAGGAATGCCATAATGACAACTCCTTGTCGAGAATTTCTCTGTTGCCGCCTCGTTAATTATTCACTGACGTCAAGGACTCTTATCAATTGTTGAGAGCTCAATCAGAAGCACTTCACCTTGCCTCTTTTGTTACTAAACAGATGGGTGGTCAAAACAGGGTAACTTCCTCCAATTAATCTGAATGAAGTAGTAAGTCCAAGGATGACAAAGTTTGCATATTGTGCAGCATTCCCAGAGCACAATTCCCATTTAATTCGGAAGTGGTATCTGAGGACTTGGCAGATCTTTTGTGGCACTATGCCGCAAGTAAGGCTTGCAGTGCATACCTTTTCAAGAAGTCAGACTTGCAGCGACATAAAACCCTCACCTCATCGTCATCAAGCCCAACTTTATCATCTGCAGCTGCCCTCGTCTGAACAGCCCGGCCGCGCGCATAACCATCCTTGCCGTCAAGGGAAGTTTGACGGGTCCACTGTCGCTGAGGTGGTGAAAAAACCAGGTTTTCACCAGTGTGCAGTGCTGAGGTCGTAAGAAAGGAGCCACGTTTTGGCAGTTGAGGATTGATTGAAGTTTTGTGAAACCATGGCCGATGCAGCAGTCTGAATCCTTGGGTTTGCAAGATCTGACCTCCTGAAGACTCCCCTTTCAGACATCGGCAAGAAACATTTGCCGGTGACCATAGCAGGGGCCCTGCTTTGGAGAGGGCCATCAATGGAGCGGGCAATGCAACTTGAGACAGTGCTTGCACCGTATTGCTATGCAATGCTATTCCTGCGAGTCCGCTCGACCACTGAAATTCGTGTTCCGGCAGGCCAGACGGTCCAAGAAGTAAGCACTACGACGCTGAATACTGAGCTTCCAGACACGGACAGAACCAGATCTCAGACGGATTGGCGCTTTTCAGCTTCTCTGGCTTCTCCTTTCACAACGTCTGGCTTCTCCTATACTACTAGCTTCAACATCAATGGATCGAGTTGGCGCCAACTTCTCATGTGCATGATCGCGAAGCACGTCAGTCCCAAGCGCGGGCAGTGCGCGCGCACTGTCGGAAGAGTTTTGTAGGCCGGCACGCGGCCGCTCAGCCCATCAAGTGGCACTGCAGCTGAGCGGGTGCGCGAAGTGAAGCTGCGGGCCCGCGCAGCAGGGATCGAGCATTTAGGGGACGTAGGTACCTAGTACTAACTCAAGTTCCTCAGCTCACTTCGATACCAGGCCAGACTGGTCGGTTGGTTGGTTGGTGAGCCAAACCACGTGTTGCAGAGATACAGAGACAACAATTCAGCATTTGATCTCTGAATTGCAAATATGTAGGCAGCTCCAGATCAATGAACGGGCTGGCAGCGCGCTTTGAATTAGTGATCGAGGCCCATTCACACTGATTATTCCGCGACGCCGTAATCAGCAGGTGTTTAAAAAACAACACCACGTATCAACGTATGTTTGAAAGGCGTAGCCTGCAGGCTGTGCGGCCGAAAATATTCTAATATTGCTGCACCGGTCAATGCAATCAACTGCATATATCCTTGTGAAAAGCTTGTTCGGGGAACACACGATCAACTTCTATATGTACGTTATCAGCCCGTTATCAGCTCGCTTGCAGCCAAATTTGACTTACCGAAAGGCGTTTGGACCGCAAAATTGGAATATAAAGAAATCTAATCAGGAGGGTGGCAAGCACCCGGCGCAGTAAGCCCGCATTCTGGGCCCGATTTTCAAGTGATCGGTGAGTCGTTTCGAATTCATCAGCGTCGAGGAATCAACTAAAGCAAACGCCACATATCGCACGCATTTCAGTAGCTTCTACTCTATCATGCTGTCTGGGAGCCTCAGGATTGCTCCGGCGGCAGGCACCACATGCCCTGGCGCGCTGTAAATGAATCTCTGGTGCCTGCTTTTTACCAACTCAAGTTCCTGGAACCCGATCGGACTCCTCCTCATACGAAAGGCTCACAACCACCTCTGCTTGGAACGCACCGGTAATGGATCAGCACGGAATTTTGACATCGGAAGCCGGTAGTACCCTTGTCCTTGGTCGACCACTTCGTATTCTGCACGGAGGCAAACCACAGCCTGCGTAAGAATCCCATTCTTGAGTATGATTATGATTGGAATCGGCTGTGACCAAGGTTTCACTTTGAGATGCGTCTTTTTGTCCTCCCAGCAGATGGACGAAGCCCAACAAACGACTCTAGTTCTTCGCCAGCCAAGACCCTTACAAGAAGAATCGAATCAATGATGCCCCTTGGGACGACTGCAAAGTAACAACGATGCATTACGAGAGACATGTACTTCGAACCCAATTTATATGTGGTCAGCCCACCGTCGAGCTCCCTCTTCCTTACTAATGTCCCCGAAATTTTGTCGGACCGAAGGATAATTATGAAGCCGCATTACAGTTCCTAGAGCGGCAATCCATCCACGTTGGCGTTACGCGGCTGGCAGTCAAGATGGCAAGGGCAAAGACGACTGAAAGGGACAAACAATCATCGACGTAATCTCTTCATTGTGGCAAGGCATCTCGCCCATTCTGTCCAAAGCCCATTTCCAAGAACGCTGCTGAAGAAGCTCAATTGCTTGGCGGCCGCTGGCTGTGAGCATCCGGCAAATTGCCAGCCCTGTCAAATGAATGGGACGGTACACTTGTGGAAGGGTTTGACTGGCAGCTCAAAAGGTTTGCCGTTTGTTCTTGTTCAATTTAGACTTTCCGCTTGAATGATTTACTTAAAGGAGCCGGTCTACAGCTCTTGGTTGGAAGAGAGGACACATTGTGTGGGTAGCGCCTGATAGCCAGTGATGGTGCAGACACTTGCACAAGACAGCTCTGAGGACACGTCCCGAGTCAACATGATTCCAGATCTGACCCCTACTCTTCGCTGATGCGGACCAGTTGCTGGCGTCGTCACAAAATGCAGTGCCAGCCCTTTGTTTCTTTTCGAGACAGAAACGCATAAAGACGAGGACGTGAGTCGATTTCAAGCTTTTTCCGATTCAATTCCCCTTCGCTCGTGTCAGTTGATCCCTTTCATTCCATTTGTTGCCAAAATCGCCTGGCAGAACATTCAACCCTTTCCTGAAATGGAAAGGTAGGAACTTTATCAGCTTGATTAAACCCCTCGAATCACAGGGCTAGGTTTGCTTACCCCGGAAATAGATTCCCCGCTGGTCCTCTATCCGTATCCATGGAAGACCAGCATGCAGCGCACAGGGGAAAGTGTCGGCACCGCTTTTGCCGACTGGTTGGCGGTCCGGTTTTGGGTGCACTGAATTCCGGCTGGCTCTCAGACCGGTGGACGGAGCTGGGAGCAATTGCTCCTTGACAGCAAAGGTGTAGAGGTCTTCCAGATAACGGAGCTCTGTCTGCACAAGGTGGCAACAGGGGCTCAATGGGGGGCAGTGCGCCGGCTAAGAGTGCACCATGGGGCACAAAAGGGCAATTCCAGCTGGATTTCGTAAGAGTCAGGAATCACTACCGGGAGGCAACAGAAAGCTGACAATTGAGCAAAGACAGGGGCCTTCAAAAAGCTTCAAAGAATGTGCGGAAGATCAGCTCTGCAGCATTACAATATGAACCCGTTGAGCTGACGTACTATTTCATCCTCTTACATAGCATCCCGCCAAAAGTAGACCACCAGAGTTCCTGGCCTAAGCTTTCAAACGCCAATTTCATAGAGAAGACTACCTTGCACGTCAACAGCTTGAGCTCCCGAGGCTGCTTGGATCCAGAAAAGCAGCTTCTTACACGTCTAGGAGCAGGCCAAGAAGTCATGTTGGAAGAGACCTGTGCTTACCAAAGCAGCGAGGACCATCAAGTTACATATTATGGTGGTGCATGCGACCACCTGCAACTGAACACCTGTATGTTTTCGGCACCTTGACTTCTCAGCCTGCGCAAACTGGGCACGCTCTTACCTCAAGTTTTGCATGCTTCAGCCGCTGGCCCTTCTCGTCAAGGGCCATCGCCTTCAGGTTGCCACCACCTCCTGCGGCCTCCCTCCTTAGTAACTTGAAGTATCGCTATTGCAACAATATGGGGCAGCATGACCATTGGAAAAGTGTGTCTCCAAAACCTGTATTCTGATTCTCAGCGCCTGCACCCTCTTTCCACTTCCCCGGTATTAGTGAGAACTGTGCTTTGGGGGCTGGGAGTCATGCCACTCACGGACAGCTCAAAGAGGGAATATAGTAAAGAGCGCGTGCTTGACTGAAACATTGAATGAAGTCATTGAAGAGGAGAGTTCTGCACACGCTGCTATGCAAGCAACTTTCAACTTCAAGTTCAGGTTTTTGTGCCCTTTCTCTTCCATTTCTTCGCTGCAAGCTGCACATTGCCGGAACCCTAACAGTGACACCGAAGTTAGGGTTCACTTCTCTTAGCCCTCGGTGCCCCGCTAGCCCCGTACCAGGAGTATGAAAAAACCTGAAGTGCACTGTTAATGTGCTCGGAGGAGCGTCGCTCCGGGCATCTTGGCGCTGGTCAGGCGCCACTGGAGTTCATGAGAACTGAAAATTGGCGCCAGCCAGGCTGGCAGTGGCATGGTGGCGCAGAAGCAAGTAGAGCGCTCTAGGTTCTTTCTGGCCACAGCTTCGCTGGAGTGCCATTTTCAATTTGATTAAGATAGTGCTGCTCCTGCGGGAGCTGTTGCATTAACAGGGCGCGGGCCAGTTCAAAAGCCTGCTCGGAAGGATGGCTAGCCAGACGCTGTCATGGAATGAACTTCGAGAAGCCCTTGCTTCTTTAAAAGAAGCAGCCTTAGCAACACGGTATTGCAAGTGAGTACCAATCTCCATTAGTGCCTCTTCGCTCCACACTTTTTGAAAGTGTCAAGCTGTCCTTTGATCGATTACTTTCTTTCTCCAAGTAGGTGCATTGTGCTTTGACTTCGGGTGCACACTGATGGACAGATCTGTAAGTAATCTGAACGGTGCATCGTTCTTCTGACGGACAAAGTGGTTGAGCCACTTCAGATTCACAAAGCTGATTGGATCTTTGTTCAAGCTCTCAGGATTTGTCTTGCTCCAAGATCTCTCAGTCTTCAGCCTGATCAAAGCTCTCATATAGCGCTAATCTCTACCCCGTTGATTGCTTTCATGGTCTAAGGAACAACACCTGTACTTATAGAACAAACGGATTGACCTCTTCTCCCCTTGTCCAGCCTCATATACAGATTGACCTCTTCTCCCTTGTTCAGAGTTATATAGAGATGTCCCAACATCTTCCACCTTACAAAATGCAATGTGGTCAATGACTCCTTTGTACCACCACAACACCCCTAGCTAACCCTCCTCCCTTTTCCCCTAGGGCCCCTTGCCGCCAGCTGGCCAACCGCTCCGACAAGCTCGTCTCCCTGCTGGACGGTTACGCCGCAAACCCGAGCATAACCCGCCAGCCCGAAACCCTCAAAGCGTGGGCGTCCATCCTGGAGATGGCGCGCACCTCGCGCGAACTCGCCGTCCAGGCTGGCGCCCTGAAAGCTGTGATAGATATAAAGAAGAAGAAGCGGCTGCGGGGGGAGCTCGAGGAGAGTCTTTCGCAGATGGACGGCTTGGTGATTGACCAGGTCGGCATGCTGCTCAAGGTCGCCAACAGCGCCAACCGGGCGGTCAATGGGGGGGTGACACCTGTGGCCCCGACATCGATCGAGGAGCACATCAGGGGGCTCGTGTTCCGCCTCCAGGCAGGGCGCCTCGAGGAGCGGCTCGAGTCAGCTGAAGCGCTGGCAAATGTCACTGCGAGCAACCCCGATGCGCAGCGGGTTGTCTTGCTGGAGGGCGGCCTACGGCCCCTCGTGCACTTGCTCGAGGCCTGGGGGGATCCCTCGGTGTCACTGCTCCAAGAACACGCCATAAACGCGTTGGGAAACATCGCGGCGGGAAGCGCGCAGGGGGGCCACGCGGTGGCGGGATTCGAGGGCGCACTGGGCGCCCTTCTGAGGACGCTGCAGGTTGGGAGCGCGCGCGCGCAGCGGGCGGCAGCGGAGGTTCTGGCGGGGCTGGTGCAGCGGGACGAGGATGCGAGGGGGGCAGTGGGCGAGGAGGTGCAGCAGCTGGAGCTGGTGGCCTTCCTTAAAGCGCTGTACCCAGACAGCTTCGTGTTGCAGGTGAGGGTTACGATGCAACTCCAGTTGTTCCACTTGGTCTTATGAGCTCTGTGAGGTATTTGTACACTAAAGGGGCACTTTGGAGAGTTGGGACAGATTGGGATTTGAGGACGTGTTGGATGTGACGGCTCACGCCCCTCAACTCTGCTGCCAGGGAGCTTGTTTCCTGGATGGTATGAAGCTGCTGAGATCAGGAGTGGCTGCCACTGTTTTCACAAGAAATGCTGGTTCAAATGTGATCTGAAACTTTGACGAACTGCTTGAAGAGGACCCGCAATTGAGAGACCACAATCTTCTGACTAGGTTCCCACTATCTGGTGGTAAGCACGCTGGTCTGCTGCAGGCAGCGAGACTTTTGGAGCATCAGATATCCTGCGAGGGTGCAGTTGGGAGTTCAAGCTACATCCTATGTATGTTACACTATCTGCGCCATGAAAGATCCCCACCCCTTCAAGTTGAGCATGGGAGGATCTACTGTCTTGGACTGAGAAGCAGGCACGATGCGCATGTGGGAGCCAAGTAGGAAGACCGCGAGCGATCTGTCGAAACAGGGTTTGTGTCAGAAATAACTTCAGCGCAAGAAGCTTGTCAAAGAATGGTCTTGCGGTTGCTGTACGTGACCTATTTTCAGCATCAGCTGCGCATCCTGTCAATTCCGAAGGCGATGGGGTCGGCCATCGAAGAGACACAAAGCCCTTACACCATGCGACTCGGACACCAATCGTCTTGGACGTGTGTTTCAGTTCCAGAGTTTTGGCATTTGTATTCTCAACATTGTGGGTCTGCATCCAAGAGTCAGAATTGCAGATGACTCCACTGGACAGCTTTTAGTTTATGCTTTTCAAGTAGATGTCTTCGAGCTACTGTTTCCAGCTCAAACCTTGAGCTTTGTCACGTGCACAGAGCGTTTAGCCTTTCAGGCCTCTAAAAGCGGAACTCGTAACGAGAAGTTTCTCCGTACAGGAGAGCCGCGCCAATCTGGTGGGCTCACACGCCAAGGAGCTGGACGACTGGCGGCAGAAGGTGGAGGACGTCCGTAGAGAAAAGGACGCACAGCTGTCGGACGTCCAGTCTCAGAAGCAGGGCGAGGTGGAGGCCCTGCTGGGCCAGCTAGCAGCGCACCGGCAAGCCTTGGACGAAGAGCGGGAAAAGAGCCAGGGGCAGCTGGACAGGGCCCGGGCCGAGGCAGAGCGGAGCAGAGAACAGATCGACGCGCAGCTGCGTGCCCAGTTGCAGCAGGCGGAAAGCGAGCGGGGCGCGCGGGAGCGGGAGTTGTCGGAGCTTGCGTGGAACGCACTGAAGGACGTGAAGGCGCAGAAAACGATCGCCCAGCAGAGGGACATCACGCTGCTCGCGATCGTGCTGCGGTGGGGCACGTGCGAGGCGCAGATCCGCGCGGCGGAGGCGATCTCGGACCTGGCGGTGAACGAGTCGAACCGGCGGACGCTGGCTGCATACGGGGGGATCCCCCCCCTCGTTGACCTGCTGCGAGCGGGGCCTCCGCAGGTAGAACCGCTGACACGAGCTCTGCATTCGCTGATTCTCCGCTCCTTACTCTCACCTTCCCTCCGCCTTCAGCTTTCTTGGATTTCCTGCCCTATAATGTTTGTGTTGTGTACCCTCCTTTTCGAGCACTTGATGGGTGCAATGTAAGTCCCGTTCTTTCGCTCTTCGTTTTTCCTGCTTTCAATCTCACTTGGCCAACTCAAAGGTCGCAGATGTTTCGACGACCTTCATTTCAAGTTAACCATAGCGGGTACAATAATCTTCTCCCAGGTACAAGAAATGGCCGCGGCGGCGCTCCTGAGCCTCTCTTTCGACGACGGCAACCGCAAGGAGATTGCCGCGCACGGGGCAGTCCCGCTGCTCGTAGGCCTGCTGACGTCAGAGAGCGCGGAAGTCAAGGAGACGGGCGCGGCGGTACTGTGGAGTTTAGCGGAGGACGAGGACAACCGGAAGCTCATCCGGCGGCAACCGCAGGCCCTGTCGCTGCTGCGGGAGCTGCGGGAGGCGGGGTCAGACGGGGCCAAGGAGACGGCGGGCAAGGCCCTGAAGCGGCTGGAGTGAGGGCGGGGTGAGAGACGGAGACGCTGAATCGTGTGGAGACGGAGGTGATTTAAGGAATGACGCGCATCGCCCATGCGGGGAGGTTGCGTGGAGTGGGGACGGACACGCGGGTGGACGAAAGTCTGGTGGGGAGCGGAAAGGCACGGCTGGACGATGGAGCGACTGTGTTGAAACAAACGGGATATGTGCTGAACATATGATGGTGAGCAGAACTCGTAATGAGGGTACTCGACGGCTGAGCCCCGTTTACGGGGGCCCGGATAGAAAGTTCCAGGAGTAAGCGAGTATGTATTACAATAAGCAGGTGCAAGGCCAGCCAGTAAAGCCGCCTCTTTTGTGGGCCAACCCGCTGGAGCGAAGATATAGGGCCGAAAGCAGCCGCTAGCATCTTGGCGGCTCCAGCTGGAGTATGTGAAGTCCGCAGCCGACGGGCGTAAGCCGCCTACTGCAAAACTCGTATAGCATGTCCGAAACGTCAAGCATAAGCAGGTGCTGTTTAAAGGCCTCGAATTGAAGCCTTCGGCGACACCCGGCTTCAAGTTTTAACATGTAACTTTCAGTCTCAATCACCATGCATCATTGCCATGTTGTACTTATACTAGCTTGGATTCGTTCTGAGCCTGACCTTCGAAGGCCGCCATTCTTATCGGTGGGCCAGGCCCAAAAGGATGGAACGTTTGGATGGAGGTCGGAAGGCATGCACCGGGCCCGCGAGCGGCTCTCATTCAAGGCGAGAACTAAGTTGCAGGCCAGAACGTACATCAATGCATAAGTCCAACTGTGCTGGCGGTTTGACATCATGCCTATCCCGCATGCACTCGCAATTTGATGACTGAACCGCAGGTAGCTTGCTCTTGGAGACCACACATTGCACGGATCAAGGTGACATAAAAAAGGTCCATGTCTGGTTGCGCGCGGCTTGTCAGTCGAGGGCTCCGCGAAAGATTATCAACAGAAGAGACCGTACCGTTAAGATGTGAGGAATGCCCTTTCTCAACGTCGATCAAACGATTCCAATTTGCACGTTGCACAAGGAAGCGTGTATGAAACTTGCATGATCGAGCGTTCTGCAGAGAGTCTACTTTCATACTTTGACGATTAACCTACGGACGTACGTGCATTTTCGTCACTACCAGCAGCAGCATAAACGCGTACGTGCTTCTAGCGGAGGCCAACCATACGGCGGCGAAAAGGAAGTACGTATACGTTGCTAGTAGCGGTCCTCAAGCTTGTCCCTTTCCTGCAAGCGGGCGCCCACTTTCAAGTACGATGGACCAGACGGTCGGATTGGCAACCTCGGGATGAGACGATTCATCTGGAAAGACGCGAGCTGATAGTAGATGGCAAGTTACTTAGCAGAGACACGGCAGTGCAGCTAGCGTGCAGCTCCTTGACCAGAAGTCATGAGATGCTTCCAAGTAGATGTCTTTCTGAGATTCGCGTTGTGCGAGACATGATTTTTCTGAAGGTGATGAATTTCTTTAGCGATCGCACGTTGGCACGTCTCACCTCATAACGCCTGGCGTAAGCGACCGTCCCGACGATGGGAGTGATGAAAACGAGGAGGTCCGATCGATGCTCGCGCAGACTCGACTTCAAGCTGGGCCAGAAGTTTTTCCACAGGCCGGACATCACCTTCTGCAGACTCGGAGAATCAAAAAGAAGTTTAATAGCACAGGGTTCAGCTGCCCGCCGTGAGCTGTCCAGGCTCGAAGCACTTGCTTTGTTTGATGGCACGGAACGACCCGCAAATCTCGGGCAAACAGATAGGTAAGTCAAGCCAGTGTTCTGAACGGGGCCGCAAGAGAATCATTCACAAGACAAATGGGTCGTTGACGAGCCTCCGTTTAATGGGAATCCAAGCGTGCAGCTGAGCCCAGTAGCCTCCTCTCAATTCATGCAAACCTTCCCCAGGAACAAGAATCAGATGGTCTGTTCCTGAATCCGAGATCAGCACAAGCTCTAGCTGAAGAAAAACTCGTCATATACATGCGCTGAGCGCACCGATGAAAACGTGCGCTCAGATGAGGTTCCATCGTACTGTCAGTATGTCAGATACCGCTTGCGTGCGGAAAACGTGGTGCATGGAGCAGGCAGCCACTCTTCCAATCAAAAGCACTTGCGCATCAAGCTCTGCATTGTCTCTGATACTCACCAGCTCAAAAGGGGACAGCATGTACACCACTTCTTTCAAATGCACCGGGGGCGGCCATTTCTTGCCCATCGCCCCTGCCGATTACCATTCGAGGGATCAGGCCTCTTCCTAAGCAGCAAATTCAACTGCCCGGGCACCTCACAAAGCGGCCCTAAGCAGAACGAATTATTGGCTCCTCGAGAGCTGCAATCAACGTAGCTCTGTGTGAGATGGATTGCGGCCACGCATGCCCTGCAGGGGAGAGCAATCGTATTAGAGGGGCAGCGAAGCAAACATTAGGGAAGTAGCTCTTCACGCTTCAAGCGATCAGACTCTTGCCGTTTCTTGGGGCGACGTACGCCGCTTCGACTACCATGCAGCATGCTTCATCGAACTGTCAGCGAGTGATATTCGGCAGACCATTAATCCGAGGCCTTCGTGCATTGGAGCCGCCGTTTCGTTTCGCAAAGCTCAAGCTTGGTCGGTGCATGAGAGGTCAGAAGTCTTACTCAATGTTGCGCGGCCTATTCAAAGTTGCACTGATCACACCAGAATTGCGAATCGGTTTGAGATGACTGTTGCGGCCGTCCCGTGCAATCGACAACCTAGACAGGTGTGCTTGTTCGTGCCTTAACAAGTTACAGCAATATCGCCACCCATTCACGGGGCTGCGTGACTCACCCAAATTTCACCCTGCGCCCTTGTAATCTTCGGGGCCTCGCGCGCATTTGAAGGGAAGGGCGAATTGAACGGCGGCGAAACGAACGTTTTTCTATAACGAAAGTCGTTCATTCTTTAAACGGAAGCGCACGTCGTTCCAGTGAGAGTGCATCGTAGCCGTCAGACCGTGCCACGTGACAGATCGAACCGCTGGTGACGTTACCAGGTCACTCGACCCACAAGGTCTCCGGTGTTTGTAACGTTATAAATGTGGCCAAGTGTGGCTCGTCTCAGCAGATAGTGAGAAGTCGCGCCGAGGAGCAGACTCGTGCGCCGTGAGCCCCGGCTCTGCCGGGGTGTCTGCTCACTGGGGGTGATCCCCCGACGTCGAGGCTGCAGGCCTCCGTCTGGTAGGGGGGGCTCCTCCGGGAGCTCCCTCTGACCGGGGCAACGCCCCAGAGGCTTAGGAATCTTCCTCTGCCGTCTTCACTCCAATCCATACAACATCCTCCTCCAATCATCACGCCGGGCCACGCCTGCCTACACATCAGTTCTAGCCACTTCCCTGAACAAACACATGGTCTTAAGTGCGCTCAAGGGTTGCTACATGCTTGATCAGTCAAAAGCGCTGCAAACTTAATAGTACAAGGCACGATACACGTCAATTTGTTCGTGGCCCCCCATAAGAGTCAACGGCTTCGGACCCCTACATTGCAATCGCCCCGTCATTCTTAGGGGAGGGAGTGTAGTTTCGGCTGGCAGTTTCTGAAAAGACGAGCTCTTGACAAGACCGCGTCCCATGTGCAAGTCGATCTGTAATTATCAACCACTTCGAGTTTGCATCGCTCCTGGGTGTTCATGATTTAGCAAGGTATTTGTCGTGCATCCTTTCTACGCGATTTCGTAACATACGCAACTTGTACCAGCATTCAACTTCTATCAGAGCATTAAGACGCCTCAGGTCATGCAACATCGTTATAAGGATCCCACCGATGCAAGCAGACTCGAGCTAATTTCACCAAATTAAAAGAGACGATCTCGACCTAGGGAGTCAGCATTGCATTTTCCCATGAGCATGCTCGGATCGAATGTATCATTTAGGATATTCTACCTATATTCAATCGCCGCGTATGCCCAGGACTTTGGATACGAGTACATAAGCTGCCGTTTCTGACTGATCCAAACTTAGCGCGAAAGCAACCAAAATAAGGATCCTCGCAATATATATACAGCGTAGTGATCAGACCCACTTTCAAGCGCACAGGACCGTGGTCAGCTTGGAGTTTACATGCCATGTGCATGGACTTGATACTAGGCCGTCAAGCGCTTACAATTCCAGTGAAGGTTCACAAAAAGGGTTGCCGGGCCTATGCAAATAGGAAGTCCACCGCAAAAGTTCGAGACTCGAATATCAGTTGGGACGTGAAGCTTCGATATCAGTTTCAAAAAATCTGAGTTCCGTGGATGCACCCATTGAAAATCAGGCTGTGCCAGACGCACTTATGACTAATGAAAGGATTAGTGGAAGAAAACACTCCAGTCTGCAGCTCGTCGCGACCTCGAAGCAGCAGTTCCTAGCAACCTCCAAATCCTAACCGCCTATGAAGTCGTATTAAGACCGGAAGCAACGAGCATGTTGCGACCCCTTAAAAGACCGCTGTCTGTCATAGTCTTGAAGGGACGTTAGACGTATATATATGCGCTCAGCCCCGAGCTAAGCAGCTTCGATACCAGTCGCCACGACCACCCCCGAGCCTCCTGCAATCTTCGCCGTTGTATCGGGCAGGGCGTTGTAAAGAGGCAGAGCAGCGGACTCCTGAAAAAAATCAATCACAGAGATAAGCAAATTCCAAAGTGCCATCGAGGCATCAGAAAGTATCCAGCTGCTCAAGAATCATTTTCGGCTCACAGCCAGGTTGAAGACGCGAAGCTCAACTTTTGGTGCATCCTTTTTAAAGATGATGCAACTCTTCTTGACGAGCACAATAAAAGCGCACTCCTGAGACGGACATTCGGATCTTAAACGCAAGAAGTTTTTGACCCACCCTCTCTATTTGTTTCTGCAACTTCCTCCCACACGCAAGTAAGTGCTACAATCTCCTCAGATTCCATCTGGAGTGCTCAAAATCAGCGCCTTCTGAACCAGGTCTTGCAGAGCCCGCCACTCACCGAGGTCTTGAGATACAGTGCCTGGATGTTGGCCCACTTCTTTGGGAGGATCTTGCTGATGCCCTCCGCTGCGGCCACGACGTTTTCCACAACCTCTTGCGGCTCTTGGGAGATCCGGGCTACTCGGACGTCGCTGCATTGAGAAACGATTCACAGCGTGGGTCAGACTCACAGCGTAGCTTATGAGCAAGACTATCAGCATCCTCACAGCATATCACAACCAGGCAGGCACGAGACCTACTTCCGAGGAAGCCCGGGATTCGAGTGCCACTGTACGTGAACCTGTCGACGACTCTCGCAATCATTGATTCAAGACAGATACGATAAGGGGCGACTACAATCCGACTCCTCTCCAACTCCCGACCTGGCCCGTATTAACGGCTTCGATGCCTTCAATACACCGGAGAACACCGAAAAGAACCAAACTCCAGAACCGTGCTCGAGACCTTCCAAGTGGAAACAGAACTTTTGGTACGCGCGCTTCGAGACACATTCTGAATATAGGGACATAACGAGGCGCACCTGCAAGATCCTCCGCTGACGTAGAGGTACGTAGAATCGCATGCTTTTCGAATCGCCCCTGCCCAGTTCTTGCCCTTGAGAGTAACCGGGATGGGATGCCTGAAGAAAGGCGACTACGCTTGTTAGCAAATCAGATTGGCGGTCCGTATTGAGCGACTCAGCCTACGCCCCAGGAACATCGAGTTTACCCAAAAGCTTATTACTGCCAATGGTCGAACATTTTCGTTTCGTAAGTCCTCGTTTCGTAAGGCCTAACTAGGAAAACCCAAGGAGTGACGAGTTCGTAGGTCGTCAGGCTCCATCCGATGAAGTGCTGCGTTTTCGGGACGAAGGTCTAACAGATGACGTGCAGCGAACTGAGGGTCCCTTTATTTTCAAGAACTTACAAGAACGGGCTCCATTTATGTGGCGACACATCAATCGTCAGAATTGTCCAGCCGGAAAGGTGCCATGAAAACCTTGAACTGCATCACGCTGATCATACAATTTCCACCCATGCCCGAAGGCGTTATAATCCGACGGTCGTGCAAAGCAGTTGGTCGACTTTGAAAGGACCTGTTATGATCTGCCTGTTCAGAAGGCCGTAAGCCGAAACCACCAAGAGCTACTACAAATTGTGCTTTCATTCGCACCATATCAAAGGAAACAAACCCAGTAAACTGAGCCCTCACTTCTTCTTTTTGAAGAAAGTCTTTCCGAGGAGCTTTGGAAGAACGCCAAGTATTCTGTCGTCGGCAACAAAGAGGTCGTACCTGCAAATGCAAGGCACAAAATCAGAGGTGCTGAGAACTTCTGCCTGCTTACCTCAACTTTGAGGGAACGAAAGTTTCAGCCCAAGAAAAAGCTTGAGTTTGTATGATGCTCTGGTTCGTTTTCTAACTTGGATGTCGAGTTGATCGTTTAGGCCTTAATCCAAGACTTTGTAATGTTACACACCTTGGGTAAAAGCTCGAACCAACCCGGGGAAACCACGTGCATAAACGAATCATATCCAAGAATCTGACGAGATGCTGACATGGCAGATGAAGCCCGTACGACTTCACGAGGTGACATACTGAACGGCAAACGGACGGAGTTGAGAAAGGCTCGTAAGTCACTCACGAGCCACATAACCTTCGCTTCGCTTCATAGGGCTTGTACTTGGTTTTCAGCTTTGACACCCCTATCACCTGCATAATGCGAACACGTTTGGAATACGTGTCGAGCACATTGGATCCCTTCCTCGATTGCCGGGCTCTTTTGACCTCGTGCTTCAATCACACCCTAGCAATAATGCTACGGGGAATAGGCAGATTATAACCTCTCGAACTAGTAATTAAGTTCATCGCACCAAGTGAGCACCACCAACAATGTGAAGCTGCTGAAGTGCCCTCACCTTACTGACTCCAGTGCCAGCTTCTACTGCTATCTGGTGTTTGGCTTCTTTCTGCCCCTCCCCTACAAACGAGAAGACTGGATTCAGGAGACAATCAACAAGGTGCCCACTGCTACATGTAACGGCATAATGACAGGTGCCACAATACACTAACAGGGCAGCAAGAGCGGGCCGCTGAGAAGATACAAAGACACTTTTGCCCCCTTGCAGATGAAGCGAAAGGAGCCCAACATTAAATGAGACAGTGCAAGTATTGCGCGGTGTGAACAGAAACAAACATACCGCACCAACACGCCGGTTGGGCATCAATTAATTGTTTTGATTTTGCCCAAAATTTTCAATACTATTGATATTCGTTTTTTCATTCTGCCCAAATTTTCAAATGAATTACAATTCTAATATGAGATCTTTTGATATATTTTGGCTGGTTAAAAAAGGATTCTTGAGCGTATATTCCACAAATTCCAAATTCTCAAGAATTCCAAAATGAGTTGCCCAAATTTCAAAACATACGTAATTGATTTTTGGGCAAGAATCTGCCCAACCGGCGTGTTGGTACGGTAAATGTAGCCGGCTTTAGCTTCCTTACCAGAGACATCCTTCACCAGCAAGCAAACCTCGCGAGCTGCATCCAGCGGGTAGAGGGAATGAGGAATTGATCTGCAAGTGAGACAGCTTAAGGTGAGCATCACGACCACCACAATCATCGTCTGCAGCACGGTGAGCGTCATGACCACCACATTCATCCACCGCACACCTTTCTATGATGGCCCTTCCCAGGACACACAAAGACGTGGCCCAACAGTCTTCCTACTTCCAGAAAGCGTGCTGTGTTCAGCCAGTACCACTATGAGAGGTAACTCCACCTCTACAAACCCCAACCAAGCTCCATTGCAATGCTCAGATAGCCAAAACACAGCGAAAAAGTCGAAAAGTCGCCTCGTGGTTACGACCTACTTACATTCTGTAGGGGTTTGTCTTTTCTCTATCCGGAGTTTTCTTAAGCGAAATGACGAGATGGAACATGTCATCGTCATCCAGAAGCTGCGGTTTCTGCTGCTTCTTTCGACTGTCCACCCACTTCAAAAGGGCGGTGACTGCCTTGGTGACCTGCAATTGAGCAGCAAACAGAAATAATGATCCGAACCCTGCTGCCGCATATGATTGCAATAAGACTGCTAAAGGAAGAATTCCTCTGTAAACCAGACGACATCCAAGATTTCAGGGCTTTCGGAGAAACCTCCATACAGGCCGTTGAACACATTGAAATGGCACATATTTCGAACTACAATGACCACACACGCTCTCAAGACATTTGGCGCCATGCTGATGGCATAGGTGGTCGCACCTTTACCTCTTAATTGACATTGAATCAGTAAAGTGGTCACCCTTTGTCGATTACAATGCTGCGTCATTTACTCGTGAGTTGACAACCATTATCATCGTTGATCCACCATTATCAGGCAGCACCCACAGCCACCCTTCGCATGGGCAACTTACTTTGCAGTCGCATGCCATCAACGACCTTCATTAAAAATACCACGGGGCTGCGGTCACCCTACCTGTTCTTTGCTGAGCTCACTGCCGCCATCTTTCTTTGGCAAAGACATCTTGCTTCGAGCCCCTCCTGTTCTATGCAGATGTACGCCGCTTCTTCCGATCCCTGCCAACAGTGTCAGATGATGCTGCTGCACAGGCTGCTGCGAAGGCTGGAGAGCGGAAGCCTAAGGTTGCCTTTGCCGCGAAGCTTGCATCAGGTACCGCTCGTCGGCAGAGCCTAGGTAGTAGGTAGGTATAGGTACCTATGTCGTGAGTCGTAATACACAGGCCTGCAGGCCTAGGTACCTGTAGCCTCAGCTGTAGGTAGACCGGTACTCGGTACTGACGTCGACGACCGGCGGTCGCCTCAGAGTCTAGAGAGCTCTGGAGTCTGCCCTTCACTGTATGAATGGGTACAATTGGGTCCGAGGTCAGCCGGCTGTGGGGCCCTATTACAAATCTCCAGAGTTGCATGGGGAGAAAAGCAAGTACCCAGGATAAAATCCGACCAGGATACCGGCAGGTACCGTACAGTGTACTGCTTATTTTCGGCCGAGTATGATTGTGGTACCTATATTGTTATGGGGTTTTGTTGCTGGAAAATTTTTGGCAATGCCATCAAACGCCGTCAGACGTGGCATTGCCTTGTATTACACCTGTACGTCCTCTCCCGTTTCCGCCTCCACAGACCGTTGCCGAAATCAACGAGAGTTGTTCCGGAGAAGTTCATATATGACTCGATAGTGCCAGAAGTTCAAAGTTCGGACCAATCCGAGTTCACAATGAAGTTCTCCAAGTTGTTCAGACTCTCATCGGCCCCGGCCACTAATAGTACAGCCTCCCCGCAACAAACAGTGCCCGGTTGAGCCCACGGGTAGCCTCGGCTCGACCGCCGCGTATGATCGGTAACGTTGCGCCGGCCAGCTGGGTCGGATCGGGCCGGATCTGGGTACGCGCTATGAACTAGATCGAACAAACACCAACAAACAGGCATTCGCGACTGCATTGCCATTTTTCGCGATTGATAAATCGCCCTTAGAACTTGTCAATAATCTTGAAGCAGCGACACTGGACATTACGACAAGTAGCCCTGGGTGTGCCTGAGGATCAAACGTTTCAGGGTCAACTTCTCGGCGTCGAGTGATTGAAGGTGCCCAAACTAGATACCAGCACGATAATCCGATTTACAATTAACCAGTACACATCAGAAGCTTGCTGTGTATCGTACCTACCGGTACTTCTTTACCGGCCCTCTATCCAGCTTGTTTGTCGGTATCGGCGCATGCCATAATGTGAAAATTGTCCCTGTCTGCGGAATGCAATCGTGACCATTCATTTGCAAACAGAATAGCTGGGCTGAATTAATTGCTTGAATTTTGTCATGCACCATCACTATTCCTGGACCGTGCGGCGGCCCGGGACTCTGCCCTGGCCGCATACTGAAACCAGGCTAGCTATTGTGATTACCGGGACTCACTCCCGGGTGTAATAATTCAGTGGATCGACAACATTCCGCATTGCGCAAGCCAGGGGGGGCATTAACACTGTACGGTGACTTATCTTGAAAGGAGCAATCAGTGATATGCGCACGGGCAAAACCTGACAGCTTCTGGAGTCCGGACATCCAAGTTTGAAAGCTACGGTACCACTCTGACAGAAATTTCGAGTTCTGCGAAGGAAGGGAATCTGTTATCCTATCGAGGTCGCGGGCGGATCACTACTGCCGCCATCAGAGCGCGGGCCGATGAGTCCAGGCTCGATGATGATGCAAGCCTCAAGGTAAAGCGCGCTGCAAATACAAGCAAAGAAGAATGGCTACCTTCTAATGCGGATTCTGGCCGCCTGACGTTGCAATCTGCAATAGGTTCCCTCTGGAGACGGGTCAATGGCTGCCTTCTTTTGACAACCCTTATGGTGGACATGTTGCAATTCTTGTGGTGGATGAGGTAGAGGCGTGGTGGATACGCAGAGGTACATAGTGCTGAAAGCTGCTTTGAGCGTGACAGCTTTGATATGGATGGGGCGGTGGACAGTACGTAAACCAATCTTGTATGCTTGCAGAGCGTAAATTTCGTGGGCCTGATCTATCTGCCATCTTGAATGAAGCTCGAGAAACACAATAGTTGGACAGTACAGCCCTCTTGCAAATTTTGAAGAGCTCCATGATCTTAGTCCAGCTCAGCTCAAACACAGTGTCGCAGACAACCTTGGGTCCGGGAGCAGTCATAGGGCATTGCACCAGAATTGAATAAAGTCACCTGCTATTCTCCTCTAGAACTTCCCACCTGCTGTACTCCTCCTGCGGCTATGGTCTCTGCAGGTAAGGAATGGTCGGATGTGTCTTCAGTCATTGTTACACTCTATTATTGCTCCTCTTTTATGCATTTTCCTCTTCGCTCTATGGCCGTGCTTTGTGGATCTCTGCTACATAAGCTGGTTCTTTGCATACTGCAGCGTTACTTCCAAAGATTTGTATTTGACTTTATGAGTGACATTGTTCATTGCAGCATCTGCTGATTAACCTATCCCTCCATCAGATGCTTGCCTACATGAAGAGAGGACAGACAGCTGGTGCAGGATGCAATAATGCACTTGCTCATTCACAAGAATGATACCGGCAAGACAGAAGCTCAATTACCCGCCAGGATCCACTGTCCTAGTCGAGAATGGTGTGTCCATGAGAGTGACAAGATTTGGAATTGATCCACTTCCTCCGACGGGGCTACCTGGTAAGTCATCTGTATGCGCTTTTGGTGATTGAGCAGTTTGCCTGCCTCTAGTGGTCTCTCTCCAGGAAATAGAGGGACCTTGATCGTGCCCCATAGGCATGTCAACGTGCAATAGGCCACTGATCTATGGTAACTAAACACCTAGTGCGCTCTTGCAAAGCAATCTATCTTGTCAAAGCTGCTGTTGAAGAGGCTCAAGATGCTTCTACTCTGGCAAACTGCAGACAAAGGAAAGGTGCATTGGTGCCATCGTAAGTAAGAATGGACTTTTCAAGTCTTATTTGTCGCTGTAGATCCATTAGGCGCCCTGGTACCCCCATTACGCTCACCTACTTGACTGCTGAGTGGTTGCAAATCAGCATTTTGGGGAACCAGGCCTTGTCATAGGCTTTGAAAGCTGGTTCGCTGGTGGTGATTGGTTCATGCTGGCAATAAATGCAGCAATCAGGGAATAGCATTCATGGTATACCAGGGAAATTACGGGGCAGTCACAGCCAGGCCACAATGAGGACCTACTGTGCAGCATCACTCTGTTGCTGAGGATCTTCTGTGCCTATGCGTGCAGATTTGCGCCCGCTGCCGAGCTCTCCAAAGCCCCTGTTGGCGAGCCGCATTCCATCACCGCTGGCACAGCTGACCATGGCATTCACCCCCAAGCAGAGGGCAGAATTGGAGCACCAGGTCTTGCTTACCAAGTATCTGGTCGCCAATGTGCAAATTCCAAGCGAGCTGTTACAGCCTTTGGGCACTCATGGGGTGCCAAACGACCACTTTGCAACCAAGTCAACCTTCCACAATCCGTTGAGCAGTAAGTGCTGACAATGACGGTCGCATCTTCTTGCTTGCCTGATATTTGTTGGCAGGAGCTAACTCTTCTGATCCTCTGCCGTCTTCAGCGTCAAACAGAGCAGATTGGCTGTCTCTCAACAGTGTCCCACTTTCAAGAGCATCACTTTTGGTGCAAACGTGCACCCACATTAATGTGTGCATCGGACGCCCCTTGGGTGAGGCACTTAGTTGTTTGCTTGCTCCTTTAGAATCGCTGATGCGGGCTTTGGCTGAGCATGCGAGATAAGAAAGCATCTATGAATGCCTTGTTGCAGTTCGAGACATGATGGCAAGCAGTGGGAACGGCAGCACCCCTGCTCCGCAGCACGCCCGATGCCTTCGTACTGATGGGAAGAAGTGGCAGTGCAAGAAGGCTGTGGTTCGGGGCCAGAAATACTGTGAGAAGCACATGCATCGGGGCAGGCACCGGGCTCTTAACAAGAAGGTGGAAGGAATCCAGCCGGCCTCCAACCAACAGAAAGATGCATCGGGGGATTCTCGATCGGACTCCCCATCATCACAGGTAAGAGATTCTTGGCTCTGAATTCATGTGCTGCTTTTTAGCTTCTTGGAACGTAACTAGGACATGTGCCCATGCCAGCTGTCCTTTCTGCAGATCGAAAGACCACTGCTCCATAGCAGAGTTTTGAGGGTATTTTCATGTGGGAGGGGACTCAAGATTGTTGCAAGCATTGCTTAATTAGCTACTGTGTCATGAGCTCTTCAAGCAAGAGATCCTGCCCAGCCCGCAGATCTTCATGTCAGGAGCTATCATTGCCCACCGTTGTGCCAGATGTGAAGGCTGGGACTTCACTGATGCGCATGCTAATTGAGAGCCTGCTTTGCTGCACTCTGGCATTCTGCACTTAAGATTGACACCCCAGTTTGGAATGACGCCGCGGGGGTTGTGACAATTTCCGCTTGTTCTGCTCACAGGACAGAAGTAAGGGGACAGACTCTCAGCAGCATCAGGCGGGGTCAGAAGAGGGGCCAGCGAAGAGAACAAAGCTGGAAAAGAGGACAAGTGTCAACTCTAAAGCAAGGCCCGGCGGCCAACAGCGGGACAAAGCGGCTCTCCCTCAACAGACAAGGTATGCATCTCTGGTTGGAAAGTTGGCTGCGGCCGCTGTGATCAATTACCAACGCCATGTAGTGTTGGTTGCAAAGCATGGAAAATTTGTCGATTAGAAAGCTAACCACCATTGGGGCATGGGATTCTGACAATTCTGAGGGTACAAAGATTGAAGTGGACGTGATGGGTCCTCAAGCCTGGCTGTTAATATTGCCACCTCTCAGCATCACTCCCGGCACTCCCTTCGTAATTGTGCAGCAAGACAGTATAGGGTCTCCCTGTTTCTATACCTTGTTACAACCGCTACGCATGTATCGTTAATCCGTGCTTTGCCTGGTATGAGCCCTATCTTGTATGTTGGGGAGCCTGAGAACTCCCTTCCTTCCAGGTCCCCAGCATTACCCCAGTCGTTGTCGGAACTGAGTGCTCGCTACCCGAATCCTGCACTTCCCATGACAAGTGCGCCAGTTGGGCAAGCTGGATTCCGGGAGCTGTACTCGGCACCATATTACAACCTTCCAGGTGAGGAGGTTTTCTGTATCTTTCCACCATGCTTCGCTCTACTCCCTGGTTCGCTGCCGGGAACTGGCTTGTGAATTAACACCTTGGGAAAGTGTGGTAGCTAGCTGATGACAACCGTTTCTGCAAGCAGGCCCCCGAGCCCCAGCCCCAGCCTCGAATCTCATGTATCCCTTTGCCAACCTCGGCCCTGCGGACAACGAGCGGATACAGGACCTGCTCGAAAGAAGTCTTGGGAAGCCAGGTATGTTGTCCAGCGGCTGCTGCAAAGCCTGGAGCGTACATACTGGCTTCAGCATATTTCAACACCTTGCAACCTTCTTGCTTCCCTGGCTAGGCCTTCCCATGTCCCCTGTTTGTCTAGACTTTGCTTTCCTGGGTCAAAGGGATTGCACATTGTGAGGATGAGTATGGGCTTCGATGCCTAGGGTGACTGAAACATTCGAGCTAGTCTTCTTGACATTCTTCAGTGTCTCACTTGAGGCTTCACGATTTCTTTTTGCCGCGCTCTTGGATTTTTACCACTCACTCACTGCCTCTGACGCCTCACTCATCGCCTTTCTCTGCAGATTATGACAACGTGGGCATCCCTTCCTTGTCGAGCCAAGTCTTTTCAAACGGGCATGCGGCCGCGTTTGCAAGCACGCGCATCAACAGGGATGGCACCATGGTTCCCGACACCAACGCTGAGATGGCAATGGCGATGCTGCTCCGCGAAGAGAGGGCCAAGCTCGATCGGGAGGCCATCGCCGCAGGGCTTGGCTACCGAGGGGTGCCTTCGAATTACATGGACCCAAGGGTGCGTTCGAGCCTAGACGGATCCGTTTGTTCGTGACTTCCTTTGTTAGTTCTGTCCAAGTTTTCCAGGAAGTGGACCCCTTCTTGAGAAGCATGATGCATATGCTTCAAGGATGCTCCCGTCTGAGACTTTGCCCGGTAGATACAGCACTATCATAGACTGGCTGCATTTTTACTGACCGCGTCATTGAGCGGAGATTCTGTCCCGAATGCCGCTCGTGATGAGGTTTCGAGGACTGATTGGCTTTATTATCATCGATTCCGATTCGCAAATGCTCGTCCCATGCCCTAGGATTGCTAGAGGCGTTTTCCTTTTTATTCAATGCGTGCCCTTGCTTACCTGTCTGCCTGTCACTTCGGCTGCGCAGGACCACTCGATACGGCTCCAGTTCGAGGACTACCGAGGGATGCCTCCATTCCAGGACTTCCGCTCCTCGGTGCCCTTCGATGCATACCGGCCCGGCTCGGGCCCCCATCCCACTCACGGCTGGATGCAGCCCCAGGTCTCCCCGTCCTCGCCCAGCCAATGGCAGCTGGCCACGTCAGCGCTGGAGCGCGACTTGCATGGAGCCGGCCGGCTGGCTCGGTCCTTCTCTCGGGATGCGGTAGGCTCCGGCATGCAACACCAGGCGGGGATGGCAGGGGGCATGTCGCCCAAGAATGGCTCACTGCAGCGGCAGGGGTCGGAACCGCTGGCTAGGCTCTCCCTGCAGCGCCAACTGTCGGACCCGCTGACGCTGGCCGGGAATGGAATGAAACGCTCGGGAGATAGCTCCCCTGGTAAGTACCTGAAGGGTCGAAGCATGTAGTTGAATGCTGCTCCGACCCTTGTCGTCACTCTACCTGTGAGCTGTCGGATGAACATAACGGTTTTGGACGAGGCCCGACGTGCTGACATTTGTGCTGATCCGTGGATGGGGTCGCTCCTACAAACATCAAGCCAATTGTGATAGTCTTCTCTCTGTCGACAGATTGAGCAGTTTACTCCGACCTCTGGCTATAGACGGTATACAAGCAAAGGGTCAAATAGCCGTTTAACCGAAAGTAACGTTGCTCGCATGGCGTGCTCTTGATGGGAAGCTGGGTCTTCAACGGGTTCTAATCTTGAAGTTGCTGCCTTCCAGACCAAGTCTTAGCGCTGCGCAAGCTGACGCAAGTGACCGTACGGGCTTCTTTTGCGAGGGGCGGGGCGTGTTTCACGTCCTTAGGCCAGGCAAGGCAGTGTTCTTCAGTAGTTGTTCTTCGGTAGTTCCTGATCACCACTCCCTCTATTCTGCAGAAGGACTCCCCCCTCATCTCGCGTTCCTGGCCCAGAACAACAACGCCAGCAACAACATGCAACCGATCGACGAGGAGCGGGGCCTGGTGCGCACCCACTCGCTCGTCAAGGGGGGCAGCCTGGCCAACCGGCACGGCCAGCGGTCCATGCTCAGCCGACAACCCAGCCTGCAGAGCGACGACCCGGAGAAGCCGTGGCTGGCAGTATCGACGGGGCTAGGGAGCTGGGAAAACGACGTGGGCGGCCCGCTAGGAGAGGTGAACCGACTGAGAAGTCACTTTGGGAGAAGCGGGCTGGCATCGTGCCAACTTTGTGGAAGCAACAGAGAAACGCGAGGAGCGAAGTGCTCCTTGTTGGTGAATGACTCGCGTTGATCTTTCCTGTCAAACTGGGTGATGTCCACAGTCATTTTCCTTTCTGCTGGAGAGATTGACAAAAGGAATGTTCACGTCCTCGACAAAGGTTCTTGTCGGTTCAAATCAGTCACGGTGCGTTCCAGTCTGAACGTTCACATCCTCTGGAGAGAGGGCTGCCAAAAGACCTAGCCTGAAAAGGACGACCGGAGGGTGGTCCCGGCCGCGAAGTGCCTCTGTCTGCTTGTCCTGCCCTCTCTTACCGCGTCGCACCCCTGCCACAGGCCCTACGGCGGACGGCCTCGGGAACTCCGGTCCAGCCCGAGGAGAAGCCCGGGGAGAAGCTGCTAGCAGGTGAACCCCCGAGCAGCGAGTTCGGGATGCTGAATGAGCAATTTGTGGTGGAGCCCCTGGAGCCGGAGCTAGCGTCACGTTCCGACGTCCCGGATGCGACGGGGAGCGGGGAGGACCGGCTGCAAAGCGACCAGGTCTTGAACAAGGACTTCCAGCCGTTCTCGTTAGACGGGGAGTCGGAGAGCCCGAAGGCAGAGCGGGAGGCCTTGGATGACGCCAGCTTGAAAGACTTTGGGCAAGGGGACTCGGAGCTGAAAGTCTAGGGGGAAGGGCCTGACAGGTAAAAGTATGCAGATTAGGAGGAATGAAAGAGATCAGGAGGCGGTTTCCGCTGTGTCGGGAGAGCAGAGGTTTGCCTGTTGTGTTGCATGTTAGCATTTAGTTGGTCTTGTATTAGTAACCCGTCTGAGGTATAGTTGAAAAACTCAAGGTGGGCAGCCGTGTCTCAGCTCATCTATGACGATGTCTGTAAGCAAGTCGTATTAGCTGTCCTTATTAGGATCAACAGTAAAGACTAAAGGAAGACGGCCCCTAGCAAGTCCGAAGGGTGTTATTAGATCCTTGCCTGTTCGAATAAAGTTGCATCAGCAATACACTTATTGAAGAAATTGATGGCTTTGACAGTGAATCAACACCAGTGATACGAGGACTACCGTAGTAGAATCTAGTGCTGGGTGTATTTAATCGCCTAGGCTTGATGGAGAAACGAAAGGTCTGTCGAGTGCTAGCTATATAGTGGCAAGACGTGCCATAGCGTGCAATGGCGACCTCGTTGCAGTCAAATCACCAAGGGAGGGGCAAACACAGATGGTCCTTGGTAGGATAGCTTTAAAAGGGTCGCGCGTGGACTTGTTTGATCCTCTTATCCATCCGCTGATGGCCAACATAAGCCAGCCCGCGGCCACTGACTTTGCTAAAGTTGCACCGAGTAGAGCCTAACCTAATCCAACGTGTTCTTCCTGGGCATGCATTCTTGGTTGCTCGATATGATCCAGATTTAGAGGTATATAGTGATCTATAAGGTGCGAAATAATTGCAGTGACGGTGCAAGCAACAATGACACTGCATATTCCAGTCAAACTTGGCAGAATTTGTGCCAGGCGGCACTTTCTTGGGATCTTTGCAGTGCACTTAGCTAGGCTCTAGCTCACATGTGCGAGCCCTTCAATTCTGTAACTGAACGCATGTTATACCGGCCATGTGGCCCGGGCCCATGCAGTAAATGCATATATGGATCCCCAACTATTGGATTTGCGTGGCTGCGGCCGCCCTAGCTTGATATCCCATGCAGCGGATGCACCATATGCTTGGAACACAATTTCGATCATGTCCATGTACCGCCCTGGCCCCTGGCATATGCATGTTGGTCCCATTACTAGTCTTTTATTGAAGCATCATATTGCAATTTGGCAGAAAGTATTGAACCATGCCAGCACACTTTGCCTCCCCGGGACGGTATGTAAGTCTCAAACATTGACGTACAGTCGTATGCGCTTGCGCGTGCGCCATCGCAACTCGAATGCGATCAAAGCACGAACCGGCTTGCATCCGGCACTGAGGGCGTGCTACTAGCTAACAGTCAGAATCGATCCTGATGAATAAACTTACCCATGCCAGGTCTCTTTCGTCGTGCACTTCTGGCCAGCGTGCCGCGCGCTGCCAGCGCCGGGGCACAGGCAGTACCATTTTTTTGGAAGCACAATCACTGTAAGCAAGTACGTTTCGTGAGACAGTGATCGGCAATGGCTTTTCCAGGATATGTTAAGGGTGTGTCTCCGCCTTGCGCTGACATGCACTACTGATTGTTAATGAGAACCGTGGTGGCTTGATCTAGCCCGAGATGCAGCTCTGCATAGCTGGCGGAATCGATGGCATACGTCTGGCAAGTGCATATGCAAGCTCCTACAAGATTGAATTGCGCGCCTAGGGGCTGGCTCAGTAACGGATTGAAAGTCCGAACTGGCAGCAGGGACGTCATGAAGACGTTCTGTGACTTACGTCACCTTCATTTTGTTCTCCATGCATTCTGCTTGCGTATGCAAAGAACGGTAAATCGGACCCAGTCTTTACAACTGAAAGCGGAAAAAATGCGTGGGTGGCGTTTCTTCTCCCCAACAAGGGACTCCAATGATGGCTTTCCATCTTGAGAAGTAGCGAATTACTCAAGCATCTATCCGGCCAATTCATGACCATTCTCAAAGTTTTATTGCGTTTGCAATTTTGCTACTGTCAAGAGCCCCTGCACGAGCGATAATTCGCAAGCTACGTTCAGAACTTAATCTGGTTGATGTAGTGCTGTATAACGACACCGATCTCCTCGCCCTGCATATCAACAGGACAATGCAACGAGCGTGAGCGCATTTGTTGAAGTTGGCAGAGCGGAATGGAAGGCGACAGAGATCCGGTAACCTGCTCGCGGCTGGGAGAACCGAGCCACGAGGGACGTTAAGCCTGAAATTGCAACGTATCAGCCCAAAAGATACAGCAGAGCAGTTGTCGCACTACAGAATGCACCGGAGACTGCGTTGTCTCACCTGCTGGGTCACTAGCCGATGGTCTTGGTTATACGTCCTGCAAATCAGAAGAGTGAATTCGAGTGAGACGCCCTTGCTCCAATCCGATCTTTTGTAGCCGCTGAGAACGCGACGTCTTGCGGATTTCGATGATTGCGGTATGGAGCAGTTCGCAGATCGTTTGAGTCGCTCTTCTCGAATGCAATTCAGCTCGTGAGCTCGCATACTTCTTCAGCCACGCTGTAAGCACGCTCGGACAAGACATCCGCCAGTCAAGTTCTTTAGGCAAGCGCGATCTAGCATCAGTCACACAGGTTCCAGAAACTTCCTTTTGCCTGGACCGACGTTGACTAAAACATGTCTCTTCAAATCAACGAATAATCGTCTACGATTCTACTATTTTCTCCTCTTGGCAATGAATGTGGCATCTGCCCCGCTCGCATTCTGCTCAGTGAACGACGCGAAAGAGATACGCATTCTGCTCAGAACGTTAAAGAACGTGTTGTTTTCTTCGACCCGGCTTTTCACATTCTTGTTCGTTTCAGTATCGTCCGCCCCGAACATCCATTTGAGCAAGTTTGTGTGCTCACATGTTGCCGGTGACGAGGCTGAAGGAAGAGCTGGAGTGGCCCCAGCTGCAGACCTCGGTGAAAGTGACGTGCAGCAGCGGCTCGCGCGTAACCGTGTGGATGAAGAAGATGCCGTCCCGGTTGATCGTCACCAGCAGCTCCGCGGGAAACCGCGGGTTGGCCTTTTGCTGCAAACAGGGGCCGGCAAACGGGATCGGTTGATGAGAAAGAGACCGGGACATATTAGGCTGTTTTTTGGGGTTCCAAATGAATGATGACGGTAACAGGCTTGCGCAACGTTTCTGCAACAACGCTCGAGTCTGAAGGTTGGGCTTCCGAGCCTTCTAACGAAGAAAATTCCTGTTTGGAAGCAGGGAACGTGAAAGAATATTTGCTGCGTCGAAGCAATGGCAAGCTCTTCCTTTAACTCTCAAGACTTTGAAAGCATGTACGTTACCTCTGCAAAGAACCACGTGGAGCCGTAGAGCACGGTCCTGCTTTTGAGGAAGGCGATGTAGTCCTCGCGCCGCTTCTCAGGGTCGCCCTCCGCGGGTAGCGATGCGATGTGGGCCAGGCACTCCGCGCGCCACTCCGCCACCGTGTGCCGCTCGCAGTAGGCCAGCGGAATGAAGGCCTGCAGCGGAATGTCCCTGCGCGTAATGGCGGTACGTTAGAGGTCAAGAACCTTGCCTCATTACTAGGCGGTCGGATAGGGAACATAAAGGAGAGGGAAAAACGGTACCTTTTTGGGACTTCCTTAGGATTCGTTGTCTATTTATTCTCTTCTTCTCCCTCTAGTGGATTTTTCTCCTTCTGATGGAGAATCAGCGCTTTCAAGCACACGGCGGAAAAGATCAGCAGAAAACCTCTACACCAATTCGGCGGAGGAGCACCTAAAGCAGGTTATGTGGTATCTACCCTAGGGCGGCCCTCGAAACATGACACAACGCAGACCGCAAAGACAAACAGTGACATGGAAATTTAACGTGGGGACTGAACCCCCCAAATTCGAAGTGGGCCGCGTTGTGTCCCGCGCGCGCTCACTCGAGGGCGTGCAGGGTGATGCTGTCGCCCAGGTCCGCGCGCAGCTGCAGTGCGGCCAGCAGCACCGCGTCCTGCTCCGACACCGGGTACACGCCGGCCATCACGTCGTGCACCGCCTGCGGGGCGGGGGCAATCGGAAGTTCCGGGGGTTTGTGGTTACGTCAAAGGTCTGGTTTTGAGGCTCCGAGATTTAGCGCACAACGGCCAGCACGTCGTGCACCACCTCCGGGGCAGGGACGAGAATCATAGCAGTGCTTACTTGTACGGATCAAGGGATTGCGCTCTCAAGGGGTTCGGTTCGAAGAACAAAACGTAGACTGGGTTACTACGACGTGCAAAGTGCGAGATGTCAGGTGTTCAATCGGACTTTGTTCGGAAGAAATTGCACAAGAAGGCGGTATGCAGGTCGGGAACGTTGATCGACGGGTCCATTATTCATTGCTTGGCCGAGCTCAGTCCGCAAACTTTAAGCAATTGCTCGCTTCCCGCCTCATAATCCGCATCTGGACCAAGAAACTATCGGGCCCTTTTCCCGCCGTTACCTTCAAAGTTGTGGAGTCAAAACGCCCCTTCTAGATGCCCCTCTTCGAGTAGTGATGGAAACCAAAGTCGCCCTACCTGCGTGTACTCAAACGCGCGCGCCTCCATGCGCACCGCGTCCCCCTCCGACGTGCCCGGGGCATCGCCCCCGGGGCCCTCCAGGTCGTCCCCCAGGAAGATCTTCCGCTTGAACATGAGCACCGCCTGCTTGCCCGGTTCGTCCTCCCCGGGCAGGCTCCTCGCCCCCGAGCTGCGGTCGGAGGTCTGAGAATTGGTGCTGCTACGCGCGCTCATACTCTCTTCGTGGCTGGAGCTGCTCGCGCTGGAACCGGTGGAGCCCCGGGAGTTGTGCCGGGAGAAGGGCAGGCTGAACGTGCGCTTGCGCTGCCGCGCCTCGCGCGTCGCGGCCGCGGCCGCGGCCCAGCCCGCCTGGACGTCGAGCAGGAAGCGGGTGCCCGGGAGCAGCTTCTCCACTAGCAGGAGGGAGAAACAGCGGTGAGAGATATGGTTACGTCTTATTCGTTGAGAATGGTAAAAGGAATGTTGTCTTAGACGGTCGGGGCAGAGCGTTAAAGGTGAACATCGACCGTTAGCAGGAGCGGGAGAGCCGCAAGCAATGTGCACTGCCGACGCTGTTCTCGTCCAAGCTTTGCGGCCAGCGGCTCAGTAGAGTCACGCAGGGCGAGAGAGATCGTGACTTGACGCAGCGGCGCTGGCGCGGTTTTCGAGCAGGCGATAGATTGTCGAAGACTCCTATAAAACAACACGTCAGATGCTGTATTGGCAAAATAAAACAGAATACAAAGGAGCAAGTATTGAGTCACAAGAGGGCCAGGGCAGCTGGCGCCTCACATCCGTCGGCCACTTCGAAGACGCCGTAGTTGTGCCCGGTGCCCAGACCCAGCTGCGCGGCCATCTCGTGAGCGGCCTCCGCGGCAGTGACGGTCGCATCCAGCGCGAGCTCCTGAAAAAATGGTAACGGTGGTCACATCTTCTGTGGTTGTTTCAGGAGAACGTTATTGCTCAGAATAGCGGAACCGTGGTGGTTAAAGGTGGGCCGTTCAGCAATCCTGTGAATCGGGGACCGTTTGGTATACGACGCAGATTCTTGATGCCTAGTGATTGTGATATTCAGCGGGGCCGCTCAAATCAGTGTGGCTGGGTTGTGGTTTTGATGATAACGAGTGGTGTCGAATTGATATCCAAGAGTTCCTGTGTCCAAGAAAGGACCACATACAAGCATCATCGTCCTCATAACCGAGTTTCTCAGGAAGGCTCGAGACAAGCAAAACGCGTCGAACGAGCCGGAAATTTGCGCAAACCAAGTCTCGCGCGCGCGCGCACCTGCGTGGTGTCGTCCGGGAGCAGCAGCTGGATCTTGACGGGCTCCATGCTCTCCACGGCGGAGATCTCCGCGAGCAGCGGCACGTGTTTCCGCGCGCCCGTGCGCATCAGCTTGCGCATGCGCGCCAGGCAGAACGGCGCGGCGGCCGCAGGCGTGATCGGCGTCGCGGTCGCGCCGCCGGTGGTGCTGCTGCAAAAAGAAAGGAAGCGCACGCGGTTTCAGAAAACACAAGGAGTTGCTTCGTGGCATTTTATGGCTGGCGGCTTCAAAATGATTTGGACCGGCCTAGACTTGTTCGACTTGAGAGGGGACTTGCTAACTCATACCGCATGTCTGGCCACAATCCATGTACATGTCTGGGGAGTCAAACTGCTTGCTACCCATCTTTAGTCTCCCATTTCTCGTGATGCATTTGTCTACGCTTATTAATGTAGCGCAAGTTTTTGGCAAGACAGGTGATGCCGAGAAATGTAAATCCTCCACCAGTCAAGGAACAGAAGCATCTCAAATCCTGACGTCACCTGCCCCGGAAGCGCGGCAAGGCTCCCCCGGCCGCGGCCCCGTGCATGACGGACTCGATGTGGCACTCCAGGTACGGCTGCAGCCCCGCGCTGGGGGGGAACGTGCCCAGGCACAGCGCCAGGGCCTGCCACCCCCGCACCGTGCTCATCCTGGAGCGGAAGAGACGAACACTCTTAGTGTCAGGACTCTTAGGAAGCGGTAACGTAGGGAGACGAAAAGGAAAGCTTGGGACGAGGATTCTGATTGTGAACGACTGTGGAAGAATTAACGGAGGGATACGAAGAAAAAACTTTGGGGGACACACTGAAGAACGATTCCCATCGTGGAAGGTGCGGGCTGTTTTAGCAAAGCTGTGAACGTGATTACGAAAGTGGTCGAAGACAGGAAGGAACGTCGGAACATTGAAGAGCGAACGGGGCACTGTGTGCGAAGTCGAAGCGGGCGAATCACGAAGATGTTCGGGACCAATTTGTGCACTTTGATGGCGGTAAGACGTCAGTCGCCCAAAAGAAAGCAACTCTGTCAGTTTGACGACACGTCAGTCGGCGCGGAAGACAGCCACCCGGCCCGCCCCAGGCGCACCTGCTGGGGTTGTCGCTGGTTTGCTTGGCGATGTGGCAGTAGATCTCGTCGCGCAGGTCCACGTCTTTGATGCCCATCCCCAGGATGGCCTGCACGTGGTGCACGCCGCTGTGCTTGGTCGTCAGCTCGCCCATGTACGACATCAGGTGCCGGAACATGCTCACCGCGCGCTCGCGCGTGTGCGACGCCAGGATGCGCGCGAGCAGCGGCTCCGTCAGGGGCACCTGCGCAGGGCAACGGATCACGGGTGTCGCTGTCCAAGGTCCAAAGCTCCGGGAGGCGAGGGTTGGAATACTTTGGGGGTCGAAGATGCGGAGCCAGCTGCTTCCGCAGGATCTCGCAACGAAGCACACAAGGACGTTGTCGGTGCGAGGTGAAAAAGCGGATTTAGGCTGTAGTGAATCACAGAAACCCCGCATCTGCCGCGTTCTGCCAGGACGAGCTGCTCGCCCTGCGAGTCTACGGCGAAGCAATCCTTCACGCGTTTCATTAGACACTCTCCTATACAGTTATCTGGGTCATGTCCTTACAGTCTTTCAAGGCTAAAAGGAAACCCCCCGCGAAGTGCGGTCTGGATCACCTTAGAGCAGGCAGAAGCAGCTCAAAGCGTGCACACCGTTGCATTTACCGGGGTCAGGCCCCGACCACTCATACCTTGGTAAACTGGACCACTTCGGCGACCGGGATCTCCACCCGGTCGAGGCACGAGGTGCCTTTGAACCGGGGCGCAAAGTGCACGCGCGCGTACGACTCGAACGTCAGCGCTCCGAGGGCCAACGACGCGGAGCCGCTCGCGGACGGACGTCCGAAGATGATGGACCCGGACGGGCTGAGCTTGATGACGCTCGCGGACGGAGCGGAGGGCGCCACGAAGCCACCGGACGAGCTGCGGCCCACGCTGTAAAGAAAGGCGCGCGAGCTTTGTGAACGAGGGCGACAAAGTCGCATTAGCGGGGCTCCAAACAGTAGTCCGATTGGTAGTTGTCGCCTTTGAAACGGCCGAAACGAAGTGAGGTAAGTGGGTGTCGCCTTTCGAAAGGCCGGGCCGTTGAGCGCCCAAAGCGACACTTTTCAAGGGCAAGACAAGACATGGAGAAACCCCAGTTGGAAGGGTTCAAGGCTCTGGGCGCTTTCGGGTCCCTTGACTTTAGATGCGGGCCAAGGAAGATTTGAATCAGGCATAGTGTCTCGTTCGATTGAGTACCGGACCGAGAGATGCTTGACCTTTGCTTGCTAGCCCAGCGGTTCAGCATTTGTCTCGACCCTTCAGCTGGGGAGCTTCTCCTCAAACATATCGTCTTGTATTGGGCTGCATCCGGCCTCGACTCCAGGATCCTCAGTAAACTTGGACCGGCCGCATTGCAGCCGTCCTCCCTCCCATCATGCGTCCTCTCTGACGAGAATCAGGAGTGCACCTTGAATGACGCGATGCGAGGCAAGAGCTTCGGGGTCCCTTCTTTGGAGTCACTGTATTCGTCCCATGAAGCCCTTTACGAGCTACCTCTTAACGTCCTCCTTCCGAACGGAACGAAGCATCCGTTTCGTATGTATGAATAGCCAGGAAAAAACGGAAGTATGCCAACTGATTTCCGGACACCAGTCCAGGCTCGAAAAGCAAGCTTTGTCAACTCACGGGGACCCAGGTGCCAAGTCTTCTGTGAACTCCTCGTCTGTAGTCTCGTTTGGGATCCTGCTGGCCTCACGGGGGGAGCCAAAGCCGCTTCGCGCAATGGCCTGAGCCATCCTGGGGTCCTGGAGATGAAGCGACGCCGGCCAGGTTATGTCAACTTTTTAGGTGATTAAGCTGACCCTAAGAGTTTCGGAAGGTGCAACGAGGGTGCAGAAGCCAAGTAGCTTGGAGAACCCGCCGGTTTCCCGGCTCGGATGAAGTCTTGCTCTCTTCTAATCGACAAATTTGCAGACAGTTAGAGGTTTGGAGACTAGAATCTGGATCTGGATAGCAACGGAATGGGTATAGTTGATGGTGCAAGATTGGCATAAGATATGTGTGCTCTCTTGACAAAGGAAACAAAGGAAAACGAGTAAGGAGAACGCTTTCCAAAGGGCGAACCAATCTTCCACCCAGTCTGCAAGGTACCTTGACATGACTATTGTCATGAGAAAAGATCAAAAGGGGTTTTTGGTGCTGAGGTCGAACGTGGGCGAGCGAGTTGGCGGCCCTGCCTGTTTGGCTGCCGCAAGAATGTCCCGCACCGACCCCCGCGTCTCCACCTCAGTTCCTGTCCCCTGGTTTTGACTGAACATGGTGGAACCGCAGGGCGTGTCTCTGCTATCTCAAAACTACTCGGATGCAAGGTCGCAAACCTGAACGTTGGACATTAGGAGCAACCCGGTGGAAGCCACTTAATGTGGCTCGGTCAAAAGCGCACTGGAGATCGCACGGAGCCCACCAAGAAGTGGACGCAGCACTCATTCGAGGTTCGGTCCGCCGACAAAATCCGGAGGAAACCCGTGATTGAGCGCTTCGTTTCGTCCCCTGCTCGTGCTGAAGCTATAGGTCCTTCTCATGTGTCCCACTGAGCACTTGCTGATCGACCTTTCGCCCACATCTGGATGCTCTTCGCCCTACAAGCAACCAAGACGTTGAGGCAAAGCGTCGACAGCAATGGCGATTTGTGCCGGGAGTCACCCAAGTACAGCAGACCTAGGATGTTGGCAGTCCGACCCCGCAGGCAGCGCAGGTTCTGAAAGGCCGTATTCCTGCACCAGGGTCTGACAGAGCAGCAAACTCGGGGACGTATCACAATATTCCCGCTCACTAACATCGTAGAACTGAGACGCATTGTCGTCTTCTGCCGACAGTGTTGAATTGTCATTGACCAGTGTGGAACTGTTCTGACAGGAGCGTTACACAACGTTGGGAACTTCAAGGATGTCGGACAAGGCCGAGCAAATGGGTTTTCGGCTGTAGTTGCTGGGAGTCATATGCCCAGGACATTGCAGAACTGCTGGAAACGCGCCAGGACTCGTAGAAGCTGCTGCGGCAGTAGGGGTGGCACTGCTCAGTGCTGCCCATGCAGTGTCTGTGACTGTGGCAAAGAGTGCCATGGTCCTCAGTAGGTTACGAGCAAGGCCACAATATACCGTAGCAAGGTGCTCTTATTACTGAGGTGCTCGCGGAATGTAACGCAACTCACCAAATTCCTCCGCGCACTTTTTACTTGCTGATCGGAGTCGACGAATTTCTAGCTTGGCTACAATCGACCGTGCGATGAAGTCGACGCGCGTTGAATGTTAGCGCGCGCCGTGTCGACGTTACGCTTGCTCTGCGTCCGTTCAGCTTCCTCGATCAAAGGCCGCCGTTTTCCGTTGTCGGGCTTGAGAGATGCATGATGCAGCTAGCTAGCGGCGCCGGATTCATCATGACTCAAGTCTCATGCCATGCACAGCGGCGGGCCTCGATCGCGCCACAATCAACCTAGCTGACTCGGGGGACACACTGCAAAGCTCAGGGTCTGTTTGCAGCTACAGGCGGCAGACGACATGAGTGAGACGTTGATGTGTACGGAGGAAAGTAGCTGGCAATCCCTACTTGTTTTTAGGAAGGAAGTAGCTGCACTGGCCTGCATCACTGAAACAACTATCATAGTTGATTACTTGCAGCAAGTGCGAGCCGGTGCCCATCTCGCACATATGATCTCATGGATTCCCAATTCTCGCAGGCCCTGATGCATGCAGTCCGAGTTTGACAAAGCAATCAAACTTCGATGTCGCGTACGCTGCATGGAGTTTTAAAACGTTTGCATTCATTACTACTTTACAAGCATCTAAGCATGGCCAGGTGGTAAGCACCTATCGAGACAACCTTATTGCAGTGTTGTATCAAAGCAATGCCATTAGACTGGACGGGGACTGGACTTGAAAAGGCTCGGAGTTCCGCCTTGATTCGAGATTCTGACTATTGAACATATACAAAAGCAGACAAGAGTCGATAGACATAATTTTCTAGCATCATGTCCATGGTCTAATCAATTGAAAGAAAGTGTTCATCCCTTCCTGCAGTCGAAACTTTACTGTTTCATAAATAGATCTGTTTACGAAAAGACGAAATTGAGCTGCAACTTGAGAACATTTTGGAAACCTCGCATCTTTTCGCAACATATTTGTTGGAATCTTGGTGCGCGCTCCTACCGTTTCTGGCCACCACCGCATAATATTATCAGAGTTATGTTTGCACTCTGTTCTATATAATCACGGGTGGTTCACTTCAAGATAGAGTTGACGGCAGCTACTTGCTTGAATCCATATTATCGATAGTTGAAGCAGACGCCCAATGGAGGTGCTCCATCTTGGGTTGAGTTTTACCTCTGATACCAATCGGTCTTGAAGAGTTCTTCAATCGTAATAAGAATTGGAGAGCCTTTTGTCCGATGAGCTACCTCTTTGTAAGTGATTGTGTTCATGATGATCAATATTATCCTTAGTCGAAACCAATGGTGATATGACACTTCCACATAGCGAATGAGCTCATCTTACATACCCTTCTCCCCAGAAGGCTTCCATCTCGCAGAGCAATCCGCTCCACAATCCAAGGCGCGGTACTTTACAACAGAGTGAAAGGCCCACGTGACTTTGTATTGTTGTCTGAGGCCACATCAGAATGTCTTGAAGAGTGAGCATGGAGGTGACCATACAAAAGAAATAGGCCGACTTACATCTCAAGCGAACACTTTATTGAGTGTCATCATACCAATGACCTCAGCCAAGGCAATCCCAATCAATATCGGCGCCTTCCTGCTCAACTTTTCCCAGATCTGTCCCGGATCTTTCACTGGTTGTTCTTCCAACGGCGCCTCTATCTCGTTGGATTCTGTAGATGTCTCGGTTATGTTCTCGAAAATATGCGTTCTAAGATGAAACGATCCGACATGGACCCTTGAGGCGAGGTCGTAGCCAACTTTACCAGCTTCGAAGTCGTCTTCTTCTGTGGAGAAGTCCAGCGAACCGGGATCTGCGTCCAGACGCTTCGATGTTGCCGGAGCACCAGCGAATTCAAATTCAAGTTGTTTGGTTACAGTTTCAGGTTATAGCTACTCATGACCAAAAGTTGCTCTTTTAAGGTGACTTGACAATGACACAAAAAGGGACACTCTATGCTTCAGCGTGAGGGCGCACCGGGTAAGCCATTTACACTAACTCGGCTCGATGAAAAAGCCAAAGAACAACACTTGCAAATTCACCTGAAAAGCACGAGCCTCGCGGATCAGAGCAGCGGCAAGCCACTTGGTACCTTTCCCCTTGCTCCAATCCGAGCAGCGGCACAGTAACGCCTTTTCCAATGCTCACAGATTGCCGCAGCTCGGTCTTAGTGCCGTTGTTGAAGGAGAATATTTGGAACTTGCAGTAGACGCGGCATGGTTCTGACAGAGGGTATGTGCTGACTGATACGGTACGAAAACTCTTCGTGGAGATGAACTCTGTAAGGTAACAGGATGCAAATACTCACAATCGTAGCACCTAATTTACAAGAAACTCAGTGTAAAGGTTTGCATCTGGATGATACACAATCAAGAGCTGTTGCTCTCGCGAACAAGATGCATCCGTTGGTTGAGGGATAAACAAGCAGAGACATCAGGAAGTCGGATTGGAAGGTTTGGCCAATTAAGCACCAAGCACCAGACAAAACAGAATATACCTGGCTATCTTAAGACAGCGCAAGCAGCTTGACGTTTGAGTAGAGGACACGAACAGATTGATATCTTACCTGCATGAAGAGCAGCTACTTCTGATAGATCATCTCGCTCTACGCTTCTGGGAGGATAGGACTCGGAGGCAGCGCATGCAAGTATCACCTGAATGTAAGTAAACAGCGACATCCTGATGTTTCGCTTCCAGACGTGCTTATGTACTGATTAGAGGAACTGCTACCTGTACTCAGAGGAAGACCTCGTGCAAAGGTAATGAAGGAGGTGATGTCAAACACGCCTCGAGCAAGGGAGCAAATAGGAATGTCAGTAGAACAATCAAGATACTGCAGGTGCCTAGGAACCATTTGAGCTCAAGCTCACCAATGCTGTAGCGAAAAGAGAGACAGGAAGGAATGGCTGAAGAACTTACTGTGACAAGGCATAGAACGAAAAGGTGGCAAGCCGTGTCCATGCTTTCTGTTCAGTCCACTTCACCGTTCTTTCCTTCAAAGCTCAAATGAATTGCAGCGCCCTTTTGGACATCACAGGTGCGTTCTTCAATCTTGTGACGGTCTCAGGTAGCAGATTTAACCAAAGGGAGGCCCGTATGATTGGTGCTCACTTCGAAGGCCGGACTTGGTCCCAAGATGGGGGGCAAACCGAGCGATGGAGCCTTCGAAGCATCAATCTCTGAAGAGTCACCTTTGAACACCAGCTCCTTTGGGAAATGACTGTGTGATGCGGATACAATGCAGCTCGATGAGATGTTGAAAGTTGGAGATGGTCAGTGTGTTCCAATTGCTGAAGAAGACCGATCCAACAAGCGCAGACTCCACAATCAAGTATGCACCTGGATTGAACTCCGCCGATACTCATATACCTCCGCATGTCCGCAGTTGAGCTCACACGCGTCCGCAAACAGGGGGCCGAAGTTGAGCATATGGCATGGCAGCTTTCGAAACTCGTTCGACACAGAAGTGGATGGTCGCGCGGCGGCACGGCCTTGAATCCGTGCGTTGGCGCGCAGTCAAGGCATGCACAGCACGATCCTCGTGCGCAGGCCGATTGCAAATGAGATTGAATGGCGGTGCAGCTCCAAGCGCTGACATGGCATGCATGAACAATTGTTTTAAGATTCCGAGTCATTAGGTTACAACAATATGAATCACATATGAAAGGACTGCATAAGGCCGGTGAGAGAACCGAGCCCGGAGAGAACGTTGACTAGGTAATTTCCATTCATTGAATGAGTTTCAATGCAATTTCCACTCATTGCATTGAGTTTTAATGCAACACAATGTACGTTCTCGATCACAAAGTCGGACAGTACACGTGACAATATTTTTAAAAGCCAGGCTAGCAGCTAGCTAGCTAGGCTGGTCAGATCATCGGATCACCCTAGAGTGCATCTGCCATCCCCACTGGTCGCTCATGCACCTTCGTATGTCGCTCCCATTGGCAACATCTTCAATCGATCCAAGCGATCTAGATGCTTACAAGATGGTTCGACTCGTGCCATGGTGCTGCGACAGAATTAAACATGTCGGCTCTACACCAATCAACGCGTGAAAGCCAATCCAAAATACATTCAATCGTCGGTCAACGTTGATTCTATGGCAATTAAGTTTTATGTCTATGCCAATCATTTGAGGGAAGTCAGAGTACCTCTGCATAATGTTTCTGTTCAAAACAATGGAGGATAGCCCTGGCTGCCACCATGCTTGGCCTTTCATACAACGTTATAGGACATTCTGCAACACCCGTTTCGATGACTTTGTCCTCCTCCGTCAACATATCACGCGAGCTGTCGGCAGCACCAGATCGTTGGATCCTCTTCTGCTTGCAAGGCCCCGGGCTGCGGCTCGCCGGAGGACCAAGGAAAGACAGAATCCGCTCTGCGTTCTCAGCTTGCAAGGTCCTTTCGAAGCGGCTCTTCAGTAAGGAGCTGCAGGGCAAAAAAATGCGGTTGGTGACCAGACTGCGAATCATAGCTCGCTATTTGAGTTGGCCTGTGCCGATTCAGCTAAGACGCTTGCCAAGGTTGTCGCAAGCTCCAAAGAACTGATGCTATCTTGACGGCTGGATTCTTACTCAAACAGAAGGACGATCTGTCCTTCGAACCCCAATTGGCTGCACCAGCCAAGAGCGCTTTATCACAAACCGTCCGAAACCCAAGCCAGAAGTAGATTCTCAAAAACCTTTGCCAGCTTCTCACGAACTCTCTGGCCGCCCCACCTGGCATGCTGAGCGAGCCGCTCCGGAGTGCAATCCGCGAAGATGGCCTCAGGCACGACCTCGCGCCCCGCCAGGATGTTGGGCAGCGCCAGGTGGCGCACCGCCGCGAGCCGCCGGGCCACCCACTCGGTCAGCCAGTGGGCCTGGTACGCCACCACCGTGGGGATGCGCGCGAGCAGCAGCTGCATGACGGCCGTGCCGGAGGCGGCTATGGCAACGTCGCAGGCCTGCGGAGGGGCAGTTTAAGTCCTGCCAGTACGAAGGCGGTACTAGCAGACCATGTTCTACGAGTACATTTTTTGTCTAGTACATCGAAGAGATGCGCAGGAAGGATGGACTTGTTCTGTGCTCCGGGCTGGCTGGGCGAAGACCCCAACGGCAAGCGAAGTTCGGAACGCAACTGTCTTCTGCAGCTGTAGCAGAGAAGTGTCATAGGCCGCCGTTCAACGATCAGGCAGCCGTGAGAAGGGAGCCAGATGAGCAGCCAATCCCCTCTCGAATAATGAAGCCACAATGTTTCCGTTTCGAGGAGTCGGAGTCGGATGATTTTGCTTGGCTCTACAAGCTGGGATAGAACGTACTCGAATCGGGCAAACAGCAAGGCAGGCTCACCGCAAAGGCGTTGTATCTCTCCTGCTCCGTAGCGGGTGTGCATGTGACTGCGTGACTGATACTCCAAGCTGCCACGTCGGCAGTGACTTGGTCTCCGACGGGGCCAGGAATCGTGACCACCACAGCGGTCAGTTTTGGCCGCCCTTCGCGGAGGAGCATGAACGTTCTCCTGAATGTGGGTAGCAGACGCTGGATCTCTTGGCGGCGACTCCCTGGCAGAAAGCAAACCATGGGCCGAGCTTCTGCAAAGAAGGGGGGGGGCTTTCAGTTAAACAATGTTTTTTGGAAGCATCTGAATCACATCTGACGCATCAATCAAGTCAAATTATGATGTCCAGTTGCGCCCTCACGAAACTTCTATCCAAGTTGCTAGGCCGGAGCAAACTGTGCAAGCAGCCAGGGCTCGATTAGACATTTGGGAGTCTCAATGTCTGATCTCGAGTGGCTGACAGACAAGATGGACTCGGTCAGCCACTCTGAAGGTATTATAGACGGGCTAGAGCAATCTCTAGCATACTCTGGCCAGGTGACAGCAGGCGCACCGTGTCCAAGCCCGTGCTGCAATCGAAAAGCTGCTCCGTCGCCATGGATTTCCCAGGGGTGACCAACACTGGACGATTGACACTCCCAAGCGTCCTCTAGAACAGGGTGCCCCACAAAAGTTGCGGGTATGCTGGCGGCTCGGCAGAGGGGAGGCTCGAAGGGGAGGATGCACAGCATGTGGTCGATGACTGGGCCCCATTTAGCTGCCAGCTGCTGAGGACCGCCGTCCTTGTAGGCCCAGATAGAGGGGGCGACATACTGTATGCAGGCAGGGGGGGCGACCGCAGCCGTCACAAATTCTTCTGCAGACGGGACGTGTGGATGAGGATGGACACAAAAGCAAAGTAACTGCTGCCAAAGAAACTCAAGGCTCTGACAGTTTCTGCAGAAATTGACAGCAAGTTTCCGGGACTCAAGGTGCAAGGACCCCATGTCAGGAGAGGCAGGGATACGATGGTAGATACGGCTCTTTAAGAAAGCTAGTACGAGAGCACTTGCCTCGTGCGCTGGTCAGCACGCGGTGACAGAAGCCCTTGGAGTCAATGGTGACGACGATGTGGGGGTGGAAATCAAGCAGGGCTGCAACCGTCTCTGAGATCCTGCGCTGTTTCAGGATGGTGCAGGTGAGAGAAGATCAAGCAGTTGAGAGAGCCAGATCGCAATATGGGCACTGCCTTCCTAGAAGGGTGTAAATCTCTTCTGTTACATGTCACACCAGCTCTACCCATTGTGGTTTACTTTGCACATTAAGGCATCGAGAAAGCAACCAAGGACGCAGGCTGATGGAACAGCGACTCAGAATCACAATCTTCTGCTCTGACAATGTCCAAGCAATTACGCTGCCTATCGCTTCAAGGTGTAACACTTACCTTGATGCGGAAGATAGAGGAGATGACCTCTGCGATTCCCATGACAGCCAGGTCATCCATTGGAAAAAGTGACGTCAGCCCTGCTTGCTGCATCTTGGGGCTACATAAGAGAAAGGGCTGGGATGACTCAAGGATCCGTCTTGCTGATAATTCCAAAAGGTCACACCGAGCAGATCATTAAAGAAGATGGTCAGGTAGAGATCGGGGCTGCCCTTGCAGGGCAGAAAAGAGACCAGAAAGTAGATCCTTCAGGCAAGTAATCAATCAACAGCTTTACATTCATCAAACCAAATAAGTCTTTTAATGATGTTTCTTCAATTGCCACCATGGTTTGCAACTACACCCATTGGCCATTTCAGAAATGTGTACCACTGTGGTATTGACAGACTTACCCCCCAACGCCCTTGAACTCCACAGTGTGCCTATGGGCTACCTTTCGCATTGCCACCATCAGAGAGCCCCCAATGCTGTCCCCTGATGGTTCTCCAGCAATTATGAAGATTCTTAAAGTGTTCCAGAACTGGTCTTTCTCTTGTAGTCCAACTGAACGCAAAAGCCTGGAATGGCCACTCTGCTTGATTATAGCAATCACAAACTCCGTGCGTGATGGAAGGCGAGATCCGTTCCCCGCAGTGCTCCGGGGGCAATGCCTCAACAGCTGGTGCTGGATGCAGTATGAGGGTGGTGCAGCTCCCTCCACAAGACTTCTCAAGCCCAGGTTTGCAGTGTTCGTCGAAACTGCGCCAAGGTGCGGGCGCCATGTCTCAAAACTTCCCCGGCGAGCGAAGTAGTAGGCTGATTCAAACGCTGCTACCGGGGGAACACCAGACCACAAGGGATGATTAAGCAGGGTGGTGCTCGGTTGTGGGTGCCCCGTTGGTGGTTGATTGATCCGCCAAAATTCTCCCCTGGATTTGGAGGCACATAGAGAGAAAGAGCGCTGGTGGAGCAAAGTCGCTTCAAAAGCACCCAGTTCTGGTGAGCGTTGATCGCCTGTGGCCGGCTGTGGGGTGCACCTCAGCACACGAAACATCTCATCATGGTGGTCCTTTCTTGCTTAAGAAGTCGAACTAAAAAGCTCCTGGCAAAAGGCACCACAGCCAGCAAGCAGAACGTCTGAACTTGAAGTTGAAGTTGAACTTGAAGTTGGAAGAACCAATTTGTGGAGCTAGAGGCTGAGCTCCCAACATGTGCACGGCCGGTAGCCTTGCACCGAGAAAGCGTTCGCTGGAGATAGCTTGTGTAGCTTCCCCGGTAGATCGTGCACGTGACCGGTCAGAGAAGGTAAATGCCTTCTTTCTCCAAGTTGCCATGTGGTACCCAGCTGGCTGCATGATGTGCTCGCAGAGCGCACTGGCGGAAACAAGGAGAATGGCTGCACTCTGTTTTTTCCTGATTTCAAAAGTACCCCATGCCATTGGCATATGGCTCTCTTCTCCAGGCAATTTTGCTTCTCACCCCACAGCTGACTGGAGATAAGCATCATCCTTCCTTTCGTAATGATACCATACGAAGGCAAGACGTAACGCCATCTTTGCAGGAAGGTTTGATGGTGAATCCAGGATCTTCTGCTTCAAAGGTTGTCCTCCTTGATGTTTGATTCTTGGCATCTGTACTTTTGAGAAGAGTCCGCAGACAGTGACTTTAGAAATCTGATATGGTAATAGGACCAGAGTGCATGCCTGCAGCTTCATTTCAGCACTTCTGCACCCCCGGAGATGGCTGTGAGCACATGTGGTAGTGGTACAAGCTAAAAACGCTTAGTCATGGCAGCAAAAAAGTCCCGCAAGATCATCCTGATTGACCATGAAGACCTCCAGCCGAAGCGAGCCAAGCCAAGCGGGCCATCTGTCAGCCAAGCACCGAGCGATTTTGCAGAGCGGGGCCCTAAAGCTGCCGCTGACCAGGATGATTTGGGCAGGAGCTCCCAGGCCGCGTCCACCGCAGCTCCGCCAGACATTTCCACCTTAAGCCAGGAGCCTTCTTCAGGCGTGCCGTCCTCCAGAACTACTCAGCCGCTGGTGGCCGGAGCCGTGAGGCCGGTAGGGGGACAGCCTGGCCTCCAGCGGCCTCTGGCCCGCCCTCAGTTTGCTCCCCCTGGAGCTCAACCCCGGCCTCCCTTTGGCAACTTGCCGCACCCTGGCTGGCTGCCCTCCCAAGCCAATCAGAGAGTCGTGCAAAACGCTCCTCAAGTTAACTCTCCTGCAGGAGGGGCCTTCCAGAGTGGTGAAGGCTCCAGCAGGTCAAACAACAGGGAAAGCGCTCCTCGCCCACAGCTGAAACCACCATTGCAGGGCTTAGGGAGCCAGAGACCCGGAAAGGAAGCCGGTCCTAGTTACCCAGGAGTTCGGCAGGAGTTCGTGCAGAAACCTCATGTTTGGCAGCATCCGGGGAAGCGGGCCAGCGCTGCCCCAAAGGCATCGCCAATGCTTGAAAGGTTGCAGAAGGAAGCAACCTGCCAGAAGCTTTGGGACCCCCCAGGTGAGGGGGGCTACAAACACGTGGCAGAAGTGGATCTTGCTTTGAGCAGGGCAGCCTGAAGATGTTCTCGTCTAACTTTGTGATTGCGTGATAGTGAATATTTGAGGTTTGCTTTCCTGGCAGCTTGAAACACTTTGCATCGGAAAAGGGTTTTTGACCAGTATGCCTTCCTGCTTTTGTAGAGGAAGGCGAGTTGAAGCCGGTGCCTGAAGACTTCTCTTCGGTGGACGCCTATATTGCTGCATTCGAGCCGTTTGTATTTGCGGAGTGCCGGGCCGAGTTGAGACAAGAGTGGCAGGAGGTGTGTGATGGAAGCAAGAACCACTACGAGGTCATTGTTACTGGCGTGGAGACGTACGAAACTGGTGAGGCCTTCAGATTTTAATGCGTTTATTTCAAGTCAGATCCTGCGCAGGGCTTGCTTAAATATGCAACCAGTCTCTTATGGATTGTTTGCCCGATTGCATTCAATCTTGCAGGGGTTGAGGACTGGGTTGTATGGGAAACCAGAGCAAAGCATTGACTGATTGCCCCGTACCAACATACGGTGTTGACTTCTGGCAGGAGGAGTTTTGTGGACAAAAGGTCTAGATTCCAGGGCAAGTGCCGGCAACATGTGCAGAACCGGAAACGTCACGTCCACTGTACCTTTCTTGTCTCAACAAGTGGTGTGACAAGGAGTGACATCTTGAGGGATGCCAAGTCAGATTGTACTTTAGGTGACTACTCACAGGTTTCACACCCCACCCAGCTTGGCAGTCACACTTGAGAGACTTAAGAAAACAAGAAGCATATCCTCCTGCAGGCGGGCATGACGTGCGGCTGACGCTGCGCAACCCCACCATCCGGCTGGGCATGAAGAAGGACGCCAGCAACCTGCAGTTCAGGGAGGGCGCTGTGGCGGTGCTCACACCAGCCAAGCCGGACCTGATAGACCGGCGCAGAGGCATGCAGAGGTCTGACCAGGAGAAGGAGGAGCCAGAAAGCAACCAGTTGCGGGTTGCCGGGGTGGTGACAAAATATGTGCAGGGGGAGCTGAGAGGGGACGCAGACTGGGTGGTCGTCAGAGTGTACGCAGACAAGGGCCGAACGGGGTGAGTGGCAGCGGTCTTGAGAGTTGGTGCTTTGGTTGAGTTGACGGTGTTAGAGGTTCAGTGGTTCCATGTGTACGTCAATTGGCATGAAGCATTAGTTGTTCGATATAGTCAAGTCGGAGTTCCCGCACAGTATAAAGTTGGCGAAAAGGATTGCAAGCTCGATAATTGCGACCTGCAGTTCTTAGCGGTGGTTAAAGGTCTCCGCAAACCTCTTCTCTGCTGACGCCCCTGGCATCTGATTTGCAGGAACAGCAAAGACGCCGGTACGGGGACTGGCCCGGACGCGGTGCTGGATCTGCTGAAGAAGGAGAGTGCCACGTGGTGGTTCACCCCCCTGAGCAACCTGGTGACGAACCAGCGCGAGTACGAGGGCCTGCACAGCATCCGCCACTTCCAGGGGCTCATGAAGGCCGCCATCCTGAAGCCGAAGCAGGAGCTGTTCCCCAAGTACACCGAGCAGGAGGCGCCCCCGCTGGCCGGATGGCTCACCGCCGCTTTCTCCGAGCATCTGCAGGTATGGACTGGCCGGTGCTTTTCAGGAAGTTTCTGTCGGCAGAGCAACTCTGTTGGACTCTACGTGGGTGTTTCAGACGGTAGATCTGGAGTGGGAGTTATGGGGCAGAGTCATACATGCGACCCAGGGCTTCTCTTCGGAGCAGAGAAGGAAACGTTTGCGCTTGGATAGGATTGTCGATGGCAATGTCCTTCGTTCTCAATTCGCGTTTCGCAGTTCAAAAAGGCTGAATTTGCGCTTGTATTCCCTTGCAGCGCTCTTTCAACCCCCCTCAGCTGGCTTCCATCAAGTGGTCAGCGGCTCACGTCGCGGCGAGCGCTCGAGGCAAAAGTTCGCAGGCTGCTTCGGGAGGGGAGGAAGTCTGGCCGTTCACGCTCATTCAGGGGCCCCCAGGGACGGGGAAGACGCACACCGTGTGGGGCATCCTGAACGTCGTCCACCTCGTGAGTAAATGATGCATCCAGAATCCGGATCGACCGTGGTATCGACGCCGAGCACGTTTTCCACAGATCTGGACGACATACAAGCGCTTGCGCATGGTGGCGTTTGTGCATCTCCCCATCCGGACTCGCTTTATTGGACCGTTCATGTTGCAACTATGTTGCAAGGCAAAAGGAATGTCCGTTGCTCCAACCAAGGCTAGAAAGATATTGGACGAGCTCAACCCGTTCCTCGAAGTTGTTTCGGATACTCCGTAGTTTCCTACGGCTTCCTCGGTCCATCTTCATCTTTTTTGGTCGATGTCACGAACTTGATCTGGGCCGTTTTACCCTCCAACTCGTCCCTATTATCAGTAAGAAAGGCATGTCAGGGCCACTTTCCGATCCCCCTGGCACGCTTCGCCCGCAGGTCCAGTACCAGCGCTACTTTGCGTCGCTCCTCCAGAAGCTAGCCCCCTCCGCTGTCGCCTCCGAGGAGGACCCCTCCGAGAAGCCCAAGTCGCGGCCGCCTTCCCCCTCCGACGGCAGCCTCGACTCCATCCTCAGCAGCATGGACGCCAGCCTGAAGCGCATCCTCCCGCAGCTGTCGCCCAAGCCGCGCCTGCTTGTCTGCGCGCCGTCTAACGCCGCCACGGACGAGCTCCTCGCCAGGGTTTTGGACCGCGGGTTCATCGACGGGGAGCTGCGCAGCTACAAGCCGAACGTGGCGAGAGTGGGACTCGACTTCGGGTCGCCGGCGGCGCAGGCGGTCAGTGTGGAGAGGCGGGCCAACCAGGTAAGCTCGGCTTTATAAGTTTGGCGGAACCTTGAGATGTACAGGCTGGTTCGTCTGATTTTCTCGATACGTTTGCGGAGCCAATCAGATCGAAGTCCAAACTGCCCGATGGGCCTTGGTGCTCGCTGGCAACGCCTATCTCACGAAGCTGCCTGATGCTAGGTCGACGTCATTCTGCTGGATCCCGCCGCAAAATCTGCCTTGCGCGACTTCCGTTTGGAGGCAAACCTGCGAACTTCTTGCAGATCGCCATCAGAAATTCCCTAGCGTTCCCCCTTTTTTGAGGTCTGATCAGACGTCTTTTGCAATGCCGATCAACTCCGCTTCAAGGTCTGTCCTTGTCGTCCACTGAACTCAACACAAGGGCCGTAGATACTGAAATCCTCCCGTGTCTCGTTGTTCCAGCTGCTGTCGATGAAGGCAGAGGATGTGCACAAGTGGGTGCAGCAGCTGCAGCGCGACGAGCAGGCGCTGCGGTACCGCCTGTCCATCGTGCAGAAGGAGCTGGCCGCGCGCGCTGCCAGCAGCCGAGGGGGGGCCATTGGAGTGGACCCGGAGCAGCTAGCGAACATGGACAAGGAGAGGGACGCCAAGCTGCAAGAGCTGGCGGCGCTGCGGGAACAGCACGACAAGGTGTGGCGCGTCTGGGCGGATTCTTTTGTGTACACGACGGAAACGGGATACTTTGGGATACGAGCGCCTTTGTCTTTCTAGCAGCTCGATCTGAGTCTTTTCTGGTCTATGATGTTGCGACGACCGTCGTGCACAATGATTGCCTTCCTCGTTTTGAGTCAGAAATTGTCAGGATAAACCGGGTTCGATCTTGTGTGAGTATCTGAACTCATTGCCTGTCGATAGACAACTAGACTCAAGATTTCGTTCTTTGGGTGTGCACAGTTGTTGGTGGAATTGGAGCGGCTGTTGATCGTGGGCGAGAAGTATCGGCCGGGGGGGGGCTACCAGCGCACGGAGGGCCAGCTGCGGCGGCAGCTGGAGACGTCGTTTGCGCGCGAGGCGGAGATTGTGTTCACCACGCTCTCCAGCAGTGGGCGCGAGATCTTTGAGCGGCTCGGCCACGGGTTTGACACCGTCGTCATTGACGAGGCGGCGCAGGTGAGCGCGGCGCTCGGTATGCAAGCGACCGAGAAGCGTTGAAGTTGGCTCCCAAAGTGCAATCTGCAGACTCGTAGACCCAGCTTTCCATAAAGTCCACTTACTTTGCGTCGCCAGGACAAGCAGGCAAGTCTGGCGCCCTTTCAACCTTCTTTGGCCCCTCGTTCTAGCCCTTCCCGTTGCGTTTAGGCATGTTGTGACAAGTTGCAAGTTTGGTTTCGGAAACGAGATTTGAAATCAAAGGAATTTCACGATCTTGCACCAAGGGGCCCGCGCGCTTCTGAGCCCGCTGCCTGCTTGGAGCAGGCGGTCAAGCCTGGCACTCAGGCTCACAGCGGCGGGGGGTTGGCGGGACTGCCTCCCCGGGACTTGGTCACGACGGTTGCGTCCTCTGCCAGAGCCCACCGCCCCCATTGGTAAGTCCCCGGGTAATCTCGAAAAGTCACAGGCAATTTCACACCGATTGCTGCATCTGGCTCTGCGGCGTGCACCCCTAACATCCTTTTCAACAGATGCCGGCTCCGCTTGGTGAGAGGGAGAGGCGAGAACCGGTGGGGAAGGGTCTGGAGGCTAGGCACCATCAGCGCACACTTTCGATTCGGACGTCGGGACTGATTGCGGACGCTCGAATCTGCAGGCGTCCGAGATGGCGATCCTGCCGCCGCTGCGGCTGGGGTGCAACCGGTGTATTCTGGTGGGCGACCCGCAGCAGCTGCCGGCCACGGTGATCAGCCAGGAGGCGCAGACCATGCTCTTCAGCCGCAGCCTCTTCGAGCGCTTCCAGCTCGCCGGCTGCCCCGCTCTCATGCTTACGCAGCAGGTGCGCTGCTTACTATCCGGATGACTTCATGAGTAGGGAAGGCTTCGCGCAGAAGCAAGTTGTAACGAGGAGTCTGGTCTGCTGCCCGTGATCGCAGTCGAGTTCTGTCACTTGCATCGTCATGCATGACGCTCTTCAGTCCATCCGGAAGAAGGACTGGACCTCGAACCATTCAAAGGTCGTCGAAGTAACACGTCTAAAGTGTAATATCTCGTGCTGCCGGTTTGAACCTCATGTGGCTGCTGAAGCGGAGACTGTCGTCGTTGCAGTATCGGATGCATCCCGTCATCCGTGAGTTTCCGAGCCGCTTCTTCTACGAGGGACGCCTCACAGACGACGAGTCGGTCATGGGGCGGCCGGAGGAGCCGTACCACCGAGACCACCTGCTGCGGCCGTAAGTATCTGAACTCTCAAGACGTTTTACTGTAGGGGAACGACAGATCCCAAGTCAATTCCGCTACGGTTCGTTTCATGCCTCTTTATGTGGACACTATATGGGTTCTACAGTAGAGGTTGTGTGAGATCAAGGGGCTGCGAGCATGTTGTTTCCCCCTTTGTTCGTGCGCTGAACTGCGAGATTGCCAGGCCGCTTCGACCGGTTGGTGGGAGCGGATTCCGACACGGCAGCTCTTTCCAACTTGTCAGTACACCTGTAATTTTCTGCTGAAAGGGCTTCGTCAATCAAGACAGGAGCTTCCAAACACTTATTTTTCTCATGCATATCGTAGTATTCGTCCCGTGTAATGCTCACTATCCAATCGCATCATCTCCGGTGCAGGTACATCTTCTTCGACGTGTCGAAGGGACAGGAGAGGCAGGGCGGGCGGAGCATGTCGCTGCAGAACAAGCTCGAGGCAGACTTCGCGGTGCTGCTGTACAGTCACTTTCGGGCAAGCCTGCCGCCGGGAGCGCTCCCACGGCTGTCGGTGAGACTAGTAGCGTGACTCAGTTCCTTAACTCGTGTTCTTTGTGTTTTTTGTTGTTGAATGGTCAGTCTGTCAGCTGCTCTGCAGAAGGTAGAGGCAAAAGACAATTGAGGCGTCGATTGATTCGAACCAAGCAGTCTCAACGACTAAAACTCGTAACGCCAGGACCTTGACAGGTGCGAAAGATCCAAAGAATGACAAGTCTGCATCTGGTCGAAGACAGTCCTTCTCCGCATATTCGCCGTAGGAAAGAGGACTTTGAAACGGTTTCTACAATTGTCTATTGCTAAAATACATTTAATCTTTCGCCAGGTGGGCGCCATCACTCCCTACAAGCAGCAGTCCGCCGCGCTCAAGCGCGCGTTCGACCCGATCGTGGCTGACATCAGCAAGGAGGGCGCGTCGATTACGATCAACACGGTGGACGCGTACCAGGGCCAGGAGCGCGACATCGTCATCCTGAGCTGCGTGCGCGCATCGCCCAAGGGGGGAGTCGGCTTCGTGGCCGACGTGCGCAGGATGAACGTGGCGCTTACGCGGGCGCGCCGGGCACTCTGGGTGAGCAGGAAGTCCTTGCTGGGCCGTTCTTTACTTGAAGTGTTTGTTAGCTGCGTTTGCCTCCCGCAATGACCAGTAGTCCCGGGGCTTGCATCCGGAAGGCTATAGGTTTTTCATGCCTTGTGTGCTGTTATGGTAGTCTGCGGCAGCAGCTGATCCTGCTTCCTTCCCGGCCAGTGGCCCCGGTTATGCCCAAAGTTGAAGACCTGACTTCAGACATCTACAACTTCAGCTGTTTGATTTGTGTCGTGCAGGTGAAGTAACCAATAAAAGACCACGAATCATTTGATAATGACCACCTCTTTTCGTTGTGCAGATCCTTGGCAATGCTTCTTCTCTTAGCCGCAACCCCGACTGGGAGGCCCTCATTCGGGATGCTAAGGAGCGGGGCTTCTACGTGGACGCCTCAAATCCCGAGGCCCTGTTTCCGCCTCACATCTTCGACCAGATCAGGGCCCTCCAAGTAAGCGAGCAGATAGGACCTCCAGGACAGGGCCCGTCGGAACCCCCGGGCATGTCAGCGCTTCCACCGGGAAGGAAGCGTCAAAAAGCATTGTCGCCTAAGGGCAAGGGAGCCCCGCTTACTGTGCAAGCAGGCGGGGAACTTGCTGACGTCAGCGGAAGGGGATTAGAGGGCGTTCCGGGGCAGAGCGGCAGGGTCGAGTCGGAGCGGGGTGCGTCGGTCATCGGGAGGACGGAGGCACAGATGCGGGGTTTACAAGCCCACGTCAACGGGACAATGGGGATGCCTACTAGTCTAGGGGACGGAGCTCCCCCGGGGGCGGAAGCACGGCGGAGCCTTCCGTCCCGGGACCCTCGGAGAGCGGCGTTGGGCCGCTCGGTGCCCAAATCGTCAAACCCGGGGCTGCCGAACCTGCCCCCTAGTACAGCGCCCCCGAAAGCTAACCTACATGCTGAAATAGCCTCCCTGGCGCTTAGGTTCAGGCCGCCTTCTCCAACGCCAGGGGGCGACCCGAAAGATGGACCGGCAACGGTAGAAGCTTCGAGGGACGGCCAGAGAGCCGATGCGTCAGGCAGGGAACCGACCCCCGCTCTGGAGGGGGCGGGGCAGCGTTCGTCAATGGAAGCAGCGCGCATGGCGCTGACGGCCCTCGGGGTGGACCTGCGCCAGCTGGACAGCGTCCGGTGGGATGCGGTCGAGAAGGGACTGCACGCGCACACTGTCCGACTTAGAGGCACAGGGGCCGCTGCTGCACAGCCGTCTGTAGACAGATTCCGGGGGGCCAGCGGAGGAGTCCCCCGCCAAGATTCTGTTGTAGCCAGTCGCAGCGGAACCCCTCATCAGGCAGAGAAGGATAACCCGGGCCAAAGTAGGCCCCAGTTCGGAGGTTTTGGACCCCAGGTTGCCCTTAAACATAGTAAACCGAGCGGTGCCGTTGCGCAGCCTCCCGCACCCCCTTGTTTCCGATTAGCACAGCCTGGTGCGTATGGTGGCCAGCCGTTTGCGCCCGGGTTCCCGAACGGGCAGCTGCCGCGGTCAGCGTCCGGTGCTGGGGGCCCACCTGGATTCCCGGCCAGTCATCTTGCCGGCGACTTCATACTGCAGACAGGAGACGCGCGCTTAGGAGGTCAGGTAGTCGATACTGGTGCGGGTCCCCCTCCAAATGGCCCGACGTTACCAAGGCTCGGCCGCGGGGCGATGGGGACGCAGTTGGGGGGAGGGGGCTTTCCGGCCCCTGCGGACCTGCCGGGTCTGCGAGAGCCGTCGGCTAACGGCGGCCCCCCTCCAGCAGCGCAACTGGCGCGGCTAGATCAGCAGCAGGGCAAAGCGGGCCTGGGACGAGCGAAGCCGAGCAAGAAGCAGAAGAAGGGCTGGAAGCAGCACGTCGACCGAGATCAGGGGGGCGGGGTGGGTCCTCTCGAGGCCCCCCGGATGCGGGGTAGACCGCAAGCAGCGAGCGACCCGTCAGCACACCTTTGGAACACAGGGGACTTGATCGGGACATCTGGTGGTGGAGGTAAAGCTGAAGCCAGAGTCACTAGCCAGGAAGAGAGGCCGGGAAAGGCCTCGACCAAGTCAGGCACAGCGGCTGGAGCTTTTCCATTGAATGCCAGTGCGGCCAAAAGGCAGTGGGCATTCGATCTAAATAGTGTGCCTGAGGACGGGGATGTTGACGTCGATAGAGGGCCGCCAGGGTTCGCTTCTGAGCAAGAACCAGGTTGACAGTATCTGACACTGCTCTAGTTACGAACGCCGTACCTGGAAATGGATCTTTTCACTGACCGGTGAAACGCTATACTGCATCAGACCGAAGGCCAATTCGTCCAGCATACTGCTCACAAACGACTCTTCAAAACGTGCGAAGTCTCATGGATCAACTCCGTATCGAAAAGAGAACATCGTCCGATGCCATGTTGCAAGGCTAACGTTCACTGCACGCACAACGATTTTCCTGGGTATAAATGAATTCTTCGAATGCCATGCCTCAAAGTTCTATGACCACAACCAGAGCGCGTGGCATGTATAAATATGAGTGCCAGCAATCTTAAAAATCAATCATGCAAGCAAGCTCAGACGCGCCGGGTACCACGTATAAGCGATCATGCATGATGCACATGACTTGCAACAATTGTTAAGGCCTTAAGGCCTTGGAACTCGAATCCACTATTTAGGCAGCAGGCTCAGTATAGCTCATTGTACATGAGCTAGTACCGTACACATGCACATGCATGATGTGCAGTGCATCTAATGAAAAACTTCAGTGGAACAATGGCATTGAGTGGCGCTCATGCTTCAGATGTGCAAGTCTTAGCGGCCCACAAGCTGCTGGAGATTGGAAGAGCCTTGGCTGAGAGGGCAAAGGGGCGCCAGGCAAGCTTGCATACTTACGACTCAATGGAAGGCGATTGACTCTGGATGTCAGAAACAACAGGAAACGCCTTCGGCAATCGTTTGATAACCATGGTACACGCGAAACGTTCAAGCGTCCTCGCAATGCTACAAGAATAAGCTGTTCTGTCTGTACTCGTCAATGTCGTTGCTACTCAGCTCTTGTTTCTGCAATTTGGATCTATTCCCTGAGGATCCATTTTCACCCTCACTCAAAACCAAGTACAAAACTCTCTGAACCCTGGCAACTTCAACAGCTCCAACAGCTCCAAAGAATGTGCCTATTTACAGAGGAAGAATGCATCAAGCAAGTGTGTACTAGCATCGACACCAACCTCAACGTTCAAGCCCTTCGCTCTCCCCTCGCTCTCAGCTAGCACTTGTCCTGCATGATCACTATACATCCCGGTACTCTACATGTGCTGCTCTATTGCTAATCATCCACTCTGCTCAGCTGCAAACCATGCCGGCCCTTTTACATGAGGGCTCCACTTTACCTGGTCTCTTGGCTCCTCTATACTGGTGCGGTCCTCTCCCGGCGTCACGTCTCCGTCTGCTCTCGCATGGACTGTTGATCCGCTTCCCAAGTTTGCCATGACGGCCCGCATGACTGCCCGCTCCGCACCCGTTTTTGCAGGTGCTCCAGAGAGGCCACCCGCTGCATCGACGGCGTGCGCCCCATCTTGTTCCCAAACTGCTGCTGCTGCTGCTGCGGCAGCCCCTTCTGCGACCCTGCGTGGTCGGCTGTATCGCTGCCCTCCCGCCCGTCATGTTGGGGTGCAGCGCCGTTTCCGTTGGGACCCCCTTCACTAGGAGCATTGCTGTTCTGAGGGAAGGAGGACCCCTGGGAGTGCGAGTAGGCCGGGCCACCCCGCGTGCTCAACCGGTTGGCGGCTTGAGCTGCTACCATCTCCTCAGCCAGCTTCACCTGCGGGAGGGGCTACCAAGCTGTCAGCGCAACTCGTGGTAACACCTAGATCAGCAAAAAGGGGCTGCTCCAGACTGTCCATGACAAGACAGGTTGACAAGGAAGAATCGTTGGCGAGTTGCTGCTTAGGCATGTGCATTTTTAACTGAAACGAAATACTTCAATGAAGTCAAGCAGGTTGCCAGCAGGAATTCATGAGCGCAATCACCTTCTCTTTGTCAAGATCAGGGTTGTTGATGTCCTGGACCCCCGTCATGTGCATCATGATCCGCACCTTGGCGCGCAGCGCCTCCACGTCTGCTTTGAGTATCCTGTTGTCCACTGCCGCCTCGTTGTACTTCTGCCCTATCTCTGTCAACCTCTTTATCAGAGTCGTGTTCTCCACCCGTAACTGCGCCACCTGCGGTCCCAAGCAGAACAAATATCTGCACCAGTTGGGACTCACGCCAACCAGCAAGACGAGACAGGCACCAGATAGGAAGCCCTCACCAGAGAACAATGCAGCAATGCAACAATGAATGGAAAACCCAACATAGGAGATGAAGAAGGGGGCAATCAAAAACTCACTCAAAAACTCACCTGCAATTCAAGCTCACTAAGGTGCTGCTGTTTTCTTCTTCTCGATCGCCGCGCAGACTCCCTGTTTGACAGCATCCTGCAGGCAGCCAAGGAGCGAAACTCGTCAAAGCCTGCACCCAGTAAGGCCATCAGCACCGGCGTTAGTACAAGGCTTACGTAGCTGGCGTTTTGAACCAGCCAAACCAAGTACAAGCGCCACGCAAATGCAAAAAGAGTCCTCACCTCTTGTACTTCCTCTCATCATCTGGCCCCATATCCTTCCCGTCCTCGTCCTGAGAATCATTGCCATCGCCACTCCTGCACCCCTTGTCATCCTCAGCCTCTGAGACGTCACGCGACGAGGGGCCCGAGGCGTCCTTCTTGCCAAAGGCCATAGGCCTGGCAGGGAGGTGAGGGATGCCAAGCGGACCAGGGGGCTTGGGCAAGGACATCGGAGGGTAGGAGGTGTTAGGTAGGGGGGGGAACATGGATGCAGAACCTGTAGAAAGTAGAAATGTGGTCAGCACCACTAACGCGCGTCAATAAGGCTGCAATAAGCCAGTGACTCACTGCAGGTTGAACAAGCCCTGTAACTCGAGCTCAAACCCTTGCGGATTGGCAATGCCCTCCATGGCTGATTGCTTGGCTTGCAGGATATGCATATGCATACACAGGCAAAGACTTTGGGCCAGATATTGTGCACTTTCCAGAACCAAGTGCATGAAGAAATTGTCAGCAGCTTACACTTGAGGACAGTTTGAACACTTACCAAGTGGCGAGTCCGGCATTGCAGTCCCATTCTGCAAAGACTGCTCGCTTCCATTTGACGGATTGCTGATCATCTGCATAATCAACATCCAACCCACTAAGATGACAATCATTGAGCTGATCATTTAGTTGCACAACAGTCAGGCTTGATAACACCATTTCTCAGAGATGAACCCTGACGGGAAACACAGAAAAGCACACTCAAACGTGCCTAGCTTCATGGGTCCAATAATTGATCATGCTTGAGCTGTTTGCCCAGAAACACATCGCTACCTGGAGCTTTCGCAGCGCCGCCTTTGCAGTGCCGATTTACAATTTTAAGAAGCTTGGTGGTGCTCCAACTTTGTCATAGTAGATTCAGCTGGGGGCCAGGGGCCATGCCTGGCTTGCATACCCGCCTGGTTTGCATACACGCTTGCATAGTCATGCAATGAAAATCACCAAACCCTAACTGAATGTTGATTCAACCAAGAGCTGAAGGGGCACAATCCCAGTTTGGGGTATCATAACTGCCATAAAAGCCTCGACAACCAACTTCTGCAGCCGTTGTCCATGAATCGATGTTTTCGAAAAAGATAAATGCATACGACTTAAAAATGCTCATAAGGATGCTCTTAAAAACCAAAAAGAGCACATTTCGCCCCTAACTCAAACAGGGTTAGATTGTGAGCTGAAGGGACACGACAGGGTCCTTGAGCTGCCAGAAGCTTAATGCAAAATAACACAGAAAAGCTTGAAAAGGCTTGCAAGTGAAGACATGAAACCATTACCAGAAATGGAGGCCACCTCACGCATGAGCAACCTCACGCATGAGCAAAACAGAGCTAAGAAGCAAGGTATTTGATAGAACTTGCATTTGAAAGCGCGGTTCAGGATAAACGCTCAAGACAGTACAGAGGCTAAGGTTGTCCATGAGAAGGGGCATAGCCCAGTAAGAAGCTCATAGCAAGTTGCAACACCAGTAAACCCAGCTCCTCAGCTCAAGGGCAGCCTAATTTCAGAATTTGCTATTCCTGGACATCAATTCCCTATACTTACCCTTGTTGAGGCGACCGCGCATGCCATGACAAGGCGATTGCGCAGGTAGTCTGCATACCCCTGATCTTCTGAAGAGGGCGGTGCTTCATTTTTGAGTCCTGAGAAGAGAGGGTTGAGAGCGCTGGCCGTTGGTGACTCTGGCATGCCAAACGGGCTGCTCTTGGCCCCTCGGTTGCTCCCGCCACCATCCTCCAATTTGTCTAATTTACTTTCTGAAGGTACACTGAGGAATGCGTCCAGCTTGTCCACGGAGGGAAGGCTTCTCATGGAGCCAAACTTTTCTAGGCTCCTCTCTGAATCCACCGCCTTAAGCCCCGCTGTGTGCTCCTTCATAAACTCTTGGAACATGAACTCCGAGGAACTTCGGCTCATCTTCTGAAAGGCGTGCAGGTTCTGCAGTGAGGCTGAGGATGGAAAACCATTGCTCAGCTTCCCATTGCTGTGGTCCTCCTTTGGCGTCCCATCCCCTTGCGTGTCCAACTTCCAGAAAGTCCCTAGGATGTCGTCAACTGAGAAGACCCGCTCCATCATGAGTCTTTTCCAACAGTTACAGATTAGCCCTGTGCTACAGCAGAACTCGCTCAATCATCAATGGACAATTCCAAAGTACCAAAGAGTTTCATCCCCACAATCGACCGTGCCCCATGCAGGAGCCCTGTGCTGTCGGACAGAACAGGCTTCACAAGTGTCCCGCCTCAGGTAGTATCAACGTCTCGTTTCAACAGGACAGCGAAGATACTAAAGTTACTGTTTAGTGCAAGCGCCCTCCTCCTCCTCCTGCATGCTGGCCCGGATGCTGTGCGGCCTTCTTTGTTGCAGAAGCTTGCTTCTGACGTTCAAAAAGATGCCCTTTTCGCAATCCTCGTGACTCGTGTTGAGTTGACTTTCCGGCAGGAAGTTGACTGCTGGCCACAAGTTGCTCATCCTCAGAGGGTGTCTACCGACCCCGCTCGGTGGAGGGGGATTTATAGAACGCTTGGTCTTATTTGTGGCGACGCCCCTAGACTCGAACCCAGTACTAGGTACCTACCTAGTCGAATCACACCAGTTGCAAGAGCACGCGGCTGTTTACAGCGAGCCTGGAGTCCTGGACCTGTAGCCCGCTGTATACCATACCTATCACATGTGTCAGACTTGACAACAAGCATCGCCAACATTACATGTTCTTGAAAATGTTACGTTTAACTTTCCCGCCGAAAATTGCGCAGGTGCCCGGTGGAACTTTGTAAGTGTACAGTGTACACGTGTTAGTAACTTCAAGTTAACTGGTTATCCTGGTTATCCAGTCGGGCAGCCACGGCCGGCCCGCCGGCGGCCGCGGCGCCGACAAACTACCGTGACGTCGAGTTTGTAAGCTTATTACGTCATGGTGTGAAAAGCCCCTGCTAATGGCGTCCTGCAGTGCCGCCCTGACATAACTAGCGCCCTTCACTGGCACTGTCTGTTCAGCTAGAACTTTTTGCAGGTTGTCAAAAGGTAGTTTGCAGGTATGTAATACGCTTGGGAGGGGAAGCAAAGGATGCTGGCATTGCTTCGCGCAAGGAGTTGAGTATGTAGGAGACAAATATCCAGCTCTTAAGCAGTGTTGAGTTCCTCGAGTCTTGTCACAATGGCGCAGTCGCTCCGAATGACAGAGCAATGCTTTCAGCTGCTCGCCAAGCTTCCGAAAGCTCCAGCTACTCTTATGAGGAGTTGTCTGCCCGCACCGATTGGATGTTCTACTGAAAGTTGCATAGTGTCCCCAAGGCACCTCGTTTCTGCAAAGCAGCTGAGCACCACAGGGGACGCACTGCAATGTCTGCGCCGCCAGCAGCGTTTCTCAAAAATCCCACGCCAGGATTTGCCACATTTGGGGGGCATAAAGCGAGCGACTTACGCGCAGCTTGCGGTTGCAACTGAGCTGGCGGCCTCACCAGCTGAGACAGCGACCAAGGGGGAAAGTGTATTGCTGGACGTGACAGGCATGATGTGCGGCGGCTGCGCAGCGTCGGTTCGGCGCACACTGGCCAGCGACACGAGGGTCGCCTCTGCGGCTGTGAACCTGCTGACACACACAGCGGCAGTGCAGTTGCGTCCCGGGCTCGCTTTAGAAACAGGCCAGGCCCTAGCGGAAGCGCTGTCCAAGAGTGGCTTCTCCACGTCCGTCCGGCAGTTTGGCGACGCACTTGCCGCGACCAACCAGCGGGAAGCCCTGGCCAGGCAGCGTGAGGAGAGTCTGCGTGACACCACGGTGCAGCTGGGGGTGGCGTGGGGCCTGGTGGCAGTCTGCCTGGCACACCACACAGGGCACCTGCTGCATGGGCTGGGGTTCCACCAGTTTGCACATGGTGGGACTTTTAACAAGTCTTCACTCCCTTTCTTGTGGCTTTGAATCGAAGAGTTGACTAAGGAGAACAAGGAAAGATGAGTTACCGCGGTGTCCAGGGGGTATAGAATGAGTGAACGAAGGGTTTCTTTGAAAGGGTTCTTTTGAGGGGTAACTTGAACCGCTGTCATACTCCCCAGTTGCCCCCTGTGCTGTTCCTAGTTAGCGTTGACCATGTAGTCTCCGCCGGCCCTTATTATAGTACTCTAAAAGCGCAGCGTTTGCATTTCTCAATTGTGCCCCCAGAAGAAAAGCCCTTAAAACATCACTGTCTCCCTATTCTTCCCCTGCCTCTAGCTACTCTCATCCTCACCTTTTCCCCCTATCTCATTCTTGTTGCAGGTTCCTTCCTCTCCTTCTTGGGGGTGCCTTCTGTCCAGTGCGCTATTGCCATTGCGGCGCTAGTGGGACCAGGCCGACGTGAGTGACGCCTGGACGGTTTAAAGGACTTATTGCAAGCATTTCTCGCTGGTTATTAATCTGCTGCTGATATGTGCACATCGGCCTCTTCATACAATCAGCATGATTGGTGGGGTGGTCAGCTGTCATAGCAACACCTTGTGGGTGTTTTACCGTCTTCCTTTGGGCCCCGTATGCAGCCCTGGTTGTGGATGGCGCCAAAGCCCTGCTCCGTGGCTCACCCAACATGAACACGCTGGTCAGCATTGGGGCCGCGTCCGCGTTTGCCATCAGTGCCGTGAGTTTCGAAGCACCCGATTTTGTATCATCGATTGCTTGTCGATGATTTATTCCTTCAAGGGGGTTAACAATCTTACCTAACCTCAACTGTGAAGGCCCCTCGGACTGCCTTGTACTTGCCCCTCAGGACCTCTGACGTCGTTCCTAGCTATTGTACCTGCTGCAACTATTGTACCTGCTGCAAATAAGTCCTGCAGTCATCATTTGCCTCACCTCGTTTAAATTGCTGCGCAGGCATCCCTGGCCCTGCCTGACCTTGGTTGGGAAGCGTCCTTCTTTGAGGAGCCAGTGAGCGACACTAACTCCTTTACTGCCACCATGTCGCCTCATGTGAAGCCTGCTTTGAGAGTTCTGAAGCCATGGCTGCTCTCTGAAGACGAAAACCACGTTTACAAGCCTTTGGTTGGCTATTCACCTGGTTTCACCAGAGTTATGGCCTGGATTCTACGGGGTGCTTTTCTGCAACTGAATAGTCTAATTTTGTAGAATGGATGATTTATATGATCGTGTTGCATAACGAGTGGTGATTCTGCTTTTCCGCAAACGAAAGCCCTTGTAGAAAGGGTACTTTACTGTTCACTCACATTCGAGAATCTGTGCAGGTGATGCTGCTCGGCTTCGTGTTGCTCGGAAGAACGCTCGAAGCCCGCGCCCGTGCCAAAGCGGCCACCGACGTGCAGGCCCTGGCGGTACGCAACATTCGCTTGTCTGTCGTCATGCTTAGCTGATTCGACTGAATCCAGGGCTTAAGCAGATCTACATCGCTTATAGGGGCTCCTTTAAACCAGCCAGTTGCCGATAGGCTTGCAAACTGGAGTTGAAATTCTGACTTAGGACTGGAGGTGCCTAGATAACTCCATCTTTGCTCATACTCTGTCTCCGCTCGCACCTGGCTCTACGCTTTCCTTTTCTATTTTTTCGAACTCGAAGTCTTCCAGATAGTGCGGGCATCCCTGCATACCCCGGTCCCCACCTCCTCTCCCTGGATCGTTGTGCAGTCCCTGCTGCCCGCAAAAGCTCGCCTGGTGCTCGGGGACAGCGCGGCCGACCGAGTGAAGGAGAACGGGGGTGCCGAGCCGCTGTTTAGTGTAGAGGTCCCCACCCAGCAAGTGCGCCCGGGGGACCGTGTGCTCGTGCTGCCAGGGGAGTCGCTCCCTGTAGATGTGAGCCCGCACCCTCTTGCAAAGACGTGCCTGTCTGTCAACCGTCGAGTCTGCGCCCCTCTCCGCTGCTTACAACAACGAAGGACCTCCTCGGTTTGGGGCATGCACCGGGCTTTGATAAGAGTCGCATCAAGGCAAACCCCTCCAATTGACTGATTGGAGGTAGATTTCAATTGTTTTGAACCGGTTCGCTTACCGTCTTGCCGAGATAACATTCCAGCCTGTACTAAGAGGCTTGAAGCAAGCTTGTCAGAACAAGCACCTACGCTCAACATCGGTGCCAAAGCGTGCATCTGGTAACTTCAGGGGCGAGTGGTCGGCGGACGCAGTGCGGTGGACGAGTCCATGCTCACAGGGGAGCCGCTGCCCGTGCCGAAAGAGGAGGGAGCGGCGGTGTCCGCAGGGACGATCAACTGGGTAAGCTAGCCGTTTCACGTTGTTCACGCCTGTCCCATCGGCCCAAGCGTTATGGGTGCACTTAGAGAGTGCCAATTCGAACATGTCGCGCAGTAGCCTGTAACGACACTCCGTCATTACTCGTTGTTTCCTCGGACATGAACGAGTAACTTTTCTTAGCCCAAGCTTTTGCAAGTCTGACAGCCCAAGCAAGCAGCAGGACTCCGCCCCGGCCCGGCCGACGTTGCTTTGCCGTCCAGCTCACCCGCGTGTCTTCCACGTGGCAGGAGGGCCCCCTCACGGTTGAGGCTGTGGCGACGGGCGCGCACAGCGTGTTGGCGGGCATCACACGGCTCGTTGAGGAGGCGCAGGCGCGCGAGGCGCCAGTGCAGCGGCTGGCGGACCGCATCTCGGGGCCGTTCGTGTTCAGCGTCATGGGCCTCTCGGCGGCCACGTTTGCATTCTGGTGAGCGCTAGGAGGGTCCGGGCTTGTTCGTAGATGGCCGTTGAGCGTTTCTTTCTTCCGGCCCTACTTTTGGTGAGCATGCAGGGGAGTGTCAAAGATTCTCTGTCGTCTAGTAGATCGGGCAACGAATCAAGGGCTGTCAGTTGAACTGGTTTGGGCTTTGGTTAGTTGCATAGTCGAGATGTGGAGCAAGAACGATCCGAGATGGGTTGATTGAGCGCATTCGTCCTTAGTATCCCTGGTCGCTGATTGTGAACTCAATCTGGATTGAAAGGCGCTCATCAGATGCGCTTCAGGAGTACCTCAGAGTTTCTTGCGTCCTACTCGCCAAACATCTAATCCATTGCCCCTCATCTGGTCGGCCAATTCGCCAGCCAGTGTCCGGCGTGCACTGGTCGCAGGCTGGCTCAAGAGTGGCAGCAAGTGTGTCAACCAAATCACTTCCGTCTCCTCTTACCATTTGCTGACGCGCTTCCACGCTCGCTTCGCAGGTACGGTCTGGGGACCAGCCTGTTTCCGGAAGTTTTGTACAGTGATGCTGCGGGCCCGGACGGGAGCGCTCTCCTGCTGAGCCTCAAGCTGGCCATCGACGTACTGGTAAGCCACGGGCAGGCCACCCACAAGCGCGCACTGCGGCCGCGCGCACGATGTGTCCCCTCTTGTGATTCCCTTCTGAGCACATCTGTCTCAACCTTTTATAGTTGAAAGCCTAAGATGCAACTCTTTGGAGTTACAAAAGAGGGCAGTTTCTGCGGAAGTTGACTGTAGCAAAGGGACGAAAACCCTTCGATCCATTGCAGCCGCGGAATTGCTAGTCGGCCAGGTACAGCCATGAGAAGATCGAGTGCCAACTGAATTGGTGCGCTTTACTTCTTCCCACAGCAAAGCTTTTTATCACCGGTCGTGGAGAATTGACGTTCTTCGTTTGGTTCCAAAGGCGTCTCGACCGCTCCTCCTACGGTCCCCAAGCACTCGCCTTGAGCTTGCGCTCATGGCTCTTTCAGGTGGTGGCGTGTCCGTGCGCCTTGGGCCTGGCCACTCCGACTGCCGTGCTGGTGGGGACGTCGCTGGGCGCCCGGCGGGGGCTGCTGCTGCGGGGAGGGGACGCCCTGGAAACGACCGCCAAAGTAGACACCGTCGTGTTTGATAAGGTGAGGGACACGGTCGAGCCGCCTTCATAAGTTGGCCTCCAGACTGACTGTTTAATAAACAGTTGGATCGTTTCTCAAGTGGTACTCCCTCGCCTGACCGTTAGGAAGTGATTGAGTTGTTCCGAACGTACGTTAGGAAGGTGTGCTGAAGGGAGAAGAGTAAGTGCGATACCAGTGATTGACCAGTGATCTCATACCTTCTCGGGAGTTGTCATCTCCTGGCTGTCTTCTGTAAACCCAAGGATTTGTTCTCGCTTACGCCACTGAAATCAGTCGTCGTCACGAACTTCTCTTGTTCAAACCCTCTTCCAGACGGGTACTCTGACGGAAGGCAAGACCAGCGTTGCCTCCGTCGCCACCCGGGGCGACATCCCCCGGGCAGAGCTCCTCCGCCTTGCAGCTGCCGTCGAGTCCACAACCCGCCATCCGGTCGCCACGGCGATCGTCAACCGGGCGCAGTCGGAGGGCCTCTCCACCTCCGCCTCAGCGGTCGAAGACGCGCGCACAGAGCCAGGCAAAGGGGCGTCGGGGCTAGTCTCCGGGCTACGAGTTGCGGTCGGGGCGTTTGACTGGGTCGCGGAGGTAGTGGGCTCGGAGGGAGTGCCCCGGGGAGTGGAGCACGAGTTGCGGGATCGGGCGGAGAAGGGGATCGAGGACGCGGCCGGCAGTCGCACGGTGGTCTTCGTGGGCGTCGAGGGGCGCGGCGTGGTGGGAGCAGTTGGGGTCGTGGACGCCGTCCGGAAAGATGCTGCGGCGACTGTCCGACGGTGAGGGCTCTCGTGCGGTCTGGCGTCTCGTGCCTTCTTCATGGTAGCTGTGTTATGCTAGATGCGAAGGAGACCACTTCATACTCTGGGAACAACTGCACCAAAAAGCCTACAGGCGACCGAGAAAGGGGACGGAGTCAGGGCGGCTGACGCACAGTATGGCACGTATCGTTGCGATGCTCTTATCATAGGTGAAACGGACAAAGGTTGCGCTTTCGTGAGTGGCGCCGAAGTCTTGTCCCGTAAGCCAGAGGCTTGCATCGACTCATAAAGGCGAGTTTGATTTCATAGGGGCCCACACTCGTCCTTGGTTGTGAAAAGATGGGTCCTGGATCGTCTGTCCGTCGGGCTGCGGCAAAGTTCTCTATTCTAACACTTTCTTCAGCTGTCCCTGTGCAGATTGCAAGAGCTGGGGGTGCGGACCCTGATCATGTCCGGTGACAGGCGGGAGAGCGTCCGCTCTGTGGCGCAGCGGATCGGGATTGCGGAGGCTGACGTCTATGCGGAGCTGCGGCCAGAAGACAAGCAGCGGCTCGTGGGCGCACTCAGGGACGAAAAGGCGGTCGTGGCTATGGTACGAGCGTCTCCTGATTTCCTCACTTCCTGTTGGTGGCTCGCTGTACTTCAATGCTGGCGGTGTCGTGGTTTTTTGAAACGTGACGACCTGGACACCTGTGCTTAGGCTGAAGCCTCTTCGTTTCGGCTTTGTGAATCTTGAACGCGCATACTGAAGTTGGCCGGAGAACTTGGTAAACGTGTATGCGTTGTAACTTGAAACAGTTTCCGTTGACTTGAGTTGCATACATTTTCAAGTCGTGCGTTTTCCTGCTTTCGCCTCACCTGCTCCCTGCGGTCCTCAGGTGGGTGACGGCGTGAATGACGCGCCTGCCCTGGCAGCCGCTGACGTGGGCATTGCGTTGCGGGGTGGGACGGACGCAGCGGAGGAAGCTGCGTCGGTCATCCTGATGGGGAACAGGCTGGGCCAGGTGAGCCCCGTTCAAAGTTTTTAAAGGAGCCAGTCCTTCTCGAAGTCCCTTTCAGCAGACGTCCCATCCTGATGCCTGCTTTGAAAAATGGACGGTCTCCTTCAGGGTAGTGTCGCTCGGTTACACGATCTCGTCTGCCAGGCTTTTCTGTGCTACGGATTTAGTGCACTCTTGCGCTGTTGAGACGACCAATACAATCTCCAACGTCGTGCAGGTTGGGGAGGCGGTGGCCCTCGGTCGGGCCACGTTCAACAAGATCAAGCAGAACTTGTTTTGGGCCCTCGCGTACAACGCAGTGGGCATACCGCTAGCAGCGGGGGCTCTGCTACCGGCCTATGACATTTCGTTAACCCCCTCAGTTGCTGGCGCCATGATGGCTTTTAGTTCAGTTGCAGTCGTAACGAATTCCTTGCTACTACGAGTTGGTAAAATTGCGTCAGAAGAAGCACCCGGGCGGACGGAAGATGTGCCAAGGACAGCTTGAGAATGTTTATGTAAAGTTTGATGTAAGCTGACGGCGCTCGTATGACTGGTGCGCGCTGAACCTCGACGGTGTTATACGGTATGACATGTCATGGATGCAATCCCCAGAACCTTGTTCAGAGTTGGGGGTCCGTACACGTGGCAGTACTACTATGCAATAAGAGCATAGTGACTTGTGCATCCGAGTTAATCTCTGTTCACAATCTTGTATATATGATGGCGCGGCAGCGAACTGTCCGCGCTAGGTCGTGTTAATGATGTCGGCCGCCCTCTAACCAGTGTTTCCTTCCGTGGCATGACGTGGATGCGCAGGCACGCAATCGATCAGACGGTTTACATCGAGCCGCCAACATATACTGCACATCATGCCAGTTGCATGCAGTATGCCATGCTAGCATCCGGATTTGGATCTTGAGCAAGACTCAATGCACATGGTACTCACCGTTCATGTCCGATCATGAAGTATATACTTGATGATATCATGTTCGGGCACCATACACCTCAAACCAATTGCGGGGCACATGCCTAGCTGCCACTGGTGGCCCCGCCTTGTCGGCCCGCGCCATACTACATTGTTTAAACCAATTTCATGGGCGGGTCACACGTGATGCGGCTGCATGCACTAGGCGCGATGATTTAGTAGATTTGGGCTAGCTCAACAATCTGCTCGAGTTACTTTGAAGGTCTGAATCTTGGACTTTGAAGGTCTTGCCAGCTATGATTTGGACAGTCGTATAAACCTTGGCAAATCTTGCAGTTTGCCGTGTTGCTTGTAGACAAGAGGCTTCTTTGTAGTGACGTGCATGGATGACTTGGCAGCTGATTCTCATCCGCGTCGGCTCGTCTTAACAAGGCACACAATGTGTGGGCCGCTTTCTGTCAACGAGAAGCTGTCTAATCTGCTCGATTGCAAAGAGGGCAATATCTCTTCGAACTTCGTCCACCGCAGAGCCTAAGTGCGGCGTGAAAAGGGTCCGATCTTTCATCTTTAACAGGCGCTCAGGAATCTGCCGCGGTCTCGAAGGCCGTGCCCAGTCCTCGAACTCGAACACATCGGCTGCATACCCTCCCAGCTCCCCTGTCTCTAGGGCTTCTGCGACGGCGTCTTCATCGACTACTGACCTGCATCACAAAAGCTGTTACATCTCAGCTAAGATTCACGAGAAAACGTATGACAAAGATCCTGAGGTAGCAGTTACCTTCTGCCAGTGGCCCCTCAGCACTATAACCCAATGTAAACCCACACTGTCATTGGCAACTTAAGAAAGATCAAAATCTTCAGGATGTGATAGTCCTAGAGCAATTAACACCAGGCCGCCGGACGCCTGTTTTTGTGAAACCATTCCCCAAGTTTGTTGCACTCTAAGGACGAATGCCAAAGCAAACAGTGAGTGCCTCACCCTCGCCCGCAGTTCACCAGGAAGGCGCCTGATTTCATCATGCGCAGGGCTTGTGCATCGAATAGGTGTGTGGTGTCCGCAGTCAGGGGCACAAGAGGGATGACCACGTTGCTTGCACTTAGCAAATCTGCGAGACTTGACGCTGGGGCAATGGGTAGAGCAGACGTGGCTGCTTCTTGGTTGGGGTCCAGGAACAAGATCGGCTTTCGAACGCCAAACGCCACCAACCGCCGAACAACAGCCTTTCCAACGGCGCCCATGCCGATGACACCAATCACCTGCGGAGAAGAAAACTCGAGTTGCTCTGCGTAACTTTTTGGAGATTCGATGGGCAGGCTTTACTTCAAATGATTGGATAATAAAACCAGCCATAATAGTATCATCATTTGCATAGTCGCAATTCGATAACTTCTTCTCACTTTGCCTGTTTAAGGTTGTCAAATGTCCAGGAAGTGGCAGATACATGGCAATAAGTTGCGCCTCTGCTCATTTGCACAGTGTTGGCCTCACTGGTAAGATTGTGTTCAGTGCCGCACTGAGGAAACAGCAGCGACAAACCGCACAATTTTTCCGAATCTCGTCATATGCTCTTCTCTCCTCGGAGTTCCACACCAGTGACTACCACAACAGGTACGGAATCCCGAGGACTGCCAAGGCCACTGCTTGCCTTGTCATTCAGGCCTGCTCCATACAGGATGGGCCGCCACCCTTGGAATGCACCGCTCCTCACGTACGCGTCTCCCGCTAGGATATTCCTCATCAGCCCAAGCGTGAGGGCAATCACCAGCTCTGCTGTGGGCTCAGTCAGCAGGTCTGGAACGATGGTCAGCAAGACGCCAGCCTGCGCTTGGAGAAAGAGGAAGTGAGTCATCTGCTCAAACGCATGGGCCAGTGCTCGATATAATTGGTGCTCCTAACTTTGCGACCTCGGCCGCCCACCAAGTGACACAGATTACGGCTGCTCTTATGATTTATGGAAGAGCAATTGGGTCTTCTCAGCGCCATGTCAAGTGTCACCCTGCTCAATGACTAAGTCTCAGGCGGCGGATGTCATTTGTTGAGGTGTTTCTTACTTGCCTCCTCGCACGCCTTCACGTCGAAGTTGTCGAAACCCTTCAGCGCTGCTGCTACAATTCTTAGTTTAGGACAGCTGTCCAGGACCTCTCGGTCCACCCAGTCAGACATGAACGCCACCATTGCGTCAGCATCCCGACACCGCCGCTTGACTTCCGCTTGACTTAGAGTCTCCTTCGTTTGGTTTAGGATAGGAGTCGCAAATGCCGCCAATGCTGCGATCGCCTCGTCGTGGATCCATTGAGTGACCACCACCACTGGAAAAGCAGCCATAAAACTCTACGTTTCAATGGCAGCTCCAATGCTGCCTGTAGGGTGCCAGCTGACATCTCTTGCGCACTCCAGCTTCTCAAGAACCACAACGACGGGTGAATCAAAGGCTCCAAGAAGACAGTGGCACTCAGCAATGCGGTACTAGTACTGGTGCAGAAGATTTGCAGAGGGCTTCCAAGTTCAGCATGCAAGCCTGCATTGGCAATCTAGGATTGGACCTAGGACTAGAATCAGACTGAGAGTCAGAGCTAGGCTAGTAGTAGCAAGGATGAGGCGCAGATGGAGTTGAAGCTGGCCGCCGCCATTGCCAGGTGGCGCGACGCATGTACCTAGATTCTCCGCTGGCAAATCTGCCGGAGGGCTGCCGGAACCCTAGAAGTTCCTCGAAGGTAGTGCCGGATTTTCGCCGAAGATGGTCGCTAGGTACATAGCTACTGTACTAATGTACGCAAGTCCGGGCAAACTGGTACATTTTGAAAGGCTCTAGATTTTGTGACAGTGTAAACTGTAGACCTCTCAAGAAGGTGCATGAAGCAAGTGCACCGTCGCAAGGAAAAGCCGGCCGCACTTTCCAGCACAGCATTGCGGATGTAGGATTCCCGAAGCAGCAGGGACAAGGGCAGCAGGCAGTTTGTCCAGCAACGGGTCTGTCCAAGCGGGGAAGGACACGTGCATCTGATCTTGCGTCCCATCCAACCTGCAGTCAGGGTTTCTCACACGCCTTGTGGAAGGTTTTGCTATGGTCATGTGAGTAACTCGGCTTTCGCAATGGGAGACCGTGCAGGGGGCACTTGATTGCATGCCGGGACGACAGGACTGCGGGTCTCGATGAGCGGAGAGAAGCGGGCCGCTTTGAATGCAAAGATGGAGACGCTGTACAAGACCTTCTCACAGATCAGCAACAACTCTCTGACCCAAAAGATCGCAAACTCCGACATTTGGACGGGGGGCAACGGCAGTGCAGCGGTGGCGAGTCAGTCACCTGCCAAAGAGAGCATAGAGGGGTCGAGCACTGTGAGGGCAAGCAAAGGCCTCTTGTCGCCCATCATCACCCCCCCAGACAATGCTGAGGGTTTAGAGGGACTGCCTGGCACCCCCAAGCAGCAGACTAGCGACAGTGCAGGGATGCAGGGCGCCGAGGGGGGATCAGGCTTCACCCCCAGCACTGAGGCCATTGGGTCAGACGAGGACAGGGAGAAGCAGGGCTCTGTCTCTCGGCGCGTCAGTTTCAAGAAGACAACCTTGTCAAAGGAGCAGGTACGCTGTCTGACGAGGCTTGGCAAGGTCCCCTGATGCACTTAGTGGCAGATGCGGGACCATAATCTCATGTGAAGTTGGTGGAACTTGTGTGACATTGGGCGCAAAAGGAGGGCGCCTGACAGGGTCATTTGTGGTTTCAAGTTAGGGACTCAGAAAACCAATGTTTAGATTGGTTTGATTGTTGCCCTGGCTCTAGTAACTTCCTTTCTTAGAGGGAACAATATCAACTGGCGAGAGGAACAGTTGGCAAATGGGGCGCTGTGGTGTTGCGAGGTCCGCTCACTGCTTTTGTTCAGAGGGGCAATTGGATTGAAAGAGTGCCCATTCTCAGTGCCAGAAACATGTGCAAAGGACTTCCATTCATGCCCCACTTGAAATACTCCTGTGCGCAGTTGCTCAGGATCGATAGTGATGGTAACCACTGAGCCCCACCTGTCTTGCAAAGCAGAGATAGGCACAGCCTGGCTCAGCGCTTGGGGCCTCTACTGTGTGTCAAAATGGCTTCCCCCAACTACCTTGCAAGAAGTTTCACCCCTGAACTTTGCAATCCTGCTTTTGGAGACATTTGCAAACAAAACAGGGGCCTTGTGTGAGGAGGCTCAATTCCAGTCGGGTCGAGAGCCATGAGTAGTGCCCAATTCGAGCTTGAGCATTGCCTTGTTGTCAATAGTGCGTTCTGTTGTCCTGCTGCAGCTTCTGCCGCGCCCCACCAAGTGCGAGGAGTACCGAAGCTTCTTTCACCTCCCCCCTGAGGAGGTGAGTGACCGCTCCAAGGCACCTGCGCCACAGATGATGTCAGCTGAGCCGTGCTTCAAGCAAGTCCTCGGCGCTTCTCTTAATTCTGAGCTTTTGCAAGGATTGTATGCTGGTTGTTTTAGGTCACGTGCCCCCTGTAGGGCCGATCAAAAGGTTCACATCCTCTTTGGCCGGTCGGGAAGGCTGGTGCCTTGAAGGTTTGATCTTATCCTCCCCCGACGTATTGCAGAACCTGATTGAGGACTTCAACTGCGCGCTGCAAAAGAAGATCCTGCTGCAGGGCCACATGTACCTGTTCGATCGATACGTATGCTTCTACTCGAACATCTTCGGCTTTGAAAAGAAGGTAAGGTCTCGGAGCTCGCTTTCAATTCCGGCCGCACAAGTGGGGTGCCCAAAGTCAATGCCATAGTTGATCCGGAAAGAGTGCGAAGCCGTACGCGAAATGTCTGCACAACTCAACAAAAGACAAAATGTGATCGCCAAAGAAGGCAACTCAAGTCTTTCAAGAAGGCGTGAAATCAGACGTCATATCAAGACATAGTCACAAATGGTCGATGCTCCCTCCTTCTCGAAAGACCCGCATACCAATTGGCGAGCGTCATAGACCTACGCTACAGGCAGTCTGTGGCCAGCATGAACATTTTGGCATGCCAACCACAGGTCCCGGTCGTCTATTTTTGAAACCTCGAGCTTTCGAGCTTCCTCAACAAGTCAAGTCGATTTCTTGATTTGCGGCAGGGGTTGCATGATACGCAATCGTTTGCCTGCCTGTCTCCAAGTCAGCTCTCCAGGCATCCTCCCTGGCGAAGTAACTTCAAGAGCAACTGGGTCGGTTTGCTCTTTCGCCCCAGCACCTAATGGCATCCTTTGCACCCACTCTGCTGCCCTCACCTCCTCGCAGAAAGTGCTCCCTCTGAAGGACGTCACGGTGGTGCGTAAGGCCAAGACCGCAGCCGTCTTTCCGAATGCCATTGAGATCGTGGCGTGGGGCAAGCGGCACTTCTTTGCTTCTTTCCTGTCGCGGGATGAGGCATACCGGCTCATCATCCTCAACTGGTCCCAGCACAGCGGCTATGCCAAGCTGTTTCTTGGGGTAAGCATCTGCAGAGTTGGTCCACTGCTTTTGGGAGTTCTGCGCATCTTGGATGTTCATGTGAGGTCGAGATGAAAGCGAACTCTAAGAGGGTCTCTTTAGCTGTTCTCCTGCCAAGAAGTTTGCGGAAGCGAATGCTTACTTCACGATGTTGTTCAAACTCATGTGAGAGCACCTTAGAATTCTGCTCGAACCCGTGAGCTTGACAGAGCATGTATGCACAGTTGCACGCGCTCGTCGAACCAGAAGACGTCCAACGTACACAGAGAAAGAAGTCAAGCTTCGTCAAATGAACTTCCAAATCAAATAAGGTCAAGGGCCCAACACTCAGAACTGCCCCATCTTCACAGAACCGCCTGAATGCGGAGGCGAACGGGCTGCTCAGCACACGCAGCGACGCGTCGACCCGCCGCGAGAGCGACGACGACGAGGATGGGGAGACCCTCACGTTCGCCGAGACCGCCGCCGAAGCCCTCGCCCTCGTTCCACTAGTCGGGTGAGGAGGCCAAGCCTCGCATATATTGCGCTTCTGCAGAAGCTCAAACAGTTGAAGCGGAAGCTGGCCGTTCTTTGGCCTCCCTTTGAAACGGTTTCAGAAACGACCTCAAAACGAGCTCAAACTTGTGAGCTTCTTCTTCAAAGTGCAAGAGTGGTGGGTTAGCGTTATCTGTGACGCGCAACTCTGGATGTCCAGCGCGAGCCACGGCAGTAACCGCCACTCCGTTTCCGCAGGGAGGGGGAGAGCCCCGAGGCCGCCGGCCCGCCCAGCCTGGAGAGCGCCGTTGGGCCGGTGGGCGGCGCCAAGGACGACGTTCTGGTGGAGGCCCCCTTCGACCAGGAAATGTCCAAGGACTCCTCCGAGGAGCCGCCCGTACCCAAGGCCATGGTGCGCGAGCTGCAGTCCCCGAGCCGCGCCGTCCCGGGCCGGGCATGGGAGGTGGAGGACATCGACCCCCCGGAAGGTGAGCAGGAAGAAGCTGGGGACGTAAACGGGGGGGTTGAGCGTGGTGGCCAGGAAAGGGTGCGAAGGGAGCGTTTGCGTGAAGACTTGCTTTGTGTCCCAAGCATACAAAGAGACGTGTTTGGAGAAAGTAAATCGAACTTGCGATGTACTTGGCATCCGCTGGTGCTTGAACTCGCATCAGAAGCAGACGCGGACACCTTGCTAGCAGAACCTGCAATTGTCTGCCTAGCCCTGACCGGCTACCGCTTTTTCGCCGTGCAGTCCCGGACACCTTCAAGACTATCATGGACACAGAGCTGTCGGTGAGCGCTCTCTCACGAAACACAATTTGCTCGGGCACAGCTGCGAGAATACTCGGTCTATGGAACGGATCTGCGGCTCAAGAGTTGGCCCGCCGAGTCCTGCGAAACTCCCGCACGCCTTGAATGTCCCTAGGCCCTGCCTACTGCAAGACGAATGAACTCTTGCTAGTTTCTAGTTGGACGAAAGCTTCGCCGTCGCTTCAAAGCAGGCTGGCCGTCACCCCGAGAAGTGTCTTTGCTCACATGGGGGCTTGAGCGGCGCTCGTGCTGTTCCCCACCTTTGCGTTGTGGTGCTTACCTTTTCGGCTGCTTATTCGTACAGGTCAGCTCCAAGGACATGTTCCAATTCTTCTTCTCCGACGAGGCCTCGGACTTTCTGTACAACTTCCACACCGCGCGTGGCGACCAAGGTCAGGCCCCCTCTCAGGGCACATTTGCACTTCGTCAGCGTGTTTCTCACCCGCCAAGTTTGGCCGTCTCTGCCCACCCCCAAAGGCCCGACTCCACTCGAGCTTTTAGTTACCAGCTCTATTTAGCTTCCCTCCGCACCTAGAAGTTTCGAGAGAAAGATTTCCCCTCCGTGTGCAAATAGCACAGGATGCGATGCTCGACCATTTTCTTTTGCAGAGTTCCGGTGCAGCCCGTGGAAGGCGGACTCGCAGTACGGCCACGTGCGGGAGCTCTCCTTCCGCCACCCCATCAACTTCTACTTTGGTGCGTCCGCACATTTCGGGCTCAAACAGCTGTGCTTCCCGTGGGGCTTCCTTGGATTGCCCGCTGATCTAGGCGTTTTCAAATTATGGTCGAGGTGTTCGCTCTGCTGAGAACAAACCATAAAGTGCACGACCTTGGGTTGCACCACTTTGGGCCGATGGCTTTGCGGGGGATTACACTTAGCCGCCAGAGCACAGTCCTGATTGCAACCATTTCTCGTTCTCCCACTGTCAGTGTCACTTTGTGTTGCGGAAATGCGTGGCGTCAGCTTTGCTATGCTCTCACCCCGCAGCATATTGACGCCTTCTTTGCTTTACCGCAGGGCCCAAGTCCACCTTTTGCCGGCAGACGCAAAGTTACAGGATTTGTCGACGCAAGTGAGCCTCGTTTACTCTTTACGACGGGTCGTTGCCCTACGAGTCTAGTCCTACTCCTTTTCATGTGCTTCACGTGGATTATCCTGTAAAGCTCTAGCCCATGTCCGCTGGCGGACTTGTCCTTGGTTGGAATTATCCTGATTATTCTTGGAGCCCGCCCTCGCTTGTAGTAGCCTGTCCTGTATCCAGGACATGCTGCTTTCGAAGCTGTATCCAGGACACGATAGTTTGGATGCCTGATTCACGGACGGTCGTCTTTTCACACGAATTCGCTCACTCTCCGCACGCGTAACAATCACCGGCACTTCGCCAATCCTTTGAGGTCGCTCACCCGTTCTCTCCGCCCATTACGTGCAGCCACGTGGTGATCTACACGAGCCAGACGATGCAGGACATTCCGTACGGCGACTACTTCTCGGTGGAGGTGCGCTGGGACGTGGAGGACTTGCAGGGCCGCGGGCCCGACTGCTGCAACCTGCGCATCAGCCTCGACGTGCCCTTCGCCAAGAAGACCGTCTGGAAAGGTGCGTGCCGCCGTCGTGCGGCAAGGCTGGTGACTGCAGAAAGCAAGGGTTGGAGTCGGGAGAACGAGACCGTCTGCGAAGATTGGCCATTCAGGAAGACTGTTTGAAAGCGCCTATGGCAAAAGGTAGATGAATTTTAGATGTGAGGGGTCGAATGCTGGGTTAAGCGGTCAAGCCTTCTCCTCCAACCGCCTTGCGTGGGTGACCTCTTCCAACCGTGGAACGTAAGTAGCAGGCTTTCAAACCATGCCTGACTCTATTTGCGCGCTTTTATTTTTCCTCATGCATCTCGTATCAGGGCTGAGCCCCTCTGGCTGTGCCGGCCAATTGTGTGGGGCGCCCCTCTTTAGATCTGAAAGCTGCCCATTGACAGTCTCTTTTCTCGGCGTGCAGGCAAGATCGAGCAGGGCACGCTGGACGAGAGCCGCGAGACGTACCAGGCCTGGGTGCACGAGGTAGGGCCGCACCTGTATGGCTGTTTGTGCCAGCACAAAGCGAGCCGCACCGAGCTGCTCGCTTGACCGAATCCAAGTACCGAAGGGACTGTCTTGTGAACGACCGTGTCTTTGCCGTCCGCCCACACCTGTGCCAGATCCAAAAGAACGGCCGAACTTCATGTGACGGTTGGGACAGGTCGCAGGGCGGTTGGAGCGGTGACGCAATCTCGTCGGCATTGTGCAGGCGCAGGCGGCCATCTTAGAAGCACGGGGCGACTTGCGGGAGAGTGCGCCGGCATCGCGCGTGGTCACGCCGCACCGCCAGAGCTCCGTGTCCCTTGGCAGCCCCCCCGTCACCAATGACGACGTGCTGAGTCACCTAGGTGCGCACCCACCAGTCTTTGCGGAATCTACCGTTGCCTACTTTGAAAGGACGTTCGCTGACAGGTCTCAGGGTGGGTCCATTGTAGCGGTTGCATGGCGAGGGTGCCGGAACACGTTCTGTGCAGCTGAGTGGCAGGCGAGGTTTCTTGATCAGGTGCAGTAATGGCACGATCTGCGGATTTTGCCAATACCTCTTCCGCGTTTGGCTCCGCTAGAAAGAGCGGGCTTCTGTCTAGCGTCAGAAGAGGAACTGGTGTTACCTGTCAGCAAACGATCCCCAAGTTGAAGATTGCCCCCTCGGCGTTTTTGTGTACAGAGGGCAAGATCCCGGTGGAGTACGAGGACGAGATCCGGCGCATGCTCAAGCTGGACGACGCCTCGCGCGGGCCCTCCGTGGGGCACTCCCCGCGCCTCAGCACCCACCCGGTGCCCAACCCCGGGCAGGGGGCGCGGTCGGGCCCGACCACGCCGTTGCTGACTAAGGCCGGCACCGGGGGTGAGTTGGGCGGAGAGACAGTCGCTCGGGTGAGCCTGCCGGGGGCCTGGTTGGGGCAGGGCCTGAAGGCGATCACTGGCCGGCTGGTGGAGTCGGAGAAGGCGGCTTCGCAGCTCAAGGCGGGGGTCGTGGTGCTGGTGCTGGCGATCCTCTTGCTACTACAGGTGAGACAGCTGGCAGCCTGCGACTGGTCACAAGGTCTCACGCAAACTCATGTGGTGGTCCGGTTTATGATTTCAGCATCTGTTCGTATTACAAGTAATTTCGCTTGGATTGGCTGCACTAAACGACTGCACTGAATGGATAGGCAGTTACTGTATGTTTGAGAGCTGCTCTTAGACTCTGTGTTTTTTTGGGCGATAGTGTAAGCAAAGTCCAACTCTCACGCGTTCTCTTTTGCAGGCGTACTTCTTCCTATGGGCCCGGTCGCCCTTACACCCGATCGGCTTGGCATCCTCCGTAGGGGGTCTTGGCGGGCCCTCGTATGGCCACCCCTGTCTTTTGGAGGGCACGTGTCATCTCGCCGACATGGGTGGCGAGGACGAGTGGCTGCGGGGCTACTGGGAGCAGCGCTTTCGATTCATGCGCGAAGAAATGAACCTGGTCGAGCAGCGGCTGCAAGCGTTGAACCGCGAGTTTGCGGCAGCGAAAGGGCAGTTTCAAGCGGACATGCTCAAGACGCAAGGGCACCGGGGGCGGGATCAGACCGGGGCTGACGAAAGCGTGAGCTAAACGAGTGCTAACAAGTCCGGGGACAAGGGGCGGCGAGGTCACTTCTAGGATACTGCGTGGTTCTTGGAATGGTTGTTGCAAGCAGTACCTAAGCGGTGGGTCCGTTCGGGACCCGTTTACGGTGACCACCTGCTGAGCAGTGAGTGTAGAAATAGATGACCAGTCACAATCGGATATGTGAGGTGACCAACTTCCATTTACAAGGCCCTTGGCGAAACTTAGCGTGTACATTTGTCATTGTGGGACTAGCAGCGTGTAGATGTCCAACAAACTCATATGCAGGTGGCGTGGGGAGCCATGGCGGTCAACATGTTCCCCCCCGTTCAGATCTTGCATGGCATGTTTAAATGATAGAGTTTCCGTACTCAATAAGGCCCCCACAAGCTTTACTGCCTTGCAGCTCGCCACAATTTTCAAGTTTCCGATCGTTTTGTAGGACGCATCGGTAGTTGGATGCATACCTGAGCGAAGATTTGTTTCACAAGTCGAAGATGCCTCGACGTATGCACAACTCAGGCTAGCCGGCAGCTCATAGATACGGACAGGCTAGGGCCGCGGGCCCTGGCCTATACTGTAATGATTCTCTTGAAGCATTGAAGCCCGTTGTGCATGTTGACTGTCTGGCAGTGACGGTGGATCGAGCTGCGTGTGCGCGCAAGTAGGCCTGTGAGCATCTTCGCTGCCAGCGCACAAAAACCGTGGCGCATTCTCGACACCATGGTCGGCTAGATATATAAACAAAGAGTACGTACTATTGCAAGGTATACTTGTCTCAAAGATGCACGAAGTGCACTCATGCATGGCCGGGCCTAGATCCTGTGGTACGACCCCCTTGCTACTGTGGGTTGCACGCAATGGCATATTGGACTTAACATTGGATATACTCAGACTTGATAGCTCTAGCGAGTCGTACTGTCGATTCTTATACATCGTGTTAAAGCGCAATTTTTATAGATTGCGTTCAAACCTTGCAAAAAATGTTTGATTGAAGTGCACATACCTATGGCAGGCACACACGGCCATCATTAGTACAACAAGCAGCCGCAAGTGTGGTGAATCCAATCACCGGTTCGGAGTTATTTTATAACATTCGTGTGCGGTTCAAAAGGCCTGCATCATACCTTTCTAACGTTGACTGACCACCAGCCTCAAGCTGCCTTCAAGTAGATGTCAGTGTCAAAGCGCGTTAATAAACATAAGCTAGAGGTAGTCAATGTTCCCCCCAACTCATTCCCTTATCAATCATTCAAATGACGCCCACCAATCCGATGTCGTACAGATCCTCTGGCCCTCTCATGCATCCGGTCTGGCCTTTTCCTCCTTGCTGCCATCGTGTCTAGCTTATACAACTTCAGGTTTTGCACGTCCCGTGCCTCCCTGACGGCTCCAACCGATCCCTGAGCACTTGCGTCACCTTCCACACTAGTAGCATCCCCCAAACCCTTTGACAAGTCTGAATCAGGATCAGATGCCGAGGCAACTGAGGTGACGTAACTGATGCTCGTTGCTTGCCCATTCGCAGCCAGGCCATCTTTTTGTACACTTACACCATACCCCGGCACCGCAACTATACCTGAGAGTTTTACGCCGGCCCCAATCGGGCCTTCCAACTGCTCCGACCCTTTCTTTGCTTTCTTACTGACCTCTGGCGGTGCAGCGACCGAGTTTGGAGGCGGCAATATTTTGCTAAACTCATGGGCAAGTTTGCTGAAAGGTGCTTTCGACCAAGGCACTTCATCAATATCATCACTAGTCTCCCGAGATTCTCGGAAAAAGTCCTTGGTGAAGCTTGGATCATGGTAGAAGTCGCCCTCCTCGTCTCGTTTGTAAGAAGTTGCCGTGTCCACATCGGAAAACATCAAGCTCGGCAGCACAATGTTTCCAATCAAGAATACCAAAAGGAGGATTATCCTGCAAGAAATTGGAAAAAGAAAGTTGTGGCAGACCCTTTTTTTTGTTAAAATCCCAACATTCTTGCTGGTAAGCAGAAATCCAACAGATGCGGGAGGTCCAAAAACTGGTCGTTTACCTTGTGGCAATGCGATATGCGATGCAGCAACCAGCCAGAATCAGATGCGTCATATACGTTTACAAGCGAGAAAAGCTTTGCAGATTTGTTTTACCTGTAAACCCGTCAAAACCATTGAACCTGTCAGAGAAAGAGGGCATGGGGCTTCAAGGCAAGTCATGCCTGCAGTCCTGTGACTCACCCCAGCATTGCAAGGCCCCCGAGGTCCTCTACAGTAAAATCATCAGGTACTGGGACAGGGTCGCTGGTTCCCAATGGTGGTGGAACGTACTTGGCAGCCTGCGCAGGGGCCGCATACAGTAGAGATGCAAACGCAGCCCACCCAATCTGGTGCAAAGCCCCAGCCATCTTCTCCTCCCCATCCCTTGGCCCAGACGACTGCTCTGGCACTGGTTCCTTTGCAAGAAAGCCCAAAAGTGGAACTGCCGGATAGATGCGTGGGGGATTGACATAGAGCCTCGCTGGCCTGGCAGCCAGTGGACGGGGCCTTATGCGTGTTGTAGCAACACATCGATAGGTCTCTGCCCCTCTGCTTCTGTGCACGTACTGGAGGCCCAATCGTGTCAGACAAGTTGACAGAGTGCACACACCAGACAATCCACTGCAGATAGGGGCAGAGGCAGCAGAGGCATCAGTGCTCCTGATACATGTGTCCGCTCTGCTTGGCGGGGAGACAAGCCGTGAGAGGCTGGCGCTAGCCAAACCAGCGTATGCTGTCGCCATTGCTCGGCGCAAATTTACACTTGAGATGTCACAAGTATAATTTCCCACGGGGCAATTGCCAATGCTAAGATAGAATTGAAGTGATGCGCCTAAAAGTGATCGTCAACCACACCTGAGGCTGTACGTACCCACACCAGTGCCGCTATAGGTAGGCGCCCTCAGGCAAGGTGCCCTGGCCTTGAACTTGAACTTGAACTTGACATGCTGCGCAAACAGAACCTCTGCTCTCTTCCGCAGAGAGAAGATTCCT